AACGTCCAGTGCTACATCAATCTCCAGTACCCAGTCGACGGAGGATACGAGCTATTCTCCAGCTCATCATGGACTTAGGGATGGAGCCTTGTTTCCTGGATATGAGGTAGCTGGTGTTATCGACGAACTTGGTATGTTCCATAACGTTATTGCAAAATCTGAAAAAAATCCACCATCTAGTGTGGGAAATATTTGGCTTCATAAGTGTAGTATTCAAGGGCGAACTCGGCTTAAAACGGAAGGGGGGCACCTTCAAAAAATTTCCAGAAATCATATCTGCCTAACTATGCTTGATATTTTTCTTTCTATTTGCATTTCATTTATATGGTCTTCCACGTCGATTTGACAAATCATATAGAGATGGAAGCTTTTTTAAGTAATAATTTAGTAGTTTGCAACACTTGAAAGCAACACTCTATGATTGAACGCAATCAAAAATTTTTTAGATGAGACAAAATTCAGAAAAAGGTTTGCTGATATATTTTAAGTCGTAGTCAAGAGTTTATTTGAAGGATTCAAAGATTGCGAAATCCGGAAAAACTCGTTTTTTACATTCTTATCATCCAGTCTCTTTTGTATAATACTGTATTTTGACAGAATAATGAGTTCTACCATATGTAATCAAATTTGAAACCGTTTGAAACTAGTTTTTTCACAACGCATACTCGTTGAAGACGTTCACAATTGGCAGAAGTGTTACGTAACTTGATGTCGTTTTTTTTTTGCATTAATCATGTCGGGTTTTTTATGTTACTATGTAGGTTTTCCAACAAGACGTCAACTTATAACTAGCTGTTGTTCACTTCATGCGCACTTGTAGCAAGCGGATTTGCACACTAGCCTTCTTAGTCAACAAGTTGACATTTTATCGGTTTTTTGACATTTATATAGGTTTTTTACGTAATAACCCCAAACCGTTAGGAATGAGATGCTAAAGCGTTACTTATGTCTTATTTTTGAAATATGTAGCGCCAAATTCGAAGACAGTAGGAAACTAACAATTCCGATTTTTTACAGGAGCTGAAGTATCTGACACTGAGTTGACAGTAGGAAAACGCGTGGTTCTATATCCATACGACGGTATCCCTCATGGTTACGCAGAATTCATCGTGGTACCAGACTTGAGCTACTTGGTAACAGTTCCTGACAACCTTCCGCTTGGAGTAGCGGCCATGTTGCCTACAGGGGCTTTGTTGGCCAAAAATGCAGTGATTACTGCCCATGATCACGTGGTACAACTGATGAATGAACGAGCTGCCGATCACATTGTGAGGATTTTGATTGTGGGGACTGGAGGCTTAGCCTTGTGGGCTCTTAGGATTGCCGAACATCAGTTCAAGACGGACCAGTACAGGAATAGGGTCAAGATCACTGTTGCTACTTTAAAAGATGAAGGATTCAGTCTTGTTGCTACGGAGCTCAAATCGTTAGTATTATTTATCAATCAGTATATGAAAATGGTTTCAAAAGTAGGATGAAATATTTAAAAGGCCGATTCTTAGGTACACTTTAAATAAAAAATTTCATATGACCAATGCTGGAACACCTTAAATTTTGAGATACAGTATGTTGCAGTTTTCAAAAACTTATCTCCTCTTTAATATCCGTAATTCCACTTTTAATGAAATTTGGCGCACGACTACGTTGCGATAAGAAGCATTTTCTGTGCTGCATTGTTTTTTATTTTTTTAAGTGGCGTTCGTACGATATTTGATCTAAATTGTCAGTATGTGCCTCCGTATACTGTGCTCAAAAGGGTAACAATGCTGCATTCTCGTGGAACATTTGCGATGTAGCTCGTTAATTGAACACCTTGTTAATTTTATCTTCCATATCGCACAACAATACGCTTCTTACGCAATAAACTAGATACATAAGTCTAAATACAAATCCTACATTTCTTTCGGGTCGTGGGAATGTTTACGATGTACGAGATCTGTAAATTAAGTGATGAGACTGGCAACGTAGCGTTCGAGCTGGCAACACTGGAGGTGCCGGGCTTGGAGAGGAGACAGGGGAACATGTGCTGCGGCTTCAGTACAAGTTTGAACTCGCCATAGTCATTTGGTCGTCCGTAGCGAAGTTTTTTATATTGTGTTCTAAAAATGAGTGACATCAATTTCAACCAACGGTGTGCTATCAGGTTTTGCCCTGGACTTGGGCACAATGCAATGGAAAATCTTGCTAAACTTCAGCAGGTCTGCCGAGATAAAGTTTTGTCGAGACCCCAGGTTTTTCGGTGGTTTAAGACATTTTGAATCAAGATGAACTAGAAGGAACTTATATTGAGGGTAATAATATAAAATTGAGAAAATATTTCAATAAAAAAATTAAAAAATCAATCTCATCACTTATTTTACAGACCTCGTATTTTTCCCAGTTACCTTTGCACAGATTGATGCGCTTGACCATTTTCGTCTACAGCAATTTAGGCCAAATCCAAAACCTTTCCACCATGTAGCTTCAAAATATAAGAGTTTTAGCATGTACGCTCATAAGAAGTTTTTCTAATTTGATAAAAAACAGGAAATTTCCATTGCAGGGTAAACAGAGTCCAATGGAATGAAGATCTATATGAAAAACAGTTGATTGAGAGAACCAAGGACGCTTGCAGTGGCCTGGTTGATATTGTCATTGACTTTGGAACGACATCAAGATCTCTACACCGATCAGTTCAGTGTCTAAATTCGGTAAGTGACAATTGAAAATAGTAAATTTTGAAATCAAATGAGAACTATTTTCTTGTTCCTGTTTGACTATGTTGAGGGTTTGTACTTCTTTAGATTCCTCACTACGTGCGATTCTAGAAACAAAGTAACTAAGTTTGAAAACCGTGCTTAGCCAATTGATGATTTCAGCCAATTATCAATTCGACGCATTGTGGTATTTCGATTTTGATGCGACTTAGTGTTTTCATTTATTTTAGAATTATCTTTGATTTCCACCGATGGTGATAAAGCACATCCTGAGTTGTTGTTACATTTTGCGAGAGCAAACGGTCGGAACATATAACAGATACCATTCCGCAATACAAAGTATCACTGCCTGTACGCAGATCGCAATGAGCGCTAGATGGGTACTGACCAAAATCGCTCATCTAAAATCATAGAGGTGGAAACCTTGCCATGGAATGTACGAGATGCGGTGCTGTCAAGCGAACTAATGATGAAATGTTGCAGAATTTGTGGCGAACCTGACCTTTCATTTCGACCTAAAATGGAGCGCCGTTGGGACTAATTCGGAATCGATCCTAAACGGATTCGACACAATTCACAATCCAAAAATGTGTGCGCTCAAAATAAAACAATTATTTGGGCCTAGAGAATAAACTAACGTATATGTTCAACGTGCATCTTAATTCAAGGAATTGGTGTGACATATTGGCAACGTGGCACATTGCCGCGTCAGCCTTTTACTAGGCAACGTGGTGATGAGCTTCGCTATCAAGACGGCTTATTCTATCTCTTTCTAACATACGCGTCTATACACACTTCTCTTTCGTACACATTGAACTCAAGTCGTGAGACAAATGACTGTTCTTTCCATATTTGTATTTTATCCTTACAGCGACTCTCTTGTATGTGAATACCACAAAATTCCCTGATAGACACCTGAGCGAGAAGAATGTGTGACCGTGTCTACTACCTCAAACTTCCTATTCTCCTTCCCTACTAGATTAGTTTTTCTTTTTATGCATTCTTTACGAAAGGTTTCGGGCATATTGTTCTCATTATTTATAACTGGTTTCTAGCTGATGCGTTCTATCCCAGTGACATTAGGGTAGCATAGCGTTAAAACTTGGGGTTCAAAAAGTAGTCTTAACAAGTCCTTCTCAGCAGATTTTCTACCGATTTAATAACGGAATTTGCTCCTTTCGCCTCTTTATAATTCCATTCTTTTCTAGGGCGGTGTTGTTCTTGTGAGTGAAGAAGTAGCAGAACGTTTGAAGCCAAAGTTTTCAAGGTTGGTCCAAGAGCATAATCAAAAAATAGAAGCTGTTGCTCCTGGTACCATAGACCAGTTACGCGAACTGGTGAAGCTAGTAGCTGATGGGGAGATTAAACCCCCACCACACACAGAGTTTTCTGTTGATGAAGCTGCCACTGTTATACAAAAGCTTTGCCAGTCAGAGATACCTGGTAGAGCTATATTTAGGTTTCATGATATTCAGTAAACAGATCACCTCCGCAGTTTTTACAAAATTTACAGATTACAAATACTTGGGTCATTGATTGAAAACCTTTTATGTTCGGACGAATGTCGAGTATAAAGACACTGTCTGATCCCTGAGTGACCCTATTATCGGTATTCTTTATATTTTGATCTATATCCACACAGTTTCAATGTGTTAATTGTGCGTTAATCGTTGCTCTCCAGTATTTTCATTGTTTCTTTTTAATTACCAAATATCTGTTTGTGATTATCTTAAAATTTATAAGTATTATATTTAACGTGTGTAAACTTACGTCATTTATATGGCAATTTTACTACATAGGTATTACTATATGTGATAAAGCATAATTTTCAGTTAAGTTTTTAGTTATAGTTTTTATACTAATATAAATACTATTTTTGTTTATCAATGTAACATGTACGTTTTCCAAATGTAAATAAAAAATTTAATAAACATTTTCAATGTCAATGTGTTTTTTATTGAACATACAGGCCGAGTAAATATTGAATGGTATTTGAGGAGTTGGTTTTTTAATGAAATGAAATCTGTGCTTTGGCCTTCCACCTGCCATGTGGGCCAAATTTTTCTTTCAAAGAAAATATTCTCCAAACTTATCCAGGAGAAGTTCTAGTTTATAGCATTCACATATTGTACCTAAGATAGTCAACCATATGCTGTATTATGGCGCTCAAAAAGCGATCTGAAAGATACTGGCGCCATCTATGAGACAAAAGAACACAAACTAATGGCGTCAAGTAAGTAGATTCTTCACTTGCTATGCAACGCCATCATCAGGATAAAATATGGAATCATAAAAGCACAGAAACATGAGACAAGAGAAGGAAAACACAGATCAAAAAATAAGTAAGAAGAGAGGACAGACTTCCAGCGTTGTATAGGATTCGGTCAGCTCGGTACCATGTTTCATGTTACATCGGATACTCTCCTACTGGCGCATAGTGTAATGTGCAAATATGGCGACTGTTATGGATACAAAAATTTAGAGAAGTTGAAAATTGTTGTTATTCCTCGCAATATTATTGGCAAGTCCCCTCATTCCTCGCAAATACCAGTAATTACTGGCAAAACGGCAACACTGGTGATACAGTTCTGCGACAAGGGTTCGTTTACAGAACGACTAGGAGATGGCGCTTAGTAGAGGGTCCTGCGACATCTAACGGTTGTAATGTTGGGTAAGCACTTGGTTAATTCGACACGTGATATGTCAACCCTGTATTGATTGATGAATTCAACAGAATTGTCTTTCTCATCTCGCTTATAGGGTTGCAGATTTCTTCTGGTGTGATCAGGAGCTTCAGAGGACACCTGTAAAGAAAGTGAAGTGTCAATAATAGTAAACAGATGTCGCCGAAAAATTCGATTCGTCCATTATCTAAAGTGTTTCTGTTTTTTGCGATGAATAAAAACTAGTCGCTTGAGCTTCTGCATATCGAGATCCTTGGAACAGGGCTTTGTCGTTTCCGTTCCACACGATTGCTTTATCGAGGTAGTGCCGTAGTTTGGAATTTTTGTGCAGAAAGTTATTTTTTTTACTACCGACAGAGGGACTTGATACCTGTGGTGACCGCGCAGGTAAAATAACGCGGTAAAGCGCAATCCTACTATTAGAATAAGCTAAAAATAAGGCCCAGTACCGGCATCTAATTTTTTCGGCGGGGCTATGGCAGCTACTAGTGTCGTAGTTCTGGATAGAGGAAATAATACTACTTGTACAATAAACTTACACGGTGAGCCATGTTAATTGCATATTCCTAGAGCAGTTTTTCAGATGTTCTCAGTTTTTGTTGACTGAAAAAGATGTCTTGTTTATGATTTACATAACCTATAATTTTTTCAGGTGCAACGGTGGTTTCGTGGAGAGTAAACAATCAAGAGCAATTGTTTGTTAGGTAAAAAATGCTACAGAATTGCATGCATTAATGAACATGACCTGAAGACGGGATAACATGAAATATAAAGTTTATTCAAGTTATCTTTATTATTTTCAGCAAGATTTTTTTGCGTTAATTCCAAAACTTCAGTAGACGTTATTAAATTAACCATTTAATTTTAGCAAGCAAGCTGTCTTTGATGGGAAAAAGGCTATCAGAGGTGGAATACCATTTGTATTTCGTAAGTAATGTTTTTTAAATTATTTTAGAGTGTCTTAAAACATGAACTGGAATAAAAAAATCAGAAAACAATACTGTAAAAGGCTGTTTATCTGCATGTGTTATCAGTAATTTTGGTTAAATGTTAAAAGTTATCTCATATGTATCATTTATTTTAGATTTTTAAAGGAACTATGTAAACAGCTGTATTTTTCCATTATTATTGTATTGAAATCAAGACAAATTTTGGATTGTGAGATATTTAATACATTAATAACATGTCTATGAGTAGCAGCTTTTTTTATACTACAGAATTTCTTCCGCACTAGTGTATTTTACGTTATGTGGGGCTGTGGAGTTTAGAGTCGTACATACAAATTTAGCCAAATTTTTTCATCTATACCCAAAAACTTGGGTCTGAAATCAAAAAAGGATAGTGGAGCTGAGAAAATAATTTCTCTTTTTTATTTTCTAACAGCTCAGTTTGGTCCATGGACCTTTGGACCTCAACATGGTTTTGCACGAATTATTCGATGGAACTTAGAGAAAGCCCCTGAGCGGTTAGCAAGTGGTGATGTTGAGGCAATATTTTCTATAATGGATACAGATTTCACTAGATCTATGTGGAACTATGCGTAAGTACTACTTGACTAGGAATCAGTATCCCAAATAATCATTTTTCTACTTCAAATTCAGCCACACATACCCTTCACAGTTTCTTGAAAGCAGCAACAGACAAACATGGAAATTTTAGCCTGTAAAATTTTTCATGTATCTGTGATCTGAAAAAAACTTATTTTCTGGGCACATGGGTGTGTAGGTTCTGAAATCTAAGCTCAACACTGATATTTCAATGTAATAAATATCAACACAACAATAGGCTGTGATACCTTATATTCTTACATGCTACTAATTTGCAATGTATAATAATTAATCATTTTTGTCTTACACCTATGCATGTTACACAAAAGAAGGGTAACCTTGACTAAGAATTTAGAAATATATAATGTGAATGTGCCAGTAAATGTTGTATTATTGGTAAGAACTTGAATATTTGAAATCCTATACTTGCAGGTAATTGGTACCAGATTTATCAACTAATAAGTGTTTACAAAAATTTCACATCCACAGTTGTTATATTGACAACAGCATTAGCACGTTAAAAACATCATGTATTTGATTCCTCAATTTTTGTCATTTGTGTAGAGAGTGACAAACTTTAAAGGCAACTAGAATCGTCTGTTGACAATATATGAATACTGTTCTTGTTATATATGCAGAAGGCGTTAAAAATTTACGGAATATGTTAATTGTAATATGTTATTTTAATATTTTAAGGTCAAATTGGAGTGGTTGCTGACTGGATCATCATACTAGTCAAAATCCATTACTCGGACAAGGGTCCGACTATTGCAATGGCATGGTCATTAACAATCTATCATTTTCTCTTTAAACATAGAAACTATCAAACTTGTGAGGAAGTAAAATGAGTTGCTCTTAGGCATATACAAGTTAATATTCAAGTAGCACAATAAAAAATATATAAAACAAAAAGTAATTTGTTTATAAACACTTAAAATACATGAAATAAAATATTGTCGAGTTTATGAACATTACTATAAAATTCTAAAACCTAATAAAGTTCATCTAGCACCAAATTATTGTACAATTTGTTTCTAAATGCAGAGAGATCACTGTCTCTGTCAGTGTTTATACAGGGTGTCCGCAAAGTTGGGGTTTTCCTTTACACGACGTGTAGATCTTGAAAACATAAGCAATTTTTCTTAGTACCATATACACCAATGTCTTAAGGGAACCGAGATAAAGGGCTCTGCAACATCAAAAATATCTGAATACCGTCCTGTAGCCGCGACATCCCCGCATGGTACTACGACACTAGCTCAACCCGACGACAGAACTGGGTCGGGGTCAGTGTGTCAGGTCAGTATGCAACCTTCAACCGACGGTTACGGTCACGCGTCTAGAGGTAAACGAACCCGAATAATCGATAGCGTTTCAAAAAAAAAAACAAGCACTAGAGACGTGGCTAGAGAAGTGCAAGTATCAAAAACTAAAGTGTGGCAAACGCTGCGTGAAGAGGGGCTGTATCCGTTTCACGTCCAACGTGTACAAGCCCTTCAACCTGACAATTTTCCAGCAAGAGTGCGGTTTTGTGAATGGTTGTTGCATCAACATGACAATAATCCGGACTTTTTGAAGTGCATATTGGTGACAGACGAATCTACGTTCACGCGTAATGGGGTGAATAACTTTCGCAACACTCATGTTTGGTCAGTGCAGTCCGTCGGGCACATTTTCAACAAACATTTTCGGTGAATGTTTGGGCTGGCATGGTGAACGGTATGCTCATTGGACCATTTATTCTCCCGAATCGATTGGACGGGATGCAATACCTAGACTTTTCACGCAACATTTTGCCTTCCTTGTTAGAAGATGTGCCATTAAGTGTAAGACAATCAATGTGGTTTCTGCACGATGGTCATATTTGTTACCTCTGTTCGTGGCCTGAACCACCGCCGGCGTCTGCTCGGTAGCGCATCAGCTGATTTCATTTTCTGTTGGAGCGGTATGATTTCGGGCAGAGACGTACTTAGCCCTTCTCGTCAACTGGAGAGTGAGTACGTATTCCTTTATTTTTTTTTACTTGGTCGCCCTCGTTTCACTATCACGTATCACTTTCTATTTATCAGTAGGCCTAAAACTTGTAAAAGTATGCTCCAAATTACAGCACTCCTAGTCGGTGTTGCATTTTCTATGTCATTTAGTATATTTCACACAATACATTAGTCTTAAAAGTTATATTCTCGGGAGAACAGCATAGTGTTTTCTATATTCTGGCCGCACTACCACGCCCACAGTGGACCAATTGTATGGACCTGTTTGACTGATTTTTTCCTCAAAGGGCCTAGTTTGTGTGCTGATAAGGGCATTGCATGGGAAGTACAGATTCAACCTACTTGAAGCCATTTTCTTAGGGAGAGGGCTTAGGTAGTGATATTGACGCTACTAAGCCCAGTTCAAAAGCCATTGTGTTTCTAGTAGGCTGTGACTTTGATAGGAATTGAGGATTTGACAACAGAAAATTTTAAATTAGAAATTGAATTTTCCGCAAGATTTTCAGAACCCCAGCATATCTTAAAGTATTTGAATTTCAATTGGCCTAACCTTCAATATTTATTACAGGTTCCGACTGACCTATAGACTGATTCTCCGTGAGAAGGAGTTACATTTTAATATAGCAGTGTACAATCCCAGTAAGGATTTGACCTTCAGCTTTAATATGCTACTACATACGTATTTCAAAGTTCCTGATGTCAGACGCTGTCAACTTACTGGACTGCAAGGCTGTACGTTCATTGATAAAACTAGAGAGGGGGCTATATATCAAGAGGTAAAATTTATTTCTGAAAAAAGATTCTCCTAGGTGTTTCCAAAGTGAGGTAAAATATTGAATACAGTGAAATCTCCAACACCAACGGGACCGGCTGAAAGTGTCCGTTCAAGAGGCGTGTCCGTATGAAAGAAATACAACAGAAATCGTGTTGTTAATGAAAACTGAATATATTAAAGAAACTGGGACATTTAATACGAATATGTATATAAATGTTTTTAAAATAAACAAAAAACTTTAGGCTTGAGAAAAAAGGTTTGTTACCTTTAGATATACAGGGTGACTTTGAAGTTGAGTCATTAATTTTCAGATAATGATTGTAGAAGGAAGATAAACCAAAATATGTGTGAAAAAATAAAAAAAAATTTACCTTGTTTTATAAAGTATCCTCCCGACAAGTATTTCAGTGCGGACCTGTATTTGATCGTGAGGTCTTGGAGCACCGGCATGCCGTCCCCTGTGAGGTCTTAAGTCACCTGATTCACGAGCCCGTTGTACTACATTAACAAAGGCACGAGGGGTTGGTTGCACTCGATTGGGAAACCGATCCGCATAAACATGTGCCATTTTTTATTTCGTTTGAGCCACGCAACAGACACCACTATTCACTCACGCGTTACCGACTGACACTGACTGTATACAACTGAATAAAATAATTGTAAAAACATCGTTCCAAATTCTTTCGCTTTTTTGTTTCCGATGCGATGAACCGATAAGGCGGAGATTATATCCGTTGTTGCCAAACACGAGCACATAATATTATTATTGAGACAGGGCGGTACTCAAACTTCCAAAGGGCTTTAACTTTGTTACTTTAATTTTACCAGAAAAATGGTAAAGGAAAAAACATTTCTTTTGATCAGATCTACTCACTGTTAAAATAAATGACTCAATTTCGAAGTCACCCTGTATACACAAAGTATGTACATACATATTTATCTATAATATAATATGTATGGCTCTTGGAATCGTATTTCTAATTTAGATAGAAGCTCCAAAGACTCTGTATCTTCCTGATTTTCCACAAAGCATTTGAGCTGCTTGGTCAGGTAACAGCTTTACCAAAATTTGGAATAGCTTCTGCTGGTACTGGAACCTCATACACATCAGAATCTCCGGGAAGTTCTTGTAATTCAACTGGGTTTTCATTGTCTTGCCCTGAATCCGGATCTTCAACATACAAACTTTCATCTCAGTTCGAAAAGTCATAAAGGTTTTCATTATCATTTTTTCGGTGATTTTTGACAGGTTGCATTTCAGTGAAAAATGGTCGGATCTAGACTCTAAAAAAAGCATGTTGAAGATTCAAGATTCTATTTATCAGGTTTTTTAGCTAAATAATTTTAGGAGCAACGCTTGTAATGCAAACCTAACGGATAGCGCAAGAACATTTTTTTGCAAAGCTTTTGAATTCTGTTCATTCCAGGGGCTTGAAAAACATTTTTTCTGTTGGGTCATCATATGGATCAGATTCAGCTTTATTTTCCTGTTTTCAAATTCTCTATACGATCATGTGGCGCGAAGATATCTGACATTGAAAAATGAATCCTTATTGTTGATTTTAAAGGGGGATTTAGGAATCTGATCCGTATGATGGTTTAACAGATACAAAATGTTTAAAATCTAGATATGACCATTTTTCACCAAAGTATGTCAATCTTTTTCTTGCTCCCTTAATTTTGTTGAGTAGTGTATCTCACATCTTTAGTTCTAACTAGTCTACCACTACAGACAACAGCTTTCTTTATTTTTCAGACAAGAGACATAGTAACTATAAACGAATGGACTGATAGAATCTACCAAAACACGCCTCAAGAGCACATCATTACGAACGTCGTGTCAGGTAGAAAAATGCGAATACAGAAGTACAATTTTCCAGATACAGTCATCTGGAACCCGTGGGTTGACCATGCCAAGGACATGTCCGATTTTGGAGATGATGAATACCCTAACATGGTCTGTGTTGAAGCTGGACATGTCTCCAGCCCTGTCATATTGATGCCTGGTACAGCTTTTGAGGCTAGCCAAATACTTCAAGTTATGTAAATAGAATGAGGTCAGTTTCAACAGGGTGTGGCGTAAGACAAGCCCTAGTATAAAAATTTCCGGACATTTGATGGATACGTTTTTACAGCACAAGTTGTTTATTTACACATCTTTTTGGTGGAAATATTCTCTTTTCACTTGCGACGGTAACTCACTGATGAATATCTTCAAGGGAATAGAACATCGCAAGCTTTCTGTTGACGCAGCAGAAACACTCGTCTAAACTGTAAAGACTGTTTCCTCAAAAATGATTGGACTACTATTGCAAACCAGATATTACCCTCTTCTCAGCCCCATTGAATTTGTTTGGAATTAACTTGATCGGACAGGCATAAAACAGAGTGCAACAAAAAGTGGTATGAAGCAATATGAAGAACACATACTAGAATGCTACTAAGCAACGCAAAAGTATTGAATGTAAAAAGAGAATTTTTTGACCAAAGACATGTGCAAATACAATGTAATATTTATACAAGTTATTATTTCAGATAAATATCAGAATAGGAAGTAAGTTAAACAAGGATTTCTTGATGTTCAATTATTTTTTGCTATCTGAAGAACCTTCTATTTATATTTTCATTGTCAATTATCGACCCTCATGTGTCGGGAAACTTTTGAACTGTAGTTCATGTTAATGTTCCTATACCGTGTATAACAATGATTTTTTTTTAAAGCTGAAAAATGTACTAAAAACCAAACACAGAATTTTTAATTTTCGGAACAGTTGTAATGTCTTCTGTTCAAAAAATATATTTCTTACGGCACACCCCGTTTATACTACCATCTTTTTTGGGGGGTTTTAAGGGAGAATGTTAAGCCCCAAAAGAGTTGGTGACATCATCTAGTCACTCTGTACCCAGTCAGTTTAAGACAGTCAATCAACACTTACTGCTTACTCTTGCATTTGTACAAAAAGCATGCACCTTTTTTTAAATAAACAAAGCTTTTTCTATTAAATAATTAAATGTGGCTAATTGATAGATCAATGAAAAGGTTATATGAGTCAGAAAATCTCTCACTCTGTCTATATCAGTTTCTCCAAATGATGCTTGAGAGACAAACAACTGACTCGATTTTCTGTAAGACTTTGTTATATTGACTGACTTAATTTATCTGATCAGGGTGACTGCCAAGTAACTCCATGTGTCAATGCAAGAGTTGATATTTATTAAGTCGCTGAAAAAGCAATATGTTAGAATTATTGTTATTATCGAAATCTTCTGCAGGTTTCATAATCTCGGATGTCATTCCAAAAAATCAGTTAGCCTTATGTTGTATACGAGTGGTAGTGTTTTACAGGTAATTATTAAATAAAGATGTTTGATTGTGCAATAATGAAATAAAAATTTTGTGAAGTTCTATTTGTGATGATTTATACTCTTACAACCCCACACTTTTAAAATTTTTTACAGTAATATTCGGATTGCTCCATATACGATAAAGAGCGACCGCAAAAACAGATAGTTTGTGGCCTTCACATCGAGTTTACCTTTTGTTCATGAATTACCAATGGTTGATTTTGGATATTTTACATAACTTTAAATGGACTAAAGTATTTAGGGGGCTCAAGACACCCTCGCAGCTCCATAGCGTAATACGTGTGTCTCTCTCTATAAAAAACGCCAATATTATTATGTATTCCTAATACACTACTCAAAAAAATTAAAGAAGCAAATTTTTTTGTGATTTCTGACAGGTTGTATTTCAGTGAAAAATGATCGTATCTAGTCTCTAAAAAAAGCATTTTGAAGCTTTTAGTTTTTTATCTGAAACATTTTAGGAGCACTGGATCTTATGCAATTCTGATAGCACAAGAAAAATTTGTTTGCATTATTTGTCCACGAACTTGAAAAAATGTTTCCTGTTAGGTCATCATTTGGATCAGATGGCCCGTTCACGCTTCAGCTCCAATATCTTGTTTCTAAAATCTCGATACGATCATTTGGCGCAGAGATATCTGACTTTGAATGAAAAAGGATCCTTTTGTCATCGACCACCGATATCTCGGTAACCAGTGATTTATTTACGACGGCGAATGAGTGATTGGCGATCGTGTGGGCATCTGAACGGCCCTTTGATGCTTGTCCGAAAAACCGACAACTCATGGGTCGATCATAGACGATGAACTACAGCCGAGTATGCCCTCTACACGAGGAGCCATTAGAGTATTTCTGAAAACTTGCGTAAATCTCCTATAAGATTAGATTGCAATCTTAGGAAAGCATTAAAACTTTAGAAGTGAGGTAGGTATTTGATAAGTTATCCCTTGGTGCTACGGAAATTAATTGTGCTAAACAATCCTACCTCTAATTATTAATTATACCTGCACTTAGAACATATACCGAGTGACAAAAAAAGGTAGACACCTACGTATGTTTATTAGAAATCAAGAATTTTTCAAATATCGATTTATCTTGCCATGGACAACAAGTGATAAAATGGTCAGGTTCTTTTGTTAAGTTTTTGTGGTAAAACTGAAAGTCATTGGACCATTTATTCTCCCAAATCGATTGGACAGGATGCAATACCTAGACTTTTTACCCAACATTTTGCCTTCCTTGTTTGCCTGCGTCTGCTCGGTAGCGCATCAGCTGATTTCATTTTCTGTTGGAGCGGTATGATTTCGGGCAGAGACGTACTTAGCCCTTCTTGTCAACTGGAGAGAGAGTACTTTTTCCTTTATTTTTTTTTTACTTGGTCGCCCTCGTTTCACTACACATCACCTTTGTTATTTCAAGGGTAGTTGTTTCTGAAAAGGAAAACCCCAACTTTGCGGACACCCTGTATATGCCAAAAATTATTAAAATCGGATAAACATACGTAGGTGTTTACCTTTTTTGTCACTCCGTATATTTTGTCAACTATTAATTATTTAAATTCAATCAGAAAATTCAAAAATTTATTATTTATACTCAAAAATCAGTGCTGCCTATAAAGTGACAAAGCTTTTACATAAAACCCGAATATTTACATAAAAACAATGATTAACACTTTCTCCAATATCGTCATCCAGCAAACTATCTCCCTCCCGAAAAAGTGTAGGTATGTGGGACCAAATAGCAATAACATTTGAGCAAAATATATTAACCGAATAGCTGTGGAACTGAAAAGCGGGGGTGAGGGGGCTTAGGCATAAAAAATACTATATAATAAACAATTTCTTGAAAAGCGGGGGGTAAGGATGGGGGGTCGTTAGACACGTGTAATCTTAACGAAACTATAAGTTCGTTCACAGGGTACGGAACCAGAGGGACATTTTGAGGTGGAGGGATTTCTGGGAGCGAATGTATATATGTGACAACGGGGAGGGAGGGTTACCGTTATCATTTTCATAGTAGTAACCTAGGTTCAACATTTCATCAAAATCGTGATAGTACTTTCGAGTTATCATTTCTTTAATCTTTTTCGTTAGTTATGAAATGCAAGTCAATATATTTCTCTACTAGTCTTGCACTGTAACAGGACATTATAATGAAACAGCTGTAAGAACTTGATAATTTTATTTAAAAAGTAGTAAGAGTACGAAATCGACATGAACGAATACGGAAAGATGCGCAGTAAACGAACAAGCGTTACGTACTGATCGGTATCATCAGAGTGTGCAATAGCAAGTAACATATAATAGCATCACTGTCTGTCTCGCTCGCACTTCGTAAAATAGCTCTCTTTGTTTCACTCAAACTAGAATAAAAGCATTCGGGAGATAAAATGATTTTAATATTTATTTAACTCATTTAAGTAAAAACTGGGTTTTTCTTTAAATAAAAATTGTGCATAATTTAACGAATAATCTTCTAAGTGTTATAGTACCCGTAGTACATTTTTTTCCAGTATAGTCAGTTAAAGCTGAGCAAAGTTTTAATTAGGAATACTTGGTTGGAAAAAAGTGGTAATTTCCTCTAAACTAGAAAAGTTGGCAGTAAAGTTGAGAACCAGTTTAAAGATGCACTATTCATCATTATACTGTAAAAAAAGTTAATATATGTACTAAGAGGAGTTAACATACTGCCGTAATGTGTGTAATTTTTTTTAAATACCCATGATTTTTAATACATACCTACCTTAAATATTTTTGTGATAACTATTATAACTTTGCCTAACACCCGATTTCGGCTTGACGTCGACTACTGATTAATTAAACAATATGCGCTACCCCTAAATTTATGTGACATTATTTTTTGTGCATGAAAAATCGGAACTTCTTGCAACCTCGCACAGACTCTTTTGCAAGTCAAGTATTGGTAACAGTGGATGTACCCATGTGACCAATAAACAAATTGGACGTACCCCATCTACAGGTACACAAATGGTACCAAGCGGTCACGTACACACACACACACAGAACAAAACGTAAACAAACCTAACCTTGTCTATCTTATAGAATAGAGAGACAACAGTAAAAAAAAGGTTGAACAGTAGCCTCAGTTTCAAGTGATACAGTGTAATATAAGCGTAATTGGTATTTTAGTTAATTGTGCAAAGTAGTTGTCGTATCCTTTGAGAAAAAAAAACGATTTTAAAAAAGATTGCGCAATATTTGTTGACTCCGTTTGTTACCAAAACAAAATGAAAGCATTAGTGGCTTGCATTCTGTGATCTATATATAAAATTTATTTTACCAATGTTTTAGGTGTTGGAAAATATGTTTAATCTGTTTTATGATGTTTTGTTATTAATAATTGGGTTTTAAAACCAGAAACTACTCCTAGAATGCACCAAGGGCGTACCCAGCTCAAAACGGCAGAGGGGCACCTTGAAAAAATTGTTGGTGGAAGTTTCACGAGTCATATCCACATGCTTCATATCTTTCTTTCTATTTGCATTTCATTTATATAGTCTTTCACGACAATTTGACAATTCATATGGATATAGAGACCTACTTGGATTGCCTTTTTGAAACATTCAAGCAAAAATTGCGCGAGATGCTTTTTTAAGTAATAAGTTAGTCATTTGCTATACCTGAAAGCAACACTTGTTGTAGTATATGACATGTAGAGAAAAATAGCTTTCAATAATATCTTGAAAGGATATGAAGTGCCAGTAACTCGGACACTACCAGTAGTCAGACAAATGTTATATTATTGGTAAAAACTTGAATATTTAAAATTCTACACTTGATTGTTACAGATGCAAAAGGAATTCAAAATTTACAAACTCAATCTTAATGAGTTATTTCAACATTTTGAGGTGTAATCATGCTAGACAAAATCCAATAGTCGTTCAATTGGTGTGGTTCTTATCAATTTTTTTCTGTCTAAACATAGAAACTATCAAACTTCTTTCTTGGAACTAAGCAAACCAAAATATGACTGAAGCCCAAGTCAGTAGATGAACAGAAAAAGATAACAAATAAGGTAAATTATGACCAGTGATACTGTATCTATTGATGACAACTGATTTGAAATTTTTATTCTACTACCTAATACAAATTTTTAAAAACAGATCTATCTAAAACTTGCCAATCAAATACTGTCTGCCATTTGGTAACTAGGCTGCCGGCTAGTAGCACCTTCTGTCCGAGTACTTTTTGATTAATATCTTTTTTTAAAATTACAGGAATGTCTATAAGCAATGTATTTGTTGTCAGTGAAAAGTAAACAACATCTATGACCACCTCCAAAGACATTACTTTTGTTATGTTGAATTCGTAATTACATTTTGTATTCCATTTTTATCTAAACTGTCCGACCACTGGTATATTCACCCTACCTAGTTTGTTCTAGAACAATTAGAGATACAGATTTGATATATTTTTACCAGAGTGATATCCGAAATGGTGACAGATACAGGTTGGTTGAATGGTGGCAAAGTTGCGTGTATATATATTTTAGAAAATGCATTTGAAAAGTTTTGACGCTTCCAGTATCTCCAGAGATAATGGAAAAGGAAAGGAATTATCCCAAAATCGTTTCTAATTTTTTCTGAATTTTGTTGAGATAGTATTCCAAAATAAACTGCACATTAACATTGCGACTTCTTGATCTCTGCAATGTGGCATATTTTTTGTTTCATATACCCTGTGTCAACTGATTTTTTTTATGTATTGCATTTTTGCAAAGTTAATAGCGTTTAATTCTTATTTAAAATATCATAGCATGTCATACATTTTTATAAAAAATAAAATGTTTTCTGAGTAAGCCTTGAAATTATCATGTCACTGATTTCATAGAATATCAAAAGTCGTAACTTGTTACTCATTGATATAAAACTTCACATAGTTGATTTAACCATAATGTAACTCAATTATATCATTTAAGGGTAATAATGAAGACAACGAAAATGCTATAATTTTAAAAAGCTGAAATGTCAGATCGAAATGCTAATTATGCCACCATGTAGTGGTGATGTTATTGTGTCATTTGTTTGAAATTTGTAGACATTGTGAATGTTCAAAAGGTTTTGTTTCAGACTAAAGCGAGGAAAAAATAATAACGACTTTCCAAACTGTCCAAATTCCATTTTTTATTTACGTAAACAACTTGCTATTCCGCGTCTTTTAGGCGAATGTCACAAGATCAGTATTTACTGTGATTCGTCAATATATTTATCATATAACAAATAGAAAAATAATGTTGCAGAATCTGCAAAAGAAGGAAAGTAGATTCGAGCAGAAAATAGGACAGGTAACTCGAGTGATACGTCTTTCTGCTTAATGCCTTCATCAGGCCCGAAATGAGTGCCCAAAAGTAGATACACATGCCCATACATCCGGATACGGGTGTAACCTGAGGAAACGAAGATGGAGAGGGGACAAAACGGCTCACGAAGTCACCAACAAGAGCCAATCTATACATTGTAGTATGATGGCCAGAAGACCTCGAATTTTCAGGGCGACATCTAACCACAACCACACGACCGGTTACAGCCACTTGCCTTTTTTTCTCCTTGTAGATCCTTTGATCTTGAAGTTATCACGGCAGGTGGCTATAACCGGCAGAGTGGTTGTGGTTGGTTGACCCCTTGAAGATTCGAGGTCTTCTGGCCATCATACTACAATGTGTAGGTTGGCTCTTGTTGGTGACTTCGTGTGTCGTTTTGTTCCATCTTCGTGTCATCAGGTTACACCCGTATCGCGATGTATCTGCATGTGTATCTACTTTTGTAGTTTCATTCATTTCGGGCCTGATGAAGCCAACCAGCAGAAATACGTATCGCTCGGGTTACCTATCCTATTTTCTGCTCGAATCCACTTTCCTCCTTTTTGCGGATTTTGCCCATTATTTTCCTACTATCCTTTAATAATGTCACGCAGAAATCCATTCTCCACTGATGGTACGAACCACATGAAATACTGTGACATTTGTTTTACCGTTTCCGAAATCCCAAAGGCAAGGTTTGAATTATTAAAACACAAGTAACATTTAAAGTGGTTTGAGCAAAATTAAGTTTATATCTGACACAGATTTCAACTAATCCTAGTAATTTAATAAATAATTTAATTTTTGTTAATTATTGCCGAGCTATTAAGAACCCTTGCCCCCCTGGGTACGCCCTTGGAATGCACAGAACATTACTCAAAGAATGCAATTTTGAATATGCGCATGCGCAGTGTGGCAACATTTTGCGTGCGACTATTCCGTGTAAAATGGCGGCCGGAGACGAGGATAACAAACTGGAATATAGTTCAAAAACTAACAAAATCGAGCAAAAAAGCTTTTTGAGTGTATATAAGGTGAAAAACATAATTTTGGCGCTTCATTTATTTTAGCAGATTTACTTTACGCATGTTTTTTGTGATAAACAGTGTTTAGTTTCGCATGGCGGCCATGTTACGTCGCTGCTAGGGAAATTTGGCAAAATGTGTGACTGTATGTAAATACCTAGAAACAAGAGAGTGCAATTGGCCGTGTATCCCTATAGACGAGTTTTGTTAAAAGTGAATCCTAGAAATGCCTTCATAGAAGTGTCTGAAAAACCTGAGCTTATTACCTTTCTACAGATAGAAAGTACAAACCAAGATGAATTTAGAAGAGCAAGCACATTTTGCACCATTCAAAGCACGTATTCCTATTATTTTTGTGACATTGTTTTGTCTTAATGGTAGGTGGTTACACATACATTGAATACACGAGATATTCGGCTTGCTTGCAGGTACTTTTCATTCAATAACACAACAAAATCCCTTCCATATCATTAGCGTATTAATGGCAATAGTCACAGGTGAAATATTCCTGGTTTTCTCTGAATCAGCGTGCGAACTGCACTATAGTACTATCTAAATTAAAATTAGACTTTATTGAACGTATCTACTTGTTATTTAGGCTGTAAACTGAAAGAAATAAGTTGTGTAAGCAAACATGAATATTTCTTTTACATTTTTGGCAATCATTCACCATGTAAACTCAAAAATACCAACTGCAATGCATGTTCTAAGGAAAATAGAACCTTCTTGAACAACTTTTGCTTTTAGCATGTAAACTCGAACGTACCAGTTTTAGGATACTTCCTAAGCAACAATTCAACTTTCTGGAACATATTTAGCTAAAGACTGATGTATGTGTAATCACTTTTGTGTGTTTAGTTTAATATTAGCCCTTGATTGCCCCATTTTTTATGTGTGGTTGAACTTATGCTAGCGCTTAGATTTATCCCAAATTTTTAGTATTCATGGCATATATTTATCCAAAAACTATCAAAAAATAAGCAAAAGTTTGTGGGGTATTTTTGTCAGAACAGGTTATCTGGTTTGGAACCTTTTTTTTTGTGAATGTAGGTTTAGCTCCTGCATTTAGCTATTTTGTCTAATCATCAATTTTGTGAAAATCAAGAACAAACTCAAGTACAACAAATACGAATCAATTCCGCATCATTATGGGACACAAACATTGTGCAAGCTTTACTCACAATTTAGTTGGAATTCAGTATAGCGACTCTTATTTCATGTAATTCAGTGTTTACATTAATGAAAGCAGACTTTTATCAAGATTGTTTTTGTTTATTTTTGCTTCTATAGCCTATATTAAATGTGGTTACATTAAGAATTTACAAGCAAATACTGAATAAAACATATAAGAAAAATCACCTACACATCAGTCCCTTTTGTGTTTTGGAGAAGCATCTTGGTGTAAAGTAATTTTGAATATTTTTAAATGGCTAATTCATTTAAACCTTTGTAATAGTAGAAAATGTATAGCAGGAGATTTAGCAATATATCAAGATACATGTTTGCATGTAGATCCCTACTATTATTATAAATGAGTATGTATGTTGTATGATCCTTTTTTTGGACAAGATGGCTAAAACTAGTTTTGATGAATTGTAGCATATATATTATATATAGATTTGACCTGGGAGATGGACATAGGCTACCATTTGTTGTGAAACTTAGTCCTGAAGGGGTTAAATAAGGGGTAAACGATACTATTATTTAATTATTTTTTTAAGCTGGGTACAGAAATATGGGCTTTATATCCTAGATGCTTTGATACAGTGTAAATGGGCACTTACAAAAAATAAAATTGTTAGTGTCACCTCTATGGGGATAAAGTGAGAATTCACAATTTTCAAGTTTTTGTAGAGAATTTAGCATATTTCAAATTAATCCAGCCTAAAATTAGGCACGTTTTGTGTTCAATTTCATTTTTAAAACAGGAGTTTCATAAAGTACATTCTCAAGATGGGGTAGGAGGGGTTGAATATTTCTATGGGGAACCTTATTACTTTTTGAGCTTATAGAAATTTATCCTGAACGCTATTTGACCTACAAATATGAAATTTGGCAGATAGGTAGTGTGAAAAGATAATTCCTCATTAGTCACAAAATCTTGAAAACTGTGTTAAAGTTATGAACATTAATTTTCACAGTGAGGTAGTTTATGCACAAAGCATCACCTGAGGATGGATTTTAAAAGTGAGCAAGAATAAGAGGTATAATGGCATAAAATCTAATTTAATTTAAAATCCGTATTTCAAAAAATTGATAATATTATAATTTGTAATTGTTCAGCCCTGTGGTGTTACCCCTTGCAGCTTTTTACTAGAGCAATACTCAAAAACTGCGTTACATTTTAGGAACAATTTAACACATTCAAAGTCACAGGTAAAAGCTAGTGTTTAAATTAGATAAATCATTACTGGAAATGCATTGTGCTTTAAGGTCTTTTTTGATTGATCAATTGTAAGTTACAATATGTTATTATTATATCATCAAGATAAGGCAGCAAACATTTTGGATGAATATACAAAACTCATTGAAAATTATACCAATTTATGTGAAATTTTCTTGGGATCATTGAACAGTTGATAGAAAATATCTTCAACATGAAAACTTTGTTTGGATATAGTATAGCATTCACAAAAAGTTAGGTCTGTCTGTGACAGAAGTATGCTTTAAACTGGCTACTTTTTGATAGTGCATCGTTTTTTTATGTAAAATTGATAATTTGCTTAATATTTAGAGAACCAGTGTAATGAGCTTGACATTAATTGGAGGAAAGAGACTGTATGATGTCATAGTGTTTTTGGTCATATATTACAAGCTTTGCAGTATTCTAGGACATTTGAAAAACTGTTTTTCTTTGAACCTCTTACAGATGACACTTTTTTGAAATAACATTTTAGCATATAATATTGAAGAGTATAGCAGCTGATTAAGAACATTTTTTGAGCACTTACTTTTACAGAGTGTAGTAATTTCAAAAAAAAACAATCACATTTTGGCAGCTAAGCTCATAGAACAAAAACACTAATAATGCTGGCATAAGATGTTTATCTATTTATTTAAGTTGATTTAATTTCCAGAATTAGTATATCTAGAGTATACTATACTTTTAAGAAGCATCAAGATTTCTTATTTTACATACATTTTTGTTACAGAAGTATGAAACTATATTAAATAACAAAAGCGAGTCTCTTGAAAATAAGATACAATCACTAATAGATGTTTGGAATAGCATTGGGGGATTAGATCTCCCTGAATTTGGCATCCAACATGTTATCCAGATTATGGATTGGGCCAAACTACATGCCCTCAATATAGTATTGACTGCTGAATGGAACAAATTCAAAGGTAAACAAAAATATAATGTTTCTTGTATGTTGTATGATATGTACCTACATCCTGAAAAATCATGTCACTCATTTCCCTTGGTCTGTCTATCTGCTAACCCCTGGCCCTGCTATAACTTGTAAAATACCACTTGAATATTGGAATTTTAATTTTTGAAAACCTGTACAGTTGTGGCAGAGCCAGGGTAAAAAAATTAAAATATAAAATATCTCAATCTTCCTTGTTTGATCTTTCAGAAACTCATCATTTTATTAAAAAAATTTGCTGAAGATGGGGGTTGGGAGTTATATTTATAAAATGTGTATTTATATATTTGGAAATCAGAGCAGGTTTTTAAGAAATTCTGATTTACAGAGCTATAACTTTTGATTTAGGAATGTTTTTGTCTTACCACATTGCAAATTGAACATAAAAAATGTTTTGGGATTAAACATTATTAATAACTTACCCAACTCTATTCGGGAGCTGTCCTTGAACCAGACTAGTCTGTCTATCTATGATCCCTTGATTTGCACCCCTCTATTGTAGGCTACTTTTCAGTAAATTTCAAATGTAAATATAGGGCTTTGCAAGAAGAGGCACATAATGAATGTAATTCTTCTATGTTTATGATTGTTTACATTGTTCCAGATAAATATCAAGAGAAACTGTTAGATGAAATAGAAAAAGCTCAAAATGAGCTTTTAAAGCTGAGCAGTATTTTTGGAATGTCATGTAAGAAATTGGCTGATGTTGTGAGAAAGCCCTGGGAAGATCCCACCTTAATGCGGCTAATGAAAGAGAAATATGTAGAAATAGGCTCTGAAGGTATGTTGAAGCTGTAACAAATACACTAAGTGCACGTTTACATCAAACGCGCTTCGCTTGGAGCTGTGCGCTTTGCTTTACAGCCCAGTAGGAAGCGAGAGGAACGACAACACAGCTTTAAATGAATGTGTTCAGACCGCGCGCATGGCGCTACGCGCTGTGCCTTACGTTATACTATGCGGAGCGGTGGAAAACGCGATGTGTTGGTTTTGCGTTGCGTTTTGCCTCGCTTGTTCAGACAACTCCGAGGGTTATCTGCATAAACACAATGGAAGAAGAAATTATCACCGCCGTTTTTAAACGAGAGGCAATATGGAATCCGAAGCATGCGTTGCATAAAAATGTATACGCGTTACAAAAAATGTGGAAAGAAATAGGAGACGAAGTTGGAAAAGATGGTGAGTTCATATTATGTTTTAACTAGGGATGGATATAATATATCAACTTTTAGAATGTGTCGATGTCTTCTTTTTGTTGTCCGTATTTTTGCATCGGTTTTGGTTTCCATGTATAGGGGCGTATTCGTGTTTTTATTCTATGTATAAGTGGTTTGCGATACGTCATCTGTATAAACCATCGTGTGTATGAGGTAGTAGCAGTTTTAATTTTTAAGGCAGAGTAGTTAAAGAACAAAATAATTAGGGAATAGAAACTCAAAGATAATACTATATAATACATTTATTGTACGAAAGAAAATTGATTCTGCCACTCAACTGCACCAGTAGTCACAAAATAATTTGTTAATATTTCTCTGGTTCTCTTTGCATCTTCGGAAAAGCGATACTGGGAGTGTGTGTAGGTACTCGGATTAATATCGCCGCTAAAGCCCGTCTGACATTCCTTATTTGTCTTAAATCCCTCCTGTTCTATAACAAAATTGTGCAAAATACAAATGGCCTTTACAATATTTATAGCTGTCTCAATTTTTGTTTCGATAGGTTTTAGTAAAATTCGCCATTTGCCACTCATTATGCCAAATGCGCATTCAGCACATCGCCGGGCTCTGGAGAGACGATAATTAAAAATTCTTTTTGAATTATCTAAATTTCTTCTAGGATATGGCCTCATTAGGTATGGAAGCAGAGGGTAAGCTTCATCGCCTACTATAACCAATGGGGCTTTTATATTTGTTTGTGGTAAGCATTGATCAGGTGGGACGTCAAGCTCTTTTCTGTCTAATGCTCGAAAAAGCGACGAGGACCTAAAATTTCCTCCATCGCTTTGGCGTCCAAAACTCCCAATATCAACCGCAATTAATTTACAGTCAGCATCAACTAGGGCTTGAAGTAATATTGAAAAATATTGCTTATAATTATAGTATAGAGATCCGGTATTGGAGGGACATTTAACTTCAATATGTTTGCCGTCAATACTGCCTATGCAATTTGGAAAATTCCATTTGGTCCAATATTGTTGTGATTTATTGTGCCACGTTGCTTGTGTAGGTTTTGGTAGGTAATCACTTTTCATGGTATCCCATATTACCATGCATGTATGATTTACAATATTTGAAACTGTTGCCACCCCCAATCTGAAGTGTAGAGCTAGGGATCGATAGGATTCTCCAGTAGCAAGAAATCTGCAACAAACATACATAAAATATGCTTGGTGTTAATAGCAATTTTTGTTTCAGTTCAAACTGTTAAAAATAAATGGAAATACTTGAGGGACTACTTTAACAGAGAAACAAAAAAGTTAGAAAAACCCAGATCAGGCAGTGGAGCAAATGAAGCTGTAGCAAGTCCTTGGCAATATTATTCTCTTTTGTTATTTTTAAAAGACCATCTGCAAACCCCACTGAGGGATGCAAATATAGAAGCGGAAAGGGTCACAGAAGATATTGACTTAGAATATAATGATATACAGGACGTAGAGTCGCAAGATTCTGACAATGTTTTGTCACCGCCATCGACCAGCAGTCAAGCACCTTCAAGGTCTGCAAGCCGATTATCTTCTACTTCTGAAACTCGGAAGGGGGCGCAGAAGCGAAAGAAGCAACTGGCAACAGAAAACGACAATAGCGAACTAATAATGTTAGAAAAACGGAAACTTGAGCTCCTAGAGTCTGAATCACTTAAAGAAAATGATGATGATCTTTTGTTCCTAAAGAGTCTTTTGCCATACATGAAGAGTCTTCCTGCTTCAAGAAGATTACGTCTAAGATTAAAGTTTCAGGAACTGCTTCTTCAGCAAGTTGAGGAGCATGAAAGTGAAGTTTCACAAAATGTTTGTGGACAACCTCCGGCACGTGTCTTTACCTTCCCCGCTCCCTCAAGTTCCGCTTCGGACAATCATACATACCATCATCACATACCGATACAGTCAACACATCCGGATCCGACCACACACAATGTATCTGAAGGTAGTGAATTGGACACCCCTATGCGAAGTTTTTTTTCAGGATATAACGCGTAACATTTTTATTCGGACAAATGTATTTTTTAATAAAATAAAACTCAGTTTTTCATAAACACTATAATTTTATTTTGGCTTACCTCAATGTTATAACCAAACGTTGTTCTGCTGAAATCCTTTCACGGAAATTGGTTCCAATCCCACATAAATAAGGATCCAAATGGCTTAGGAGAAGGTCGAAAGATTCCTTTGACATCCTCAAGTATTCATAAAATTTTTCTGGATATTTTCTGGCATCTCGATAGAGGTGATAGAATTCTCCGAACGATTTCCTACATATATTAATCTCATGCACCCACGATCGTTTTAGTTTTTTTCTATTCACTTTCAACGCAATACTTTCGAGTAGTAATATCTTCTTAACTCGTGAAGGAGCCATGGTGAAATGCTTGGAAAATGCGTCTTTAAATATAAAGTGTGTTTTAATAACAGTCGAGGTATGAAAAGCGAAGCGCCTCCGATATGAATGAACCCGAACGCATAGAGGTTCGCTTGACATGAAGTGAGGCGCACAGCTCCAAGCGAAGCGCGCTCGATGTAAACGTGCCCTAAGAAGCTTTGGAGGAGTAGAAATTGACTTTATAAATGAAAAAATCGTTTTACTTCTATTTAAAGACCAAATTTTGAATGGTATTTGGCTACCATTATTGAGCCATGATAACACTATTTGCTGCTTCTCCAGTGATCTTCAGAACATTTGCTATCAAGCTGGCATTGTGCTACATGCAGTAAAACTCATACCATGGCTCTACTAATGATTTGACAAATTGGTTCCTAGTTTTCACACCAATAAACTGGCCGCCAGATTTTACACTTCTAAAGTTTTTCTTTGGAGCTATGCCTACAAATCTGAATAGTCAACCACTTCGCCAAATATCGTTCGAAATGCATCGAACATTGGAATTCACCCTACTTTTGTTTGATGATAGAGATAACCCAACACAGTAGATTGCTATTTTTTGTCATTGTAGAAAGTGCCTCTTGAATTACGTATGAATATAAAAAATGTATCAAGATTGGATTGAGTTTGTCCCTTTTTTCTTTAGAAAAACCAGTTGTTTCAGAAAATATTCAGATAGGAGCTTCTTAGACTCTGTCCTCTTGGAGTTTTTTCTAACATATAGTTTTGTTTTAGAAATCGAGTTCTTCTGCATAGAAACAGCGTACTTAGTGTCAGTAAGGCTGAAGAAATTATGTGAATCACATTGTGAAGATCTAGCTTTGAACCTTGTGACTGCATTCATAAAATGCTACAAATTATCTAAAAGCCGAAATTTCAACATGAATGTTCCAGATACCCAGTGGTGGTTCATTTTTGATACATACATAGCGCTTCTGTATAAATATCGAGATACAGGCAAGATAGACAACGTGGTAAGTGTATTTTTTATACTAAAGCAGTCGCGAAGGAAGGAACATTGATTCCCATATGGCATCAGAAGATACCCAATTTAGTTGAAAGATGACGTGCCTGCGCTAAACGTGCATCGTCTTCAATTGACATCGTTAACAAATCTGTTGATGGCATGTTTAAGAATAAATGGTTCTCTTTAATCGGATAAATGAATTACTACGATCTTAACTCGGGAACATGGCTTCGACGATGGAAATTGTATATGAACATCCAAATACAGCAAGCAAAGAGCTCTCATCTACAAAGCTACGGATCGGATTTATTGTGCAGGATATGCCAGTAAAAACTAAAACTGACATTTTGATTTGAAAATAAATACGCGTCTTATTTAGCCAGTTTTGCTAGTTGTTTTATTGATGGTTTTTATCTACTATTTTCAGATAAGAGGTATCACCTCTGAAGAGTGTTACCAGCTAGTAAAAAGATTCGTGAAGAAACGCGTGAAGATATCAAAAATCTGGAAAAATTGTCAAAAGATCGCAAATTATGTAGCTCAGTCATTCATTTCCATCACAGTCTTGAAGTATACGAGTGAACTCAAGCCAACATTAGAGAAATTTATTGAGCTGTACATATCTATGTCTAATGATAATCTTGATAACCTAGAAGAAACATCAAAGGGTTTAAGGCGGTGCAGTCATGTGGCAGATGCAGCTGGTCTTCATGTTTTTTGTGAGGTTATTCAACGAATGGTAAGTTAACCTATTTATTACCATTGATTTAAATATTCCTCCAGAAGGTAACCAATTTATTGTCCAGCCGTGTCTGCGCGAAAATTGGCATATTTCCGATGTTTTTCAGCGGTGATTAAACAATTGTATATGTATTCTCGTACGGAGATTTCATCTTGTTAACCAGAAATACTTTGGCATTAGATTACTCTTGAACGTTATATTGTTTAAGTGAATATCACTGTGCAATCTGAACATAGTAAGGTTGTTCTTTATATAGAGATTTCAGTTCATGATGTATTGAGAGGGCAAAATTCCTGGGTTTGTAAGAGCCATACAATTAGATCTAAAATCCAATTACTGAATTATCATCTTAAGGATAAAGACGCGATGCGACTACGAGGTCTGTAAATTGAGTGATGAGACTGGCAAAGTTAGCGTTTGATTTTGGCAACACTGGGCTTGGAGGGGGACAGAGGGAGATGGAGGAACATGTGATCCGCCGAAGATATTATGAGGGTGACAATATAAAATTGTAATTTGAATGTAAAAATAAAAAAAAACAGTGTAATTACCTAATTTACAGACCTCGTATACAGGGTGTCCCGCGAGGTAAGGGACAAAAATTTTCTACGTGTTCCTTAGGTCAATTCGAGTGGAAAGTCCTATGAACATGGGTCCGCAAATGCTTCCTTAACGAGATAATGATTTTATTTTTAGGGTGCTAATGGTGGGAAAACCACAATATTGTTAAAATTACTTTTATTTAACACAAAATTACTAGGAACAATAAAAATAACTATTCACAATAGTTGTTCAAAGTGTCCACCTTCACACTGTAAACACAGTCTAGCCCATTTAATAATGTGACTGGTGGCTTTCCCAATAACAAGAAGAATACTTCTTATGTCGTCAGCGACATTAGTAATTTTACGGAGCAGTTCAGCCCTGGTATGCGATTTCTCTGCATACACTAAACACTTCATATGTCCCGACACTAATAACACTGGACAACAAATTTTAGTTTTTTAATTGTATCTTGTGGGAAAAGTGCACTTCTATGTTAATTTTGGGGCGCTGAATCCAAAAATAACAATGAAATAAAAAAATTAGTTGCTGTTTAGAAAAAAAACTTTTTTTAAGGATATATTAAAAAAAGTAACAAGATTCATATACTTATAAGAATCACTATATGCGCTGTATTTTTGCTGTTCTTTTATGGATCGTTTCTGGAGCGTCTCTACCAAGAGTCCAACAGTAGTCTGCAAGCATGGAAGGATTCCACTTTCCCTGGTACCTTTTTTCCATTGTTGAAATATCCTGATGAAAACGTTCGCCGTGCTCATCACTTACGGCTCCGCAATTGTCAGGAAAAAAGTCCAGGTGTGAGTGTAGGAAATGTATCTTAAGAGACATATTACAGCCCATCTTTTGATACGATGACAGCATATTTTTGACAAGGGTTTTATAGTTGTCAGCTTTTCTATTTCCCAAATTAGTGACCACCAGACGGAAATCATTCCAAGCAGTTTTTTCAATACCTGTTAAAGTGTTTTCAAACTGTGTATCTTTCAAAATATTTCGAATCTGTGGCCCAACAAAAATACCTTCTTTAACCTTTGCCTCACTTAGTCTTAGACATTTCTGACGCAGGTATTGAAAAGCTGACCCATCTCTATCTAATGCCTTGACAAAGTTTTTCATTAGGCCCAACTTGATATGCAGTGGTGGTAATAAAATTTTTTTCGAATCTACTAATGGCATATGCTGTACATTTTTTTGACCTGGCTCTAGGAATTGACGAACAGGCCAGTTTTGTCTGGTGTAATGAAGTGCCTTTGCCCGACTGTCCCATTCACACAAAAAACTGCAAAACTTTGTGTAGCCTAGCTGCAGCCCAAGTAAAAGTGCAACGACTTTCAAATCGCCACAAATATGCCATTGGTGCTCATCGTATTTTATGCATGTCAATAGGTACTTCATATTGTCATATGATTCTTTCATGTGAACTGCATACCCTACAGGAAGAGATGATAAAATATTTCCAATATGCAATAACACTGCCTATAAACTCAATGTTGAACTGTGTATAAACAATCTCCATTCTTCTGGGTTATAGTTTATATTTTAAAGGCGCCAGTCAGCCGTTAATGTTACTGCAGAAAACCAAGTTATTCTCCATATTGAGAAATGGTTCTAAGTCTTTGTGGCGTTTACGAAAAACACATACCGAAACATCGTCTTCTAACAAGTTCCACTGCTGCAGTCTTGATCCAAGTAACTCTGCCTTACATTTTGGAAGTTCTAAATCTCTTACAAGATCATTTAATTTTGTTATTTTGTGCGGTTGGTGGCATGACGTGCTCGGTATAAAATTAGGATCTCTTGACGTTGATGGCATATCTTCTTCCTGACGAATCACTCGATCGCCATGATCTGATTCGTTTTCTGATTCGCAAGTGTAGGATTCTGGGGGTTTTGGAATAGGATTTTCGTCACTGTGAGGCACAGGTCTCATCGCAGATGGTATGTTTGGGTAGTTAATAACCGATTTTTTTTCTTGGACATACCTGTGGCTTGTCCATCACAAGGTACCATGCAAAAGTAACAATCATTAATATGATTTGTAGGCTGTCTCCAAGCGTATATCAGGCAGTACAACGTGAATGTGGAGTTTAATTATTGTAAACAGTTGTTTTCATACGAACAGTCTTACATTTTTTTTAATAATATTGTGGTTTTCGCCCACTAAAAATAAAAAAATCATATCTCGATAAGGAAGCATTTGCGGACCCATGTTCATTCGACTTTTTCGACTCGAATTGACCTGAGGAACACGCAGAAAAATGTTGTCCCTTACCTCGCGGGACACCCTATTTGTCATATTTAAGAATAAGTTTTCCTTGAAAGAAAAATAGCGTATTTTTTATTACTTCTAAATCTAGTAGAATAACATTATATTTTGCAGGCGGGGCAAAAATTAAAACCCTTTACGATAGAAATGTACATCAGGGCTCTGACTGCTGATATGAACGAGCTAGAAAAACAGAAAGATGCCAAGGATATGGAGAATGTGGATATGATTACCCAACGTTTGGCAAATGCTTTCGTAAGTCTGGCCGAGTTTTTGGATGAACATGTCAATGTTGCTCGGGAATGTGTACTAACTGCCTTCAGCTTGTCACCAACGACAGAGAGATTAGAAAAGATCAAGGAATTGGCCAAACGAAGTGGGTTCAAGGTAAGTCCTAAGTTACTTTTTTATTCTATTTTGACAATAGTTGCTTCACATCCATGAAGGGAAAGTCCCATTCCAAGTTCTATGCGATGTTTTGAGCTTGATTTGTCATGTAGATGGTCATTTTATTACTCGGTGCAGTACAATCGAAGATAATGCTTTTCCTGGTGTCAACACATGTTTGTCAATTCAAAATTCATTTTAGTTAGTTGTTGTGTAAAATAGGACTTTCACAAATGAGGGGGATTGAGTCACTGTTCTGACAAACAAGAATACTGGTAAATAAGTGATTTTGGGCAAACCGGATAAGGTATAAACCCTATTTCACGAGTGTCCATCAGGATTTGACAACAGCTGATCAGCAAGTGAGATCTTTGTATTAGTCTGTAACATTGGCAATAATGAGTAGGGTGCAAATGTAGTAAAACTTGCTTGTAGCGTTTTTTTTTGTATGCAAATAAACTTTTCTAAATAAAAGAGTTGTTAGCAAGTACAAAATGAATCTGCAGTGAACAAAAAACCAAAACAAAATACTGCTATGTCTACCTGGATTTGACGGATCGGTCAGCATTTGTCGACATAGTTTTGACAGATACTAGATGATCAGGTATCTGCATATACGGTGTTAAGTATGTACCATGAATTTAACAGACGATGTTTAAGGTAATTTTAAGACAAAAAGTTCATTTGAACATAGGTCCGCAAATTCTTCGTTCTCAAGATACAAGATGTTGAAATTATTAAAAAAATGCTTTTTCGTAAATTTCTTAAATATCCTATACCAAGTTTTGTTGTAATTTGGCGGTGGTATTTATAACATTAAGTAGCTAATTTAGCCCCAACTTGATTAAATTTATTTGGTCTAGTGGCCTCTCGAGCGGGATCGGACCGAATCTTTGTGACAAAAAATATACGCCACTGACCTTTGTGCAGTTTTTATTATGTTCAGTGGATTAAGCAAATAGAAATACACCTTTTCTGTTTCATGATTTTTTCCGTATTTTGCTTAGTTTTCTACAAAAAAAGGTCCACTTAACTGCATATCCCTGAACTCATTACAGTAGCTTCGTTCCGATTCACCCGATTAGCGATTTCTCTAAAAGAAAATCCGGCTTCACGTAACCCGATTATTCGACCCCTCTCAAACTCGGAAAGTTGAGTGAAATTAGCGCGTCTGCGAACTGTGGGCTTGATAATGCAATGAAACAAATGGAACCAATACAGAAAAATCAATGAATATTGAGTAAACATGTTCAAACTCGGATCCTGATATAACAAAAAAAGCCTTTACAAAAAAGTACAGCTCGGAATGCCTCCCAACATTTTAACAGCTTGTACTTTCATGATAGCAAATATGTTTTCAAGTCAAAATTCAATAAATAATTCTGGGTGTTGCATTTTATATGTCACTGAGTGTAATTGAACGGAAATCGAAAGCTTAAAAACAATCGGAAGTTCCGACTTTTCGGAATCGGAATTGAACCTCCGTAACACCCTGGACAAAACTGCTACGGAAACGTTTGCTTTGGTCACTGACGGAAAACTTCCTCTCGTTGTGGCAACTTTGAATCTCACCGTATGTTGACCGTGTGAAGATTGATTCTCACTATACATTCCGTTTAAGTTCCGTAACCGTTCCGTAAATTATTGAAATTAAAAATTCGCCTTCGCTTAAAGCAGGCTATTGCGTGTGTATGCACATTATCCGTCAGGTATACTGTGTATACAATCACATTGTACAGAACGTTTACGAAACTGATATGGAATGGAAACGGAATGTATAGTGAGAATCAACCTTAACCTGTATTTCAGTAACATTCGTTTTACCGTTTCCGGGATCCCAAAGGCCAGATTCGAATTTGAAACACAAGTAACATGTACGGGGTGTTAGGGAAATAATATTCGTTAAGAGGTGATTCCTTGCATTATTCTAAGCAAAAAAGTTCATTATGACCTATGTCCGAAAAGCAACCGTTTCGGAGCAAAAACATGCTGAACTTAGTCATGAAATAAATTAATTATGCACCTGAATCATTTAAATTCATATGCCAAATAGCATAAAATGTGTCAATACATCCATTTATTAATTAACTGTCTCTAACAAAATAATTTTCTTGCTTATTAAATACAATTTTCCGATGAAAAACAGACAAACAAAATCCCTTACACAACTGGCAACGTCGTACTCCGCCTGCACTGCATGTATCATCGCGTGTTATTGTGATTACTAATACATTTAACTGTAACTTTATATGCTTTACGTTTTTCCGTACATCGCATCGTTTTAAATAAGTGACTGATAGTCGTGGAAATTGGTGGTCCGTATCGCCACGTACCGGTAAGTTCTGTCATTTTTTTAAGTAAATGTACTGTACTGTAAGCGTTATTAAATAAAAAATATTAGCCACAAAAAATTGCGTAAAAGTTTTCAGTAATTCAAGGCATATTTTCAACAAAAATATCATACAAACGTAAACAATTCGATGAATCAGTTGCGGTCGTCCTGCGCCCGTATCGCGGTTGCGTTGCAGCGTTGCCGAATGTTTGAGAAAATTTAATTATTTACGACTCACTTTCCTCGAAAACCATTGATTTTCGGACATAAGTTATAATTAACTTTTTTGCTTAGAATAATGCAAGTAATCACCTCTTAAAGTTACGAATATTATTTCCCTAACTCCCTGTATAGTGCTTTTAGCAAAACTAAGTTTATATCTAGCATAGATTTCAACTAATCCTAGTCATTTCTCAACTAATAGATATTGATTCAGCTTGTGGAAAACCCTGAATGTATAATTTAATTTTTGTAAAAAATGTTCTCGCCATTTAATTTTTGCCGAGCTATAGGTAAGGGAGGCAGCTGCTCCTGGGTACGCCCTTGTATAGATAGAAAGCACTTTTTGGGATTTACTAGCCTTCATTGAGGGACATGCAACATTGCAAATTACCGAGATGTCAGCAAACATCCTAATGTAAATAAACAGGTCTATATTTTTTATTAGCGGTGTTTTTGTGAGATGTAAATTTGAATATTATTGGCTCGTCGGCAATTGTTTATGAAGTTACACGTCTCGTTGAAGGGCGTCTGATAATTCTAGGTCTTTAACTTCTTAACACTTCGGTCCGGAACGTCAACCTGAACGTTTTGCCAAAGGACTGTTATTTAAAACTGCTACAATTACTGCTTAATAGACCACTTGACATTTGAAATAAAAGTGCGTATTACTTGTGATCCTTTGTAAGCATATCCCGTACAATACCAAACATTACAATGGCATGCATGGTACGATTCTAATAAAAATTACAGGTTACCACAGCTGAGGAAGATTGGAAATGCCGTTTGCACCCACCCGCTCTACCAACTGACGAAATAACCTGGATATGTTCAGAATGCGGAGATTGGATGTGTAAACCTAGCGTAGAATTGCCAAAGATCAACATGACCCTGCACGAAGCACTCCAGAATTCCGTTTTAGGAATATCTGAGCCGTTATGCGACGATCTGGTGGTGTGTCTATCGAACCCGAGGTATCAAGTACTCAGTTGGTACCTGCCTTGGGACGACCTCCATAGAATTTGCAAAATGTACTTGCATGACCCACAGAATGCTAAGAATTTAGTCACTGAGCTGAAATTTGTTGACATAGATTACTCTATGTTTAAAAATATCAAGACAGAACCACTGGATGAGCTTGCTGGTATTGAGAGAGGATACGAGCAGTATTTAGATCAGAATTTTGTTTCTGATGAAGAATCGCCGTCAAATAGCGAAGATTCGATGTCACAGGACTCACGACCGTACAGTCTTGGAAGTGACGGTGCCGGAGACTTCTTTTTACCGTTACTGAATACACTACCGAAAAAATCCGATCCCGCGACCCTCAAAAACCTGAGAGAATTTAGACCGGCATTAAAAAGGCACAAGGATAAGGATTCGAACGAAGGCACGCCTGAAAAACAGTTCAAGCCTTCTTCTAGCGAACCTCAGCCTTCGACTTCGACAGCCACAGATGAGTCAAAAAACGTAAAACTTGCCACATTGCCCCAACTTCGTGGGCAAGTGGCAAAGGAAATGAAAGTAATGAAAATAACGTTAAAGGATATATTAAAAAAATTACATCAGAAAACAGAACAAGAATCCATGGAGCAACCACCTCTCAAGGAGATAGTATCTGTAAAACCAACAGAACAGACATTGAACAGAGAAACACAAAACAGGCCCTCGTTCAGTTCATCCAGAAAAAATCTGGATATCAGCAGCTCTCAGAAGAAAGTTCTCATAAGAATACCCAAGGAAAGACTAAAAATGTCTCAGGTCATTGCTCAATACCCGCCACGAAGTCAACCAATAACCATTACGCGGAAGCATACGCCTCTGATACTAAAATCAGCAAAGTCAACTCATCAAATCAAGGTAGTACCTCCCAGCTCCCAGAAAGAAACCAGTACTCCGCTCTCATTGGAACAGAAATTACTGCTGCGCTCTCGGCAAACGCAACCAGTGCTGGAAAACCCAATCAAAGAGGTGGCACCAGTGGATTCGCAAGTAGGAGCTATCCCTCCGCTGCTTCAGTCCGCACCACGTCCAAGCACACTGTCTCCCAAGATTCAAGACTCACATCCAATAACTTCAGTGGAAACTCAGTCTCAAACGCCAGCTATCGGCCAGCAGTTGGTACGCAACACGATACCACAAAGTTTGATAAGCCCACAACCAATCAGCAAGACTCTGCAAGTTCACGACACCCAACCCAACACCTCAAAAGGACCGAGTACACCACAGCCTGTAAGGAACGACAAAATTACGGATCCTCAGCCCAGCACCTCAAGGAAACCACGATTCCTACGAGTGAAAAAACCTGTGTGGCTCAGTACAGAGAAGATGAGAAGCACGCATGGTGTAGTTTCTATTCAAAGCAGCCCATCTCGAATGACAGGAAAGAATTCTCAAGAGCCGGTACCACCAACACCACAAGTCAGTACGGCGCAGCCAGCGGAAGTACCTCAACCTCGGGGAACCAGCTCAGAATTAATAATCGCAAAAAGTCAAGCGGTTTTACCCCAGACCAGCAAAGCATCAACAGCAGTGACACCTTCCAAACAGCGAGCCAACATTCTGCAACCCAAGGTGATTACCTTGGCTCAGCATCAGCCATGCCTATTTCAGGAAACCAGTTTACTATCAACATCCCCAGAACTCCAGGCAGAAGTACCTGCGGCCAGCCTAGTAAAAACTACGGCCAAGGAGGTCAGTCTGCCTCAGCCAAGGGAACATCAGGGATCCAGTTCCAAATCAGTTCTGAGAAGCAAAGCGGAAGTATCTCCAATTCCAGTCAACGTGGTCACTCTTCCTATACCAGTGGTACCTCCGGAGAATACTCCTCGAGTAAAGACGCTCTCTATCCTTCAGATAGTGCCGCCTCGAACAACAAACGCACAGGCAGTACCCCAGCCACCATCTGTCAGTCCGCAATCAACAACAAGACTTACTTCACCACCAGTAGTACAAAAAATGACTGTCAAACGTCAAATTTTGGATATGCCACAACAAATAGCTTATGTGACTCAGCAAGAAGTCAGTCATGTAGTGGCCAGGGATATGACACAAGAGGAATTAACATCTGCCAAGCCTCAGGAAGTCAGTCTAACGTTGAAGGATATGGCTCAACAGGACCTCCAGTCTACGTCTCAGAATATTCGAGAACCCAGTCCTTCAAACAGTCAGACTCTAACAGAAGCTGGGACGAGGGGGATGGACCGACTTATTCAGGCAGCTCGAAATTTCGATGCTCGCCAAAAGGAGAAGCACAATATAACTGTTCAGAAGCAGCGAATCCAAGCAGGCAACCTCCAGGACACACAACTCATACCACAGGCCTCGCCAGAAATGAAGTGCACGCTACAGGAAGTCGGCCAGGGTCAACCATCTTCATCAACTCAGGCAGCATCGTTACAAAAGGACATCCCAATCGTGTCTCCCATGAAGACACATCAGATATTAACAGAAATCTATCCTTGGACGCTAGAAGGGAGCAGACTGAGCACACCATCCCCAGAATCTGCTCAGTTAGTGCAACAGACAACAACAGAGGTTCACAATCCTTCGACGTTGCAGGAGGACAGCCCGGTTCAACAAATAGAGACCAGTCCACCTCAGTTGCCACTAGAGGACTTGATGGATCAACTGTCTTCTTTACAAGAAACCGATCCAACATCACCAGATATCAATCCGCCTCGATCACTGCCAGAGGAACTATTTCAGATCGAAAACCTGGATCACTTAGTCAGTCATATAACTCAAGAAACCAACAGCATGCCGACTACACCTCCACAGGAGTCGCACGAACTTCCAGTAGAGATGAATCTTCGTCTCCAACAAGAAATCAGTCCTTCTCCTACCCTGTTAGGCAGTTCATCTCTGCATGCGATGGAAAAGGATCATCTGCCTCCACAACCCATCTGCCACCAAGTCAGTCCTTCTCCATCAGAACCTACAGTCATAGATCCTCAAAAACTCCGTCGACTACAGGTTGTGATATCTCCAGGTACACGTTTCAGGGCCGATCGGTCCCTCCAAAGACGCCAGTGTCGGCGGGGTACAGCTATTCGATTGCCGTGTCAGACCACCAAAGAAAAAGGTCGGAAGACTCGTCGTCGGAGAACGGTTTCTCATGGTCAAGCAAGAGGTATGCAGAAACCACGCAGCATTCCTCGCTGGAAAAGCTTGCCCAGAACACAGTTCACAGAGTCCAGGTCTCCAATCAGACAGACTTCTCCAATCAGACAGACGTCTCCAGTCAGAATATCCAAACAGACGTCTCCAGTCAGAATATCCAAACAGACGTCTCCAGTCAGAATATCCAAACAGACGTCTCCAGACAGAATATCCAAAAATCTGCCCGAGAAGACGTACGAGGCAGTCCTGTTTCTGAGGGACAAGCCAAGGTCCCACAGCTACCCATCAACACTCTCCACTATTTACCAGGTAAGATTTTCATAATAGCCATTTTTATTTTCTACCCCAATTTCGAAAATGGGTTAAGTTTGTGGATTAATTTGCCCGAAAGCGCCCGAAAACATACGAACGTAGTATCGGTTGCAATTTCGGTGGATTTACTGCCGAAACCGAAACTCTGATTTTCTGCCGAAACTGGCAGGAACCGAAAGTTCGGTCGGACACTACCCGTTGATACATTCCGTATTTACAAATATGCTAAAGATCCAAGCAAACATTCTCATAACTTTAACATTTTGGACCTACTTTCTGCCGTAGAAACATTGCCATTGTTTTTTTGAATAACCATTGATCAACTTTTGCAGAGCAAGGACATCTGTACTACCTCTCCGAGGACGTACAAGTCAAGTCTGTCATTGCTGAAGTCGATTCGAAAAGCGGAGTGGCCCCAAACAGCGCCGAGGTGCGTCAGCGTCCCGTTGAGGTCGGGGACGGAAATCAGTACCTCGGAGGACGAGGAGGAGGTGTCGGTACGACCTCAATCATGCTCCATAGGATTCAAGCAGCCAATAAAAGACTCAAGCATGTCCGACGCGTCACGGATATTACAAAATTTCTTTTGTCGTCGTCGACAACCTTCTCAGGGTGCTCATCCAGTGCGAGACCCTACTCACTCGAAGAGCTCTCAGAAATCTTCAGTGCTGAGGATCACCATGGTATGTATAGTCATTATTTAACATATTCAGGGTTATTGGCGATTTGCTTTTTCTCTATTGTTATAGTAAAACATTTCGGATATGAGATATTGTTTTTTCATGTTATCTGACATGTACATCACGAAAAACCATTCCACTCATTTCTGTCGGTCTCATGTCTGTCTGGGTTACTACTATGCCAAGGACGAAAAAGATTCGTAATGTTTAAAAATCGGTACAGCCAAAAACGAAAAAAAGCGTTCAAACATTTTTTTCTCATTTAAACTCGTGCTTTGTGCCGCCAGCATGCCTGATTATCCTCTGTTTTGCTGTGAAACTGTAGAACAACTTGTACTGAAAATTTTCTTTTCAGCCGAAGTGGAAGATGCCATTCTTAGTGGACGACGAACAAGATCTGAAGGACCTGGTGAATTGCCCGCGGTCCCCCCCGACTGTGGCGATGATATCGGGTCAAGTATGCATCTTCAATCACAATCGCATAAGGGAGGGGTTAGGCATGCCATCAATTTGTTACCAAACAACTGTGGAGCGGGAGAAAAAAATTCTGGAGATGTGGACGAGCAGTTCTGAAGATGAGGAGGAACTGCAAGTCGAAAAAGATTTGGAGGACACTTGGAGGCATCAGAGTGACTTCCTAGGTAGGATCATTTAGTTTTATAATTTATAGGGTCAAAACTACAGGGTGGCCCATAAGTCCTTTGAGCTGGAAAAAAAGGAATAAAACCAAACTAGTTACATTATGCAGAATTATTATATTTTATCATCTTTATTGAATGGGAATTATGTTTTAAAAATCACATCGTCTAAATGCAATCCATTACGATCACGGCACTCATATAAACGACGTCTAAAATTGTCGATGACTGCGCGGCAAGTCAACACTGTAATGCTTGCCATTTCTCTTCGGATATTTTCTTTCAGGACATCAACTGATCGCGGAGTGGTGTCGTACACTTTACTCTTGAGGTAGCCCCATAAAAAGCAGTCCATTGGGATCAAATCTGGACTACGTGGTGGCCAGGAAATGTCTCCTCTTCGAGAAATTACTTTGCTGGGAAAAAGTTGACAGACGACGGGCATAGAAGTGTTGGAGGTGTGGGCAGTTGCTCCGTCCTGTTGAAACCAGGTCTGCGTATTATAGCCTGGAAAATTCTGCAACGCTGGTGTCAAAAACTCTTCTATCATTGCTACATACCGCTCCGAAGTAACAGTTAATGCGTGACCTCTGTCGTCCTCAAAAAAATAAGGGCCTACGATGCAATGCGCTGACATAGCAGCCCAAACTGTAACTTTAGGGCTGTGTGAGGGCTTCTGATGCTTACGCCTTGGATTTTCGGGGCTCCAATAACGGCAATTTTGTTTATTTACATGCCCGTTTAAATGGAAGTGAGAACAACACATTATTGAGCGAAGAAAATCGATTCAACATTTCATTCGCAAAGTTTAGTCTCTGAATAGCGTCATTATCTTTTAATTCCTGCACTACCTGAATTTTGTAAGCGTGCAGACGTAACTCTTTCCTTAAAATCCGCTGTAAAGATGTTCTGGGTACGTTTAGTGCACTGGAACGCTTACGAGTAGACTGGGTAGGATTTTGACGAACAGACTGTGCCACAATGTTGATGTTTTCTTCAATACGAGTTGTCCTTGGTCGACCCCACCGCTGTTTATCTAACGTCGAACCAGTCTCTTCGAACTTAGCAACCCAGTTCTTAATCGTTTGAGCTCTTGGACACTTTGTAAATTGTGGTACATATTCTCGATATTTACGCCGCGCAATGGTTGCCGAATCATTATTTTGATAAAACGCGCGCACACAAAAAGCACGATCCGCTCCAGTGAAACACTCCATGGCGACTGAATTCCCAGACACTGAAGATACTGCCCCCACCTCGCCCGCGCCGCTCACGCTCACCCGTTAAATTTTATTCAAATTTGAAATTTCAAAGGACTTATGGACCACCCTGTACTATTACTAATTCAACGACCTGGCTTGGCTTGTCATATCTCAGATTGGGCTATGTTTTTTCTGGAGAGTACCTACGAGGGCGTTCCGATAAGTACTTAGCCTACAAAAGAAAAACCAAAATTTTGGAAAAGTGGTTATTTACTTCTCAACATAGTATTATTTTAGCTGAATACATGTGCCCTAGCTATGCTCCAACTTCTTTAACCTATCTGAAAAGTATGTTTTCTGGACGTCTGCAAAGTAGGCCTCCGTGGCGGCGCTAACCTCCTCATTCGACTCAAATTTCTGCCTGGCGAGTGACTTTTTCAAGTTTGGAAACGAAAAGAAGTCGCATGTGGCCAAATCTGGAGAATACGGTGGATGGGGCAGCAGTTCGTAGCTTAATTCGACCAATTTGGGCCGTTTTTTCTGTATTTGGATTTTTGTTATAGTCTGCGATTTTCCTTGTCTTCATTACGTGACCAGATCTAGAGGACAAAAATTCTAAATAACTGCTGTATGTTTGTTTATGGTCTGCCAAGTGGCTCAAAAAATCAATGCCTTGAGATGGGTGGTTGACCAGCTTTTTACTTATCATCTGCTCAACTTAGTCCAGAGACTCAAATACAATAGGGTACCTACAGGGTTTGTCCGGAAAGTAATAGGACTGAGTCGATTTAAAAAAAATTATTGAGCCAATCGTTACAATTCTTTAAACACTTTCAAAATACAAAATAGGCTCCTTCTGCGTCGATGCAGCGCTGCCAGTGCGATTTCCAAGCGCTGAACGCGTTACGGAAGGCATTATCCGGAATAGCCTTGAGAGCCGCGGTGCATGCTGCTTGGATCCGCTCTGTCATCTCAAAATGCTTGCCTTTCATCGGCCTTTTCAGGCGAGGAAATAAAAAAAAGTCCGGGGGGCCACATCTGGGCTGTAGGGCGGCTGCTGATGCGTTGGGATGCCGGCCTTAGTCAGGTAGCTGTTCACAAGAATGGCGGTGTGAGCCGGGGCGCTGTCGTGGTGCAACTTCCAGTCGGCTGCGATGTCTTGTCGGACCCGACTGACCCTTCGTTTGAGTCTCCTGAGCACTTTTACGTAAAACTTGGCGTTGACGGTTTGTCCAGGAGGATCAAATTCATGGTGGCCGATGCCTTTGATGTGAAAAAAGACAATGAGCATCGTTTTCACTTTGGATTTGCTCATTCTTTACTTTTTTGGACGAGGAGACGCCGTCGTGTGCCACTCGGAAGATTGCCTCTTTGTCTCGGGATCATACTCAAAGATTCACGACTCGTCACCTGTGATTACGTTATTCAAAAATGAGGGTCACTTTCACACATGTTCAAATTTTCTTGTCACACTTCCACTCACCGCAATTTCTGGTCGTCAGTGAGCACTTTTGGGACCATCTTCGCACACACCTTGCGCATGTTCAAATGCTGTATCACAATGTCATGAACCACAGATTTTGGTAAGTTTAACATCTGGGCAATTAAACGAATACTTAGTCGACGGTCTGAGTTCAAAACGTTGCGCACACGAGTCACATTATCGGTGTTTGTCGAAGTCGAATGTCTTCCAGCACGGTCTTCATCAGCGACCTCTTCCCGGCCCTCCAAAAAGGCCTGGTGCTACCGAAACACACCACTTCTTGCTAAAGCTACACCTGGGTAAGCCTGCTTGATCATATCAAACGTCTCTGTCGCAGATTTACCGAGTTTCACACAGAATTTAATCGCGTATCTCTGCACTAACGAACGCTGCATTTTCGGCTTGCACCACTAACAGAAACACGTCGCGCGAAAATGCCTGTCCTGACTCTCCAAGTGCTCGGAGACAACTGACCAGCCGCTCATTCGTTAGCTAGGAACGCCCTCTACCGAATTCAGTCGGTGCGCGCAAGCTCCGAAGTACAGTCATGGCGGAAGAAAATGAGTCCTATTACTTTCCGGACAAACCCTGTACTTCTAAAAAAGCTTATATCACACAGTGATCTTATTACCAGAAATCTCAGGCGTAACTGCAGCTTCAACATACCTAGTTATAAAACTAATATGTCCCATCCTAGTTATATCTACAATGCTGTGAAAGGGTATAATGATCTCAATGATACCCACAAAAGCAAAGGTCTACTTGCATTAAAAAAAGCCGTCTAGAACCATCTTCTGGGATCTGCTAACCAAACTAGCTAATAAAATAGGATATAGTTGTCCCTGTTTATTTTTTTCTTAGTAAAGCATATTGTGTTGTTTTTTATTCCTTCTATTGGTGCTCATACATAGTCTTGTATTAATCCAGCGTATTTTATCATTAAGCCTTACAACTTCGTTGTATATATACAAAGAGAAAAGGATCATGCGGAGAAAGGTATATAAAAAATAGAAAAATAATGGGCAAAATCCGCAAAAGAAGGAAAGTGAATTCGAGCAGAAAATAGGATAGGTAACCCGAGCGATACGTATTTCTGCTGGTTGGCTTTATCGGGCCCGAAATGAATGCACATATGCAACTTCAAAAGTAGATAAACATGCCCATACATCCGGATGGTTTTTGATAAATTATATTGTTGATGTAAAATTAAGAGTCACCACAGGAGTGATTCCAGATTGTATCCAGAAAGATGTGTTTTGGCGTCACATGTAAACACTACAGATCACTCGATGTGCGATAACAGTATCAAGGTCCTTGATAAAGAACATCTCTCTAAACGTTTATTCTTAGAAATGTCACACATCTTCATGACTGACAGTTGTATGAACAAAAAGGCCAATGTCAAGCAACTTAGTGTTACCTACTCATATTTGCTAAATTGCGAAAAATTGGAATGATTACACATTTCTCCTAATATTGGTTTGTCACAATAACAGATATAACAGTTACAGTAGGTAAAACCAACGTTTTTTTCCAATAAAATAATATGTTTCTCCCACTTTTTCTCCAGGACAAGTCTTTGATTACATCAACCAATTTTGCCAAGTGGTGACTCTTAACTTTACATCAACAATATAATTTAACAAACACTATTTTTTCACAATAAATTCAGAAACTTTTATATTACGTTTTGTACTAAAACTAATGTATCACACACATCTTGTTTTTTTAACAAAAAACCAGGTCCCCTTCTGCTGCCTGAACGATGATACCAACTTCACACAAAAATTTCTAACCTCTCGACCAGGTTATTCAAAAATATAAATTTGAAAAGTTGAATGGGAAAAAAATATCCAATTAAGTGTTGTCCAAATCCTTCTGCAGTGGAGTATTGAAACACAGTCATGTTGTTGCATCGTTTTTTGACGTAGATCCAGTTTTTTTAGGTTATTCAAAAATATAAATTTGAAAAGTTGAATGGGAAAAAATTATCTAATTAAGTGTTGTCCAAATCCTTCTGCAGTGGAGTATTGAAACACAGTCATGTTGTTGCATCGTTTTTTGACGTAGATCCAGTTTTTTTATTACCTTACCGTATGTCCCCTTTTACGTCATTTTTTTAACATCAAATACTAGCACCATCCTCACTGACGGAGTAAGTAAAAAAATTTCTAATGGTTTTATTTTAATAAAAGTTGGTGAATGTATTTATCTTACTGTAAATAACAAGTGAAAAAATTTTCAGCCTTATCAGTTGGACATTCCGGTTTTTATACTGCTTTTTTTTAATTCACTAACGCTCTAAAAATGAATATTTCAGCCGCAGTAAAGAATCAACGTTGGCGGATTTTGGTTCTTGACATCCTTTACGATCGGTTACGATGCCTAGAGTACGGAGACCTGTACGATTTCGTCAACTTAGTGAGTTTGATAGGGGCCCTATAGTGGGACTTCGGGAAGCTGGACTTTCTTTTCGGGCAATTGCAGTTAGAGTGCAAAGAAGTGTAGACACTGTGGTTAGGTGTTGTCAGGCATGGCTTCGAGAAGGCCGTACGCAAAGAGCAAGGGGCACTGGACGCCGCCGTAGAACAACAGACCGTGAAGATCGCCGCCTAAGATTATTGGCCTTAAGAGACCGTTTCTCCACTACCAGGTCCATTGCAAATGAATGGTTTGCAGAACACGGAAGATCTATTGGCATGCGAAGTGTTAACCGACGAATGAGAAGTTTTGGGTTGTTTTCATACCGGCCACACTGGGTCCTCCCTTTAAGTCGAGAACACCGACGTCATCGCCTTGAGTGGTGCAGACAACGGTCACTCTGGGATCAGGAATGGAACAGTATTGTCTTACTTATACAAAATTTTATTAAAATAAAACCATTTAAACTGGGTGTTCGGATTTATATGTCACTTAGTATATTTTCAATGCGATGGTGCCCCATGCCACTTTGCACTGGATGTACGGCATTACTTAGACAGTGCATTTCCTGGTCGTTGGATAGCTAGAGGCGGACACATACAATGCCCTCCAAGGTCACCCGATTTAAATCCTCTAGATTTTTTTATATATGGGGGTATAAGGGGATAATCTATACAGCTGAATATACAAATGTCAACCAACTGCGCCAGAAAATTGATGAAGCAAAAATAAAAATTATGAAAAACGCAAATTCATTTCAAAGACTAAAGGACAATTTTATTAGGTGTCGCTTGTGTATAGAAAATAATGGAGGCCATTTCGAACATGTTCTTTAAAAGTCAGTTAAATTAAACTATCTTCCACATTTGTCGGTAAATCGCCATAAAGAGCGGCTAAACACAATAGGTTTTGTACTTGTAGGTGGTAAGGACTCTAGTGCGTTTATTATGTTTATCGCATCACAACAACGAATGTGACATGATACACTCATCGTAGCAAGCTGAAATTTTCAGGGTTTTTTACAATAAAATTAATAATGAAATACAACCTTATTTTTTTACCGCCCTCCAAAGTTGAGGGATGGTCGAGATTTTTCACAAAAAAATAAATTTAAGATTTTTTGCGTTGATTTCTAATTAGCTCTGTTAAAAAGTGACAACCATTGCTAAAACTAACCATTTAGTTCAACTCAAAAAAAAAATCACACACATCAAACCTAATGATTTAGTTGTAATTGCGATTGAAGGTTCATTAGCCCGTTTTTTTTTTAAAAACTTCACAAAATTGCAAATATCTGCTGAACTATAAAATTTCGGACCGCACAGGGGTTCATTCGATATGTATTGAGGCCCTCCATCATCTGACTTCCGTTGATCTACTACTAACTTTACACCCTGTATATTTATACTAATAAAAAAATATTATGGTCACAGATTTCCTTAAGCGATATCTTTAATCGTATTTCCGGGCGATCCTATTACAGGGTATCCGGAGACCTGGAGCCTCTGGATGGATAGGCCACTTCCGCGGGCGATGGAACCTAAGGAGCTACCAAGCACATCTAACAGGCGCAAGAAAGCTTCACGGAGGACGGTTGAAAGGCGATCACCTACTGAATCGTGTTGGAAGCCCTTCGCTAACGTAAGGATTATTTTCATATCACTACCACTCGCCAAACTGTTTTTTACACTGTTTGACCTATACCGATGTTTATACAGGGTGTCCGCAATGTTGGGGTTTTCCTTTACACGACGTGTAGATCTTGAAAACATAAGCAATTTTTCTTAGTACCATATACACCAATGTCTTAAGGGAACCGAGATAAAGGGCTCTGCAACATCAAAAATATCTGAATACCGTCCTGTAGCCGCGACCCGGGACATCATCGATTGGTACAAGGTCTCAACCCGACGGCAGAACTGGGTCGGGGTCAGTGTGTCAGGTCAGTATGCAACCTTCAACCGACGGTTGCGGTCACGCATGTAGAGGTAATCCCTCAACAAGCACTAGAGACGTGGCTAGAGAAGTGCAAGTATCAAAAACTAAAGTGTGGCAAACGCTGCGTGAAGAGGGGCTGTATACGTTTCACGTCCAACGTGTACAAGCCCTTCAACCTGACGATTTTTCAGCAAGAGTGCGTTTTGTTAGTGGTTGTTGCATCAACATGACAATAATCCGGACTTTTTGAAGTGCATATTGGTGACAGACGAATCTGCGTTCACGCGTAATGGGGTGAATAACTTTCGCAACACTCATGTTTGGTCAGTAGAAAATCCGCACGCTGTCCGTCGGGCACATTTTCAACAAACATTTTCGGTGAATGTTTGGGCTGGCATGGTGAACGGTATGCTCATTGGACCATTTTCTCCCAAATCGATTGGACGGGATGCAATACCTAGACTTTTTACGCAACATTTTGCCTTCCTTGTTAGAAGATGTGCCATTAAGTGTAAGACAATCAATGTGGTTTCTGCGTCTGCTCGGTAGCGCATCAGCTGATTTCATTTTCTGTTGGAGCGGTATGATTTCGGGCAGAGACGTACTTAGCCCTTATCGTCAACTGGAGAGTGAGTACTTTTTCCTTTATTTTTTTTTTACTTGGTCGCACTCGTTTCACTACACATTACCTTTGTTGTTTCTGAAAAGGAAAACCCCAACTTTGCGGACACCCTGTATTGGCAATGGCAGCCTAATTTGCCGATTAACGAATCGGCGGATATGACCGATATAAATCTGAAAGTTGATAAGGATTAGAATTGAATAAAAAAAAACAATATATAAGCATATATTTTCATTAACTATATCAATCTATTCTACGAGGGTTGTCTCAAAAATAGTGTTCCCACATTTTTTTCAGGCACAAGGAATTTTTTATTTGAAAAACGAATTTACCATTGGACACATTGATCTTTAAGTTATCTACATAGCCGCCATTTTTTCTACGAATTTTTTCAGACGTGGAATCCACTTTTTCACTCTCGCTTCAAGGAAGTCCGTCTTGATCCGTTGACCTCCTATATGCTCCTTCAATTTAGGAAACGCTATGCCAGGGCTCTAAGGAGGATGGGCAATGACTTCAAATGACGACAAATCGCTCAATGCACTCCTTCGTGTTTTCTGAGACACGAGGATGCGCATCGTTGTAGTGCAGTCTCTCGCTTTGCAGAGTAGAGTTTTGAATTTGAAGGCATGTTGAATGCTTATACACCTTTTCCATATACTTCACTCAACTGGTGATGAATTTCTATGGGTGGTAACGTTTTTGCGTGCTAAAATCGGAAGATCGCACGAATTTCGCACCTGGCGGTGACGGCGCTGAAGGGCTCCATTGTGCATGTTACAGTTACCATTTACAGCGTTGGTAACTTTATTTTTGAAACAACCCTCGTATTTTCTGTGTTTTGCATGGAATGCAAATTGCACTAATGACTTTGTCAAGTCAATATTTTGATTGGAAACGATCAGGGTCTATAAGCGAGGTAAAAATGGTAGAAGTTACCCAAATTATGGCTTGAAGCGTTTACTTCCTCTTTTGCACCCTATTTTTTGTATTCTCAAATTTCAATATTTAACAAAATCTCAAAAATAAAACGACCTAAATAAGCGCATAACGTCATACCCAGGGCGACATGGACGTACATAAAAATACGTATCTCCTTAATTAATGCTCATACCATCTCTTGTATTTGTTAGTATTTCAAACACACTTAAGGCTATATTTTGGAGTACAAACATCGGAAATAAAAAATGCTAAATTGCCCAAATTTTGGTTTGAAATGTTTACTTCCGGCTTAACACCTTTAGTTTCTTTTGAATTTCAATTTGTTTTTTTTATCAAAAAGTACAGAAAATTTTCTATATAAAACGATAAATACCCCTCAATTATATATAATATATAATACCTTCGCTATTGAACGTGTCACGAAAAAAAAATCGTGTTTCCTCTTTTACACCTACTAGATGTTCAATCAGGCCCAATATGAACGAATTTTAAAACCTCACTTTTTTTGACTTTCCGCTGTAAAACCAATTTGTGATTTTTTGCTGTTGCTGTTCCTCTAAATTAACGCCATTATTAAACGATGTTTTTGCGTAATTATATAAATTACCTATTTTTGTTTCTTATAGTTTAAAGACAAAGATGAAGTCATCGATCTCACTGGAGATGACACTGATGAGGACCCAGATCATATAAAAAGAATAACCATGAGGAAAGCTAGAAGGATCATTCGCAGAGAGAAAGCTGAAACTGCAATAGTCAAAGAGATGAAACGCGTCAGCGACATCGCTATTGAAAAAATGCGAAATCCCAAATCAGGAGAGCGTGATCCCGCCTTAGTGGATCTAGATCTATTTATTGATTTCCTGAAAAATCGTGGACGCAAACCGCTTTCGTACACCAGACTTAGCAACTCGCACAGGTTCTTCCCAATAATACATGAATATTTCGATTCAGTGAACAGGCGTAATGCCAATATAACAAAGGAGATTAAAGTTGTGCTGGAACGATATACCTTGGAGCAGCTTCGTGAGATGTCTTCGAAAAAAAAAACAGGTAAGCCTAAACGTAGGAAATCTACCAAAGATGCATATAATTTAGACCGAAAGCCTTTACAATTGAAGAAAAGAAGCAAGTCTTGCGATGCAAAACTTAGCTTTCCGTCTAAAAAGGAAACTAAGCGTTCCCGTAAACACAAAATAAATAAAACAAAAAACGACAGCGATCTAGAAAATAGTGATAGACATAAGAATCAGAAAGAGCTGTCTGAAATCAAAAACAGACAGCCACGTGTATTGTTAGAAAATGTATTCGCAGCAAAGTCCATGCTTGACAACGTGCCAGGATTACACGATTTTCATCTGATTCAACCTCAGAATGTTGAACCTATCGTGAATGTAGTGCAAGTACCCGGGGTTAAGACACATATCCAGTCTAGTGCACAAACCAGTACGCCAGTGACGGCGCATATACAGAGGGTGGGCCAGCCTAGGATATCTGAGCAGAAACCAGATAACTCCAGCACATCTTCGCCAGTCACTGCTATACCAAAGAATCAATCTTCGACACTTATAAATATTCTTTCACAACAAGTAATACGTCCAGCGAATGCCGTGCCAAGTACTTCAGCAGTTACAGGAAGTAGCAATGGGCATGGTAGTACTACTATGTCAAGGTAATATTTTTATTTTTTGGATATTCTTTGTGGTTTGTACAAGGTTTGATCCACTTTTTGGCTTTGGTTTGGTTTTATAACAGGTTGTTTTGTATATGGTTTAATCTAACAAAATCAAGGTTTCAAGCTAGGGATGAAAGAAAGGTACAGACACGATAAATTGTATTTTTGGGACTGCTTCTGACATTTTGAAGAGGTTCTTGGACATGTATAGTAAAACTTGGCCAAAAGGCAGTTTTTCAAAAAAAGTTTTCTGCTTTAGTTTTAGATCAAAATTGAATTTATTCGTGACTTATAATATGACCTAAATAAGAACATATGGAGATCAACTTCGTAAATTCAAATCGCGGCCACCAAAATCTCGCGTTGCGCGTTACGAATCTACTGTCAAAAGTGTTGGTTACTATTTGAATTTATGAAGTTCACATTCAAATGACCTCCAAAAGTAATTTTCTAGGTCAGCAATAAATCCTTTTTTGATCTCTTCAAAATTTTGTGGAAACCTTTTTTCGAAAAAATGCCAAGTTTTTGGGGTCTTCGGATATTTAATACCCTAGAATAAAGAGGCGACACTGTGCCTTTTAAGTTGTGTAAAAATAATGTATCACAACCGTGACTGCAATAACCACGTGAAGTAACGAATATAAGTATTTTGATTGCTTAGTACATGCTAAAACATTAAATCATGCCAGTATCAATTGCAGTATAAGTATGTATGTACAAGACAGTATATGACCCACTTGAGTTTTCTGCTGTTAACTAGGAATCGTATCAAAGGTTTTAAAAAGTGTTTAGCCTATCTGTCATTCCAAAATTGAAACCTTGATTTAACTACAGTCGGTCTTACATGGTATAACACGCATTTGTCTTAGGCATATACTTACCCTATGTTGTTTACGTTTTTGGTGAATCACTTTTTAAAGTTTTCATCCAGTCATTCCAATATTGAAACCCTATTTGATTTAACTGTCGGTCTCACATTGGAATAACACGATTTGTCCTAGGCACGTACTCACCCTATGTTGTTTGAGTTTTTGGTGAAGCACTTTTGAAATATAACGCACGAAACTATTGCTTCCATTTTTTGTAATAGTATGCATGCTCGGTGTTTAGACAAAGATAGTGCCTAAAAGCGTAAAAACAACTTTTAATAAAATAATAGTCCGAAATTTCGCAATCATTTTATCAAAAGAAAAAACGTTCCTTGGGGGCCAATCTCTTGGATTTATTCAGACACAGGAAACAGTTCACTTAGATATTCTCGTAATATCGCTAATTTTGTATGATAAGGGCTCAAAGATGATATTTTTGGGAAGCCTGATACTGCATACTGCGAAGTTATAAGTGTTCTAAGTCATCAATATTTTGTCGGCGCCAAAATCCCGTGCAGATCTCAGCAACTAGTCGTTAGCATGAGTTATTTTTTATGAGTGATTTTGTATACCGGATGTTTCAAATTCGACTCTCAGCGTTGGGATTTCGGAAATAGTACTTCTACTACGAAGTCGGTTGGAGGCAGAGTTATGCATTTAGATAATGGCACTTGGAAAGTTACACAATTTTGAGTATTTCCGGAGATGGGCAAATAAAACCGAAATTTTACAAAATCGTTTTTGGTTTATTTTGACTTTAATAGATTTCAAAATAAATTGCACATCATCATAGCCATTTTTTCATCGTTATTAGAATTTGATGTTTCGTCTCTTGTCTTCAATCGTCGTTTTTTTTTCTTATGGATGTATTGAATTACGCACAGGTAAATGGAGCTGATTTCAAAATATAATGTCATACATTAATATTGTCAAACTAGAATTATTCAAAAACAGTATTCCCTAAGTAGGCATTGAAAAGATCGGATAGTCATTTGTGTCATAATATCATCAGCTACTGCGCATTTGCAGGGTGTCTGAGGTTATTGTACGATATCCTTCAGCTTGAATCTGCGGGTGTCTCTTTTTTGATGAAACTTTATATGAATGATAATAGTAGTATTCTATTTTTCATTCGTAAAAATTAAGTCTTATAAAAATCAGATACCTGTAGTTTCAAGCGGCCGGATCTGAGACTAAGGAAAGTGTTCATATGGGAGATCTGTCAACGCACAGCGTTGGCAGATGGTTCGGAGAGAATTGCCCTAGAACAACAACAAAAATCCAGATGAAAATCACCCAAATTTGGGGGAAAATCTTCCAACATGGCAATCCTGTCAAAGCGTCAAGTTTCGTGGTGTCAATTTATGACAAATTTTTGAAACGAGAATCAAAAACTCTATTCGCCAAAGTAAAAATTCACTATGGCGTTCATAAGAAGAAATAAAGCTGATGACTGTGAACAAGAGACCAAAGGTCATATTGAAATTTTGATTATGCCACCTTGTAGAGGAAGAAACTGGCAATGTTGATGTGTAATTAATTTTGAAAGTTCGACTCAAAAAGACTGGAAAAATTAGAAACCTTTTTGGGAAAGATTTTTTGTGTATCTCGGGAAATAAAAGTGCTATTTTCAAAGTTGGCTAAGTGCGCCTTCATTAAACCGACTTTGTATATCTTCTCGATTCCGAGATCTCAATGGTGTGATTCTAATTTGAATCAGCCTATATTTTTTACGCAAAATGTGGTAACTGTAAACATCACTCATCGAATACAGGTCATACCTGTCTCTAAGGGAATATTTTATCAAATCAAGCTATAAAACGCGGCGACTAAAAAATCAACAATACAAGTTACAATGTAGCTACTGCGACGGTTTGGCTGTCACTCGACGCCTGATGAAGACTCAGAACACTTCATAGCAATATACTGCCGCACTTAGAAGCCAGTAAAGTGAAAAAATCGATGTCTGAGAAAACAGGGTTCAAAATTCTGTATTTTTTCGAACTAAATAGTCTTATTACGACAAAACAAAAGTGAATGAATATTGTAAAGTTACACAACCTTATAGACGGTCATTTAAACGTGATTCTGGATCATAATTGTTGTAAATCAAAAAGCAGTAACATGTGATTTACTGATTTTATACTGTACAAAAACAAATTTACTGCCTTTTTTCGTTGTTTTCATAATTTATATCACTTGTTCAAAGGAAAAATGCAACGACGCAAAATTTTATTTTATTGTCATATAATTATCTATATTGAAATTCACATGAATAGCATAAAAGTATACGACTTCAGCATATCATAATTGAATTTAATAACTGCAGTAGCGGACCAAAGTTTCGAAACATCCTTAGTAATTCTTAAAAAGTACGCAAATTTTTTATTCTTTATTATTGACTATTTTTTTCCTCATATTGTTTCCTTACAGTCTTGAGGATACAAATGACAATTTGTGTTTGCTGTGGTACTACAGACTAGCGTTAAAATACCTACATATTATTTTATGACCAAAAATGATACGACAAAAGTATGGAAACATATTTTTTATTACAAAATTAAATACAATAACTCTAAAAAAAGATTTAAAATTGGACATCTCACATATGCCATACCGTCAGATCCAAACAAGCTAAATTTGCTTTCATCGCTCCATAAAAATGTATTCCATTGTTGTTCTGTCCAAGTTGATGAGTTTTATAAAATTCAAGCCGACTAATACGATTTTTTTTTCGGTCTCCGCACCTGGGCCGCGTTGCTGTTGATCCGTATTCTTGATATTTACTAATAATTTTCGAAATCGTCCCTTTGTTCATTTTTAATCTTTGAGAAATGTCATCATTTTCTGGCACCATTTCTAAATAATCCAATTACTTTGTCTCTTAAATATTTTGAAAATTCTTTTACTTTTGCCATTCTCGCTGATGTTAACATTTACCGCACGCAATACCAGAGTAGCGCAGAACGTTTCCATATTTTTGTCGTTAGAAAACTATGGTATTTGAAAACCCGCGTTTTTTTTTTATTTTCAGAGAATTTGAACATTGATGAGATAAACCTTGTATTAGTATGGGAGCTAAAGGTAGACTTTAATATTTATATTATCTGTTCGTTCACAATTTTAATTTAGGTATATGAAATAGTTCATAATAATATTAATATTTGTTTCCAAACTTTTTCCGCTACTATGTATGATTACATTTAATAATTACATTCGACAAAAATAATTCAGCAAAGCAATTTTAACGATATTGATACTTATTCACAAATAATAGAATTATTACACAAATACTAAATAACTAAATATCATAATAGGTTATAAAAAGGTGAAAAGGCAGTACTTGTATCATTCAGAGAATAAAAGCAGTATAGTTTGAACACTACTGCTTTTTGGATTTGATAAATTGATTTACTGCTTTCATGCCGAGAAAATATAGTTAATATGAAAAATTTGACAAGGTGAAAATCAAAATATTTTTTTTTATATAACGAGATGAATAATATATTTTGTAATAGCAATCATAAAAGAAATGTATTTATGTCAAAATTTAAAAAAAGTTAATTTCATTTAACGCTTTTTACCTAAGTATGGCAGTATAGCTGAATGTACGCTTTATGAGGCGTTTTTAAGAAAAGTTGCCCTATTTCCAATAAGATGTGCTCAAAAGGTGTACATTGCATAATTGCAAAATCAATCGACTTGATGATAGAGGAAAATGTTAAAAATCGGTCCCCGATTTTATTATGGATTTCAGAAAATTCTGAAAGCAGCTCAAATTATGTTGTAAAAGAATGAGGCATTCACTTTATAAAGTTAAATTTTATTTATATTGATCAGTCATAAATTATTGTTTATTAAAAGAATCAAAAACCTAACATATCCCTGATTTGAAAAATATATATTATTTTTAATCAACGATATGGAATATATTTAAAGCATATACCGTATAATTTTTGGCATCCTCATTGACAAAAAACGCAGACTTACACTCAATGGACAATTAGACAACCGAGGAGTCCAGTGTACCCTACTAAACCCAAAACTTACTCAATAAAATTTTAACCAAACATCTCGATGAACCATTTCATAAGAAAATAGAACCTAGGATCCATTTGAGAAAATATATTGGTGTAAAAGCTTACTTGCAAATATTTGGGAGTAACAATGAAAATGAAAGCACTGTACAAACACTTTTACCACTTAAAAAACATATAGTCGTGGCAGACAGTAACCTGTTAGGTGCGACTGCCATGTACTACTATTAGTACTATTTACATTTGACAATAGTGAATTGTCAGATAATGCAGAGCTAGTAAGACCAGGGGTCTGGTTTGAAGCACTTTCTTCTATTTTTTTTTCTATGTTTAAGAGGGGTTATTTAACGATAGCATTTCGGACTATTGTGTTGTTTGGGGCTGTTTTTGGCGCTTTTGGTCGATACTGTCAAAATTCTAATCGACAACACATATTTCTTACTTGGTACATGCAGCAATGGGAACAATAGTACGAGCAGTACTGGCAATACCAGTACCACTACCACTACGGCTAGGCGACCTCCTTTTATCAATATTTTATCACAGCAAATCATCAGGCCCACTCAGGCCGCTAAAGGCGCACCAAACAATGGTGCCTTTACTGTGACCGAAACCATTTTGGTGAGTATGAGTATTGTAAATGCACTGAGCTATTGTACCGTATGTTACCAAGAGCACATATTTGGGGCGTCATAGGAGTGATGTGTGATTCATTTAAAGGGTCATTTTCTCAAAGCATCGAATAATGAAAATAATAAACTGCACTGGGCTTTATTATCAAGCAAAAGATGCATCTATGATTTTTTTAAACTTTTTTTTTGAAATGTTGGACGTCAGTGCAGCTAAGTGTGGTCCATGCATTTCGATCGGTATTTGATGATTATTCTTTAGGCGGTTTCAATAAACGTTAATAAAGGTTCATTGAACATTGGAGTTGGTTTGTTTGTGAGATACAGGGCGTTCAAGTTTAAAGAACGGTATTTATTCAATATAAATACCCTCAAACCGATTGGATTGAAGTTTGGTGCAATTATCTAAAGTAATAAGGAGGTTATTTAGCTATAACTAGATTGAAACTATAAGGCCCAGTGTCGTCTCAGTGGGCACCGTAGCCATGTTATTTAAAAAATTACTCCAATGACTTTTTCAAACTTATATTTTTTCAAATTGAGCAACTAAAAATAGAACTTTCTATTCTCCTGTGTGTTTCTTCATATCTTGTCTTCTATAAAAATAAATATTAACTTATGTTGTCCATAGATAGTTTTTACAATGAGTGAAACACAAGAGACCAAAGTGATGTATTTTTAGTTGCTTAATCTAAGGTAATATAAAATTATAGAAAAGTAATTGTCGTACTTTTTTTCTCAAAAGAACTTCAACGCCTTGAATCTCAGAAACGAAGCAAGTACGGACATAAGCTCATACGATCTTTTGTCTTAAAACGACCTAACGAATCATCCTCTGAAATTTCATAACGTAGTTGGGAAACATTCTGTGTGTTTTCAGAAAATTGGCGAATTGTGGTTAGATTTGTACAGATGATGAGCAAAAATTTCATGTAACACGATCTAAACACGTACCCTGTGCATGTCTATTTTATTTTTTATACATCAGCTACCACGAAGGCCTAAGGCATGAATATCTGTGGAATTCCAGATTAAACCACATTTACCGCAATAACAGCCAACATTTGAAAGAAATAATCTTCGAAAACTAAATGTCAAGAACATTTATTTTCTGTGATAATCAAGGTTGTTAACAATTGTTTTATATCGTTTCTTTGAATGAACCACCTGTTATAAGTGGCAATACTATCTCAATGCTGTCAGTTTAAAGGTAATTTTTCATTCAAACTCGTTGTGGCCGGGCAAATGAGGTTTCAAGCTCACACAACGTCTGATGCATGTTCTGCGATAGTCGTCTGGCACATTGGCTTGAAGCGGGGGTTTCGGCCCTAACAATAACTCAAATTTCACGTTGAATATATGAAATGTTTGCATTTAAATATTTTGGAAGGTATTTTAAGCATAGTTATTCTTTATTTTGACGAACCTTATGCACTGAATAGAGTTGCTCGGCTTTCGTTCGTTGTCCACCGAGACCAAGCCCACACCATTCTGACAAATTGCCAAATAGCACGAAACAGCCGTCCGAAGTTCGCAATTTTGTCGTTTTTTGTCAAAAATTCACTCATTTTCGTATATTTAACTTTTATTTGAGCGCATGGTAACAACACTTTTTACTCCAAATCTATAACAAAAACGCGGCAAGACACTAAACATATAAAAATGAAATTGTTGCTCTACTCCACTCACACTAAAAACAAAAATCTCATTATAGTTGTGTATTAATTTGTTTCAACTTTTGTTTTTAATGTGATCGCAGTGGAACAGCCCTTTAATTTTTGTATGTATATTTTTTGCATCTTACGTTTTTTTATTATACAACTTTGAAGTTGAGTCATTAATTTTCAGATAATGAATGTAGAAGGAAGATAAACCAAAATATGTGTGTAAAAATAGAAAAAAAATGTTACCTTGTTTTATAAAGTATCCTCCCGACAAGTATTTCAGTGCGGACCTGTATTTGATCGTGCGGTCTTGGAGCACCGGCATGCCCTCCCCTGTGAGGTCTTAAGTCACCTGATTCACGAGCCCTTTGTACTACATTAACAAAGGCACGACGGGTTGGTTGCACTCGATTGGGAAACCGATCCGCATAAATCCGTGATGCCGCGGCAGCATTTTGTAAAGACTCCCCCCCGTAAATAAGAATCATGTCCACAAGTTCAGCATTTTCGTAAACATGTGCCCTTTTTTATTTCGGTTGAGCTACGCAACAAACACCACTATTCACTCACGCGTTACCGACTGACACATTGACTGAATACAACTGAATAAAATTGTAGTAAAAACATCGTGATAAGCATTTCAAATTCTTTCGCTTTTTTGTTTCCGATGCGATGAACCGATAACGCGGATTACATCCGTTATTGCCAAACACGAGCACATAATATTATTATTGAGACAGGGCGGTACTCAAACTTCTAAGGGGCTATAACTTTTTTACTTTAATTTTGCCAGAAAAATGTTAAAGGAAAAAACATTTCTTTTGATCAGATCTGCTCACTGTTAAAATAAATGACTCAACTTCGAAGCGGTATGTGTTACTAAGAAAATTTGTTTATTTCCTGACTCATATGTTCTAGGAAGGAAAATTCCAACTTTGACACCCTGTATTTGTAGTAGAAAGAGCGCGAAGATGCGCTCACGTAAAAATACTTGAGTTACATATTCGAAAATAGGTAATTTTTTGCTAAAAATGCCAAAATTGTGAACTTTGAGCAATCAAAAAATAATCAAGTACTCAAATGAAAAAAAAACTTGATGAAAGTTTGAGAGACATATGCTTTAAAATGCAAACATTTCGTAGATGCCAACAACTTGAAGTTTGAGTTATTTTCCGGGCCGAAAACTTCGCTCCGTTGTTGTAATGGAAACTTACTTTAATAGACGAATCGAAAACCTCGCATTCGTCTGAGAAATTCTCAGCTCGATTTTTTCTTTCAAGTTTTTTTAACATGAATCAAGACGACCGCTAACCCGGTTCAAATTTATTTAAACAATAGTTCTATACAAATTACAGAAAATTGGTTATTTCGCACCGAACAAAGTTTTATTAGGTTTTTTTTATCACAAAAACAGGTCCATGGTAACTTTTCTCTAATGATTACCGTTTTCAAGTTATAAGCGTCTGAAAACCCTAAAAATTGTCACCTTTCGACCTTGAAAAAACCTCAAAAAATATTCTAGGCTTAAGTTATTTTATGGGCATCGTATTTTCCGCACTCGTGCGTGGCCCATATCGCGATATTAGCAATTGAATAACAACGCCTTAAAATAAACTAAGCCCAAAATACCCTTCGGGGAAGGTTCGAACTCAAACTAAGAACCTTTGCAAAATTGAAAAATTCATCTGAGCCTTTGAGCTTTCAAAATAACGATTTTTAGGTTTTTTCAGATTTCAAATCGCTTATATTAGAAATCGGTCAACTTAAAAGGATTTCTAAAGACCATTTTTGTTCGGAATCAACCAATGATGTAAGTTCAAAATACTTGTGTTCTTAAATATTTGAATTCAAAAAGTTCATAGAAGGCGATCAACAACCGGACAGAAAACCACGCTTATACATAGACCCTAAACATTTGCACCTGTTGACCGCCCGCGGTCGACGACCTCCTGATTCATGTTAAAATCAAATGAACGTGAATATGGAAAAAATATCGAGTTGAAAACATTTTCCTAAGTGTGCGTTGCGAAATTGTGCGAACTTTACACCATTTAGACTGGTAGTACTGAGACATTCTTGCCATTTACACTCGTATAACGCTCCGGTTGTGTAATGCTCGAGGTACGTACTCTGCCCAGCTTTTGCAAAAGATATCTGTATACTCTTGGAAAATAAATATACTTTTCTGTTACGAATTGCGTTGCTCCGTATAATATTACATGTACCCCATAGGAAACCATAACTTTAGTTCTTTGTAGCTACTTCTGTCTATGATCAGATGTTACCAGAAAAGAAGCTTTCTAATAAGGATGAGTCGATGTTGTAATACGAGTACCTTGTTTTCAAAGTGTTAGACAACAAAATAATATTGGTTTTATGCAAAAAATTTAGAGAATTGCTTCTGCAGTCAATTATTCTAACAACACATTGTGCGTGAGTGGGAGACATACAGAAACGATAATTTCCCGATGAGGTAGCTCACAGTGCTTTCTCAACGAGATTGCTTGACGAATTTTGTACGCCGTGTTTTCCCGTCGAGATTGTTCACTGAGCTATTTCGTCGTGATTGCTTGCCGAACTTTTCCGTAGTGATTGCTCAACGAGTTCTTCCGTCGTGATTGCTCGACGAGCTTCTCCATCGAGATTGCTCGCCGTGCTTTCCCGTCGAGATTGCTGGACGAGCTTTCCCAGCGAGATTGCTCGACGAGCGAGAGCGACCAGTTTTCTCTACAAGCTTGCTCGCCGTGCTTTCCCAGCCAGATTTCTCGTCAAGGTTTTCCATCGAGATTGCTCGCCGAGCTTTCTCGTCGTGATATCTCGACAAGCTTTTCGTGAATGCTAGACGACAGCTCTAAAAAAATCATTGAATCTGGCAATACTGCTCAAATGTATTACTCTGTGTTCTCACATGGTCGACACAGTGTGTTGTTCGAAATTCACGAATTTCACCATGCAACTTTTTTTCAGGCAAAACCACCCGTAACAGAGCCCGTCGGCGCAAATGTTAACAACCTAACAAGACCTACAATTACCACAACTACAGTTATTCCAAAAACAACCAGCGTCTTAACCACGACCCAAGCCACCGGGTCAGGGAATATTCCAAGCAATGTTCCCGAAAATAGTTCTAATCCCCAAGGGACTATTGTGCAATTTATTTGTAAATCCTCGTTGCCAAAGTTTCAACAAGCATTTGGAAAAACAGTTTACCAGTGTACAAGTGAAACCTCAGAACCAAGTGAAAGCACCAACACTCAAACTGCAACAATATGTACTATACCAGCCCCTACAGCACCTAGCACTGAAGTAAAGAAAAATGTGGCCAACATTGCTAAAGCAGTACCTGTGAATGTACAGTCGATTCAAGGCAATGTTATATATAGTAGACAAGTACCTGTAGGGCAAACGATTAACCTAGTGCCTCCTTCAGGTGCTACCAGACAGGTTTTTCGGATAGCAACCTCAAACCCAGAGCAACTAAATTTGGTCAAAGACAGCGTGATTCATAGCAAAATGAGCGCACTTCTAGCTGCAGCTTTACAAAATCGACCTAAGAACACTGAAACTGAGATACAAGTGCAGGAAGATGGTACGAAAATTACCTTGACGAGACCAGCTGTAGTTCAGAATGCTAGGATCGTCAAACCTGTACAACTTCAGCTGCCTACTAATGTTGTTAGAGCTCCCCAACCTAATTTGAGTTCGACTACTCTGGAGCAACTTAGGGAGTTTGATATGGTGTATAAACAAATCAAAGAACGAAGTAGCAATACTACACCAACAGAAATTACTAGTGAACAAACTCAAGAGGTGACACCTCAGAGGATAAGCGTGACATATGTCAATCAGTTGCCAAAGTATACTCAGCTTAGCCCTGTAGTTGTGGTGAGCAGCTACAGTCATCTTCAGCAAGCTGCAACGTCCCCAGCTCTGAGTGTGACGTCACAAAGTAGCCTGAGTCCATCTACTACTCCTACGTCTACGCCTTCGTCAGCTGCGAAGATAACTACGAAAACCAGTAAAGGTATATCATGATCGTGTATATATTATTTTTTTGTATTTGCAGAGTTTCGTGTTCTTTAAAAGTTTGCCTACATTATCTTATTAACGTTTAAACCAAAAATGTTTTATAGGCCAAAATCTCCATTCTGTCAGCCGTTCTTCAAGCGAATGAAACTTGGTACACTTCGAATATGGCCAGTAAATAATCGTACAGTATCATAGTGCTATCTAAAAATAATCTTAACACAACAGACATACAACGTAATACTCAGCTTTGATTGTAGGTAAAACCTTCAAAAACCATACCAACAACACCACAGCAAAAACGCCACCAATATCGAAACCACAACAAAAACCACAAGAAGATGAACATACTACTCAGAGGATATTTGACATCCTGGCAGAATACGCTGAACAACTTCGTAACTCTCCAGACCTGAACAACAAACCAGCTCCTAGACGCCGATCTAACCCTCCAACTAACCCTAACCAAAATTCAAAGCGGAAAAAGAGCTCATCGACAATCAAAAAGTCTACCACAACTAGCAATGTAGATATAGACACGGATGATATGACAGTAGGTAGCGAAGATAGCTCGGGAGGTGGCATAGTTCAACTGTCAGTAACAGATGATGAGCAATCTCAGTCACAAGCTGCCACAACTAGTGTCGTGGAAACTGAGGCGACTACAGCTACGTGTCCAAGGCAAGTTATACTGACAGAAGGGTCTTCTGTAAGCAGTCAGCCAAGGAATGTCATCATTGCAGATTCAACTGTTGGAGAGGCGTTGAAAATGTCAAATACGGCTGTCATTGTGCCCGGGAGTTATATCATGCCTGTTTCGATGGTGAAAGGTAAGATTCCATTGCACTGTGCCTACGTTTGAAGCAAAACCTTTCAATTGCCACTATGACAATCTAGCACTGTTCTCTTAGTAGTACAGATACTAATATTTCCTATTGATACATACCCTTGATCATTGATTATTTTTTAGGTGGACAACAAATAGCTGTGATGTCAGGAGGCAGCAAGATCCTAGCAACAGTTCCAGCCCGATCTGGTCAGAACATGCTACTTTTTCAAAGCTTCACAAACCAAAATCGCAAGGGTGCAATATCAGCAGTGAAATACTCTTCTATCCAGTCGGTGTCCGGCATTTCATCGCAAAGTATCGCAGGTGTTAGCGCTCAACCACCCGTAATCCTTCCATCAAATTCAGTGGCGACAGCTGTCGCTATTGGCCAACAATTGTCCTTGAAAAAAATTGGACAAGAACGAGAAGGCGAAGTATTACTGACCATTTCTAAAAAAGACGATGCTCAACCTGACAGTGTCACGAGCGTGTCCAGTGATAGTGAAGATGTGAAGATTCCTGAGCAGACAAGTGTGAAGGTTGATCACCCTGTAGAGAAGATTATTCATACGTATCAAAAGCCCATATCAACTAACAAATCAGTTATTGCTACAAGTTCTCAAAAGGTCGACCAAGGATCATGCCCTCAACCGACAGTCATTAATACCGCAAAAGGTAATTTTAAATAAGTATTGCCATTGCTTATCATATTCAAACGGACGATAGTAAAGTTGTGCCGAGGACTGATTGCAGTTGACAAGCTTACTACTCTAGAGCAAGAAGCTGACTGAGGATTTTGCTAAAGACTAGTGTCATATATTTTTTACTGGGGATTGACATTTTGTTGATGATGAATAATTTTTTACAGTATCAACCACGCTGAACGGCCCAATGTTGTCTCACATAACTACAAATCGGTTTCGAAAAATCACTGACAATGAAAGAATCGTAAATCGTGGTTCAGAAGTCAAAGAGGAGTCGACCCATAATGGTGCAAAGGTAAGATAATAAAGTTGTAATTTTCTTTACTTTCTTCGTCAATAGTCTGTTTTGGATTTTGTGTTGGAGGAAAGATCACTGTACTTGGTCATATTTATAAACGTTCCTTGAGGATCGAGTGCTGTTTCACGCATGATCTCTTCTTGGATTTTAAACGAACAATCGTACTTCATTGATGAATGGTCAAGGCAGAGTTCAACATCTGCGTTTCACATTAGAGCCTAGCAGCTGTCATTGGTGTTTTTTACGATAAATATTAATAAACAATGCAAAATAGTAGTGTTTGCTTTCTCGATTTTATAGTAAGTAGTAATATACAGCTTAAAATAAAACAAATCAATTTGCAGAAACTAGCCTGTTTTTTTTTTAGAAGTTTCATTTTTTCCTTCTGCAGGTGACTAACCCAGAGCCAAAGACTTACCGCAGCAGTGCTATCTACAGTAAAGTAAAAAAAGTCACCATTGAGTCTCAGAAACCAGAAAGTGACGCCCAAAAGCAAGCCATGTTGGAGAGAGAATTACGACTTCAAAAATCGCTTTCAGAAGAATGCGAAGATTTGGGCGTAGACGAGCCCAGTACCAGTGATCTCTTTCCAGAAGCCGATTTACTTTTTGACTCTAACCACTCTCCTTCTTTTGACCAAAATTCGCAAGAGGGAGTCAAGAAAACACCTCATGGGACTGAAAAGGAAGAAGGGACGAAATCTTCTATAAATTTGTTCAGTGACGATGATAATTCTAGTTCATTAAAGTCAGATTTATTCGAATATGTGGAATATCATGCTGTGGAGAATGCTCTAGACCACCAAGCTAAGCAATTAATGAATGGCAACAATCCAGAGACCGAAACGTCAAGTTGTGAAGATAATACATTGTTGCCGAAATGCAGCAATATGTCGGAAGTGACGTTAAATTCGCCGATATCTCCCGAAGTGTACGCGGAAAGCAGTGTCAACAAATATAAGTTCAAGTATACAAACAGGAAGAAAAGCGAGAAGATAAAGCAGAGCGATTCGAGAGGCGAAACTATCACGAATTCGGAAGAGGCTGTTAGCGGTGCCGATTCATGCAAGTTGAGCAGTGAAGAAGAACATTATAAGGTAGGCAAACTGACTACTTTAGCTTTTTTGCCAACCTTGCAGTAGAGATTGCTAAACATCGTTATTTTTGAATATCGTTACTTTTTGATATCAGTAATTTAAAATGGTGACGTGATCACGACTTTCAAATAATACCCGCTGTGTGGACATTAAAATTGCCAATTGCTTCACGGCATTAAATTCATAAATATACTAAGTGACATATAAACCCGAACACCCAGTTTAAATGGTTTTATTTTGCTTTTCAAATATCCCCATAAAAAGAAGTCCAAGGGAGTCAAATCACACGATCTTGGTGGCCATGGCACATTTCCTCTGCGCGAAATCACGCGATCACCGAAGAAGGACTGCAATCGATGGATATTGACGTTGGTTGTGTGGCATGTTGCACCGTCTTGTTGGAAATAAACATCGTCCATATCCATTCCTTCAAGTTGCGGCAAAAAATAGTCCTCTATCATCACGTGATATCGCTTAGAATTGACGGTAACGGCGGCCCCGGCCGCATTTTCGAAAAAGTAAGGTCCGATGATGCCTTTTGACCACAATGCACACCACACAGTCACTTTTTGAGGATGCATCGGCTACTCTTGATACTCACGGGGATTTTCGTTGGCCCAGATGCGGCAGTTTTGCTTGTTTACCGTCCCATTCAAAGTGAAATGCGCTTCGTCGCTGAACATGATTTTTGATGAAAAATTGGCATCAATTTGGCGGTGTTCAAGGAGTCAATATGAGAACGTTCGGCCCGACGCAGCTCTTGCGTCAATTGGATCTTGTAGGCGTGTACATTCAAATCCTCGTGGAGAATGCGGAGCAAACTGGTTCTCGAAATGCCCAATTCTTGGGATCGACGCGTTGTTGATTGTTTCGGATCGTCTCTCACACTCTCCTTCACAACAGCAATATTTTCCGGTGTGCGAACGCTCCTTGGCCGGCCAGAGCCTGGCAGATTTGCCAAAGAACCTGTTGTCTCGAATTTACGCACCAGACGACCGATGATTGTTTCGTTTTGGCGGTTGTTGCCACCGAAATGTTCACGAAGCGCGCGAAACGTGTTTTTTATTTTTGCACCATTTTTGTAGTGCTCTTGAATAACTTTAATGCGGTCTTCAATCGCATACGACTCCATAGCGATCAATGGTAAACATTCAACTAACAAAATGACATGTCGGTGATAGAAAAGAATGATGGCGTCTATGTCAAATTGACGTTTACTTTCCTGCGTCCCTATTGGACAACCCTTTACAAGATGTTCCATTTCAATCTACCCACGTAAATATTCAAAAAACTAAGCTTCAAACAAAACTTAGGAAGAACTTTGAGGGAGCGAAAAGATGTGACAATGACAATGACCTTACAATAAACAAGAAGTCACTGGAAATAGTACCGATGAACATTTGAGCTGGAACGACCACATAGACATAAGAGTATGTAGTCAAAAAAATGAATTCATCATTTTTTGCGCTAAGAAACTTAAAATACATAATGAATAAAAAACACCAATTAAATGTCTACTACTCTATTGTACATTCCCACCTCAAATATTTAGCGCTATATGGGGGATCATCTGTTGAGTCCCAACGAATCTTTATCCTTCAAAAAAGAATAGTCAGACCCTTATTCTCTCTTATCGAAACACATTTAGAGATGAAAAAATACCAACTTTAGCATCATTACTGATCCCAGAGGCGTACCTTCATGTAAAATCATATCCTTCCAAATTCACTTACCTAAAAGAGTCCCAGAGATACAGTCTAAAGAATAATAACAACGTTACATTGCACAACTATAGCCTCTGTACATACCATAATAGCCCTGATTACGTATAAGGATATATCTTCAATAATTTGTTCTCCGAGTTTAAAGCCATCGATAACTTAAAATTCTTCAGAAAACATTTTTTAACATACATGTACCCTTAGTGTTTTTACTCTCTACAAGAGTTTTATAACTTTTAATAATTACATATTTATCTATTTTATTGATTTTTTTACTCATTATACATTTATGCCGCATACTTTTTATATCATTCTATTTAACTATTTATATTTCATGTTTGCGACTTATTTTATAACTTATTATTTATTTTATTCTAATTTAGTCATGCACATTTTTCCTGTTGACGTTTCATATCCGCAAAGCAATTTGAATAAAAGTTATGATTATTATTATCATGTTAAGCGGCATCTACCGAACGTAATAATGGAAAAAATTCTAGTTGGAAAAATGTTCTCACAAATGCGGTTTTGCCCTTGTCTAAAGTTTGAAATTTTTGCAGGTAGTGCATGTGGCGATAACTAAATCGGACATAACGAAAGAAGAAAGTAGATGTGAGCTACACGTTTGCGAAGAATTTGTAGACTCCCCAAGTGGTCGAGGTGCAAGAAGAAGCGTTAGGAAATTATGTTCTTGTTGTAACGGATCCCAAGATGGGCATCTGGGTGCCAAGAAACGACCAAATTCTTCCAGCAGACCGCAAACACCAGCAACGCCTCACAAAAAACCTTTTCTCAAAAAAGATAGTGCATCTTTCCTTTTTAGCGTATGTTCATCTTCGACTATTGAATCACTAGATTAGTTGGCTACGTACGCACACGTTCTTTTGCGCACCATAAGGTAGTTTGTGATAGAGGTTGTCGCTAAAATAGGAAGAGAGATTAGGCATTCTTTTTTCCGGAGTGACGCCGAATATGAAATTTTATTGAGAGCCACGCCGTATCAGAAGTCAGTATTACTAGATGATAGGGTATTAAGGTCCTCTCCGTACTTATTTTGGAATGGGACAAGTGACAAGCTGAAATTCTGAGTGATGCAGTTGATTAAGAAATACTATATTTGGGTGGGCGGCACCTCGAAACATTTTTTAAATGGAATGGGAGATCATGCGATGCATCATTTTGATGTTCGTTTGCTCTTTAGAGTATCTTATAACCCTAGAATATGAAAGTACGCTTGAAAGGCTGTGCGAGTCGAGTGTCTGGTACATTGATCCTCTTATAATTCGACATTTAATCAAAACGTTCAAGTATGTTATACCCTTCCATCGTATGGCGTCCCAGAAAAGCTTTGCAGATGGGTGGCTGAGATATCCGTCGTAATTGACAGGTTCTCCTATTTATCCCACCTTAGGCAGTTATAAGATCGGATTAACAAAATTTCTTTGGTATCCTCATAGCAACCCGGCATTTACGCAGAAGCCTGCGGGGCTGCTTCCTGATAAAAAAAGTTATAAGTGAGTCAATGTACTTTGACAGCCTACTGGTACACCATTCTGAAAGTTGGTGATTTTATATTCTTGGGTTATAAAGTATTCAGAAGTTGCATGCATCGCTTGGCCTCACTTGTAATTTTGAAAAATGTTCCAAATTTCTTTGGTATCCTCATAGCAACCCGGCATTTACGCAGAAGCCTGCGGGGATGCTTCCTGATAAAAAAAGTTATAAGTGAGTCAATGTACTTTGACAGCCTACTGGTACACCATTCTGAAAGTTGGTGATTTTATATTCTTGGGTTATAAAGTATTCAGAAGTTGCATGCATCGCTTGGCCTCACTTGTAATTTTAAAAAATGTTCCAAGATAGCGTCGATCCGCCATCTTGAAATTTCAATTTCAACGCCCCGAATTGTAGCTTGCCAATTTATGCCATTTTAAAAATGAATAGGTGGACCTTTTTTGATGTATATTCGTTTTATTCTCTCCAGTACTCGTGAGGGGGATCAATGGAGTTCGGATCATATAAATCCCATACTTGTTCAACTTGGCAGGTATGCTCGACCTCCACCTGAAAAACTTCGCCACCAAGAACTTGCGTATCGGTATACTTTTCTGTTTACATCTTCACTAGCAAGGATGGATTCACAAAATCCGTTGGATGACACGCTTTGGCGTCATTTGTTTCCAAACACATGGATTTTCTCACGTTCCAACACTCACGATTTTCCGCGCTAAAGAACGTGTATGGCCAGTTAATAAGTTGTTTACTCATTTTGGGCTTGGTGATTATTTTGTTTTTTGGTAACGAGTCAAAGTGGGCAAGATGTAGGAAATAGGATATCTGCGGACGCTTAGTCATTGTTGCTAATACTACGTTTTATTCATTCGCATCGTTTCGGAAAAATTTTATTCATATTGGGTGATATATTGGGAAAATTACGTAGTTTCCTGAATTTTAAAGCATCGTCGTATGCGTGATTATTTCTTATATAAAAAATAATTTCCAAACTGCAGCAAGCCTGTATTTATTTTACCTCGTAGTTGTTTGATACTCGAAGATATTATTAATCCTATTTGTTGGTGTGTTTGTTAAGGAATTGGTTGTTGCTGGTGACTTTAGTACAAATAATTGTATTAACAACCAGACAACTAGTGAATTTTTAGTATCTCAATGGACTATTGAACAAAATCAAAGAACTATTTTGTCGTGTATCGTAAGTTGATCTAACACTGCTTGACAAAGTTGATCAACGTTTTTTTGATGTTTCTTTTATTTTAAAGTACATTCCTAATATTGTACCAATGTTTGTTAACTTATTTAACTGTATTTTAATGAGATGTTTTGTAAACGCAAATTTGAATTAGTTTGTTTCATATAGGCGTTGCGAATTATTTTTGGTTTTTAATAAAAAAAAAACGTTCTTTAATTTTGTTACTCGGTGCATATAGACTTGAGGAAATCGTACTTTCTAATTTGATTACTCGTGAAGTAATACAGAGTTTGAATCATCGATATATGGCTTTTCTTAACAGCCAGACAACTAGTGAATTTTCAGTATTTCAATGGACTATTGAACAAAATCAACGGACTATTTTGTCCTGTGTGGTAAGGTGATTTAACACTGAATGACAAAATTGATTAACGTTTTTTGCATGTTTTTTTATTTTAAAGTACATTCCTAATATTGTACCAATGATTGTTAACTTATTATTTTATTGGGATTTCACGTAAACGCAAATTTAAATTTGCAAATAATGATCTTTTAGTTTGTTCTTATAGGCCTTGCGAATTATTTGTGTTTCTTTGGAGAAAAAACGATCTTTAATTTTGTTACTCAGTGCAGCATATAGAGTTGTAGACTTGAGGAAATCGTCCTTTCTAATTTGTTTCGAGTGTTGTATAGATATTGCCGCGTTTGCAATCTTAGTACCTTTGATTATCTGTCTGTAAAATATTTAAATTATATACTATGTGCAGATTGTCATTGTACATATTAATATATAAATAGTTAATCTTACTCTAACGAGCAGTTTCAGTCTGCCCAGAAAGCATGTTCTGCTGTTTTATGCAATATACTTATTTAAGTTGATTCAAAATTGTAAGGATGAAAATTTCTTATTTTTTTTTGAATCATATCCAGTAACTGGATAAGAAATTTGTTACAAACTGATTTTTGTATTCGGTTTTGTTTTGTTTTTTATTCGTGAAGTAATACAGAGTTTGAATCATTGATACATGGCTTTATTTCTTCGAAAACATAAGCAAAAATAAGAAGTATTTTATGTGAGAATCACATTTGAGACTATTGCGTTGATCGCTGATTAAAAATTGGAATAAGGGGAGTGGAGGTGCGTGCTAAAATAGCGCTTCAAAAGCAAATGTACATATGACAACAGAAGAGCGGTGGGGGATACGTCTAACAATACAAGTCTAGTAAGGTAATTTTTCGCTCATCTATGACCATGGAAGTGGAAACCTTGCTTTGGAATGTACGAGATGTGTTGCCGAGCGAACCAATGATGCAATGCTGCAGAATTTGTGCGATCCTGACTTATCATTTCGACCTAAAATGGAGCACCGTTACGACTGATCCGGAATCGATCCTAAACAGATTCGACACAATTCAAAAATGTTTAGAAAATAAAACCATTATTTGGGCGTAGAGAATGAACTAACGCATATTTTCAACATGCATCTTAATTCAAGGAACTGGTGTAGATTGCCACGTCACCGTTACTAGGCAACGCGGTGATGAGCTTCGCTATCCAGGCGGCTTCTATCTCTTTCTAACATAATGTATGTATACACACTTCTCTCTCGTACACGTTGAACTCGAGCCGCCAGACAAATTTGGATATCAGTGTATACAATTTTCTTAAAAAAATTGGAGACGGGCGTCCAGGAGATCGCCCGCCCCTAAATCCGCCACTGTTTGCATTTATACTAAGTGACATATAAATCCGAACACCCAGTTTAAATGGTTTTATTTTAATAAAAGTTTGTGAATGTATTTATCTTACTGTAGATAACAAGTGAACAAATTTTCAGCCTTATCAGTTGGATATTCCTGTTTTTATACTGCTTTTTTTTAATTCACTAACGCTCTAAAAATGAATATTTCAGCCGCAGTAAAGAATCAACGTTGGCGGATTTTGGTTCTTGACATCCTTTACGATCGGTTACGATGCCTAGAGTACGGAGACCTGTACGATTTCGTCAACTTAGTGAGTTTGATAGGGGCCGTATAGTGGGACTTCGGGAAGCTGGACTTTCTTTTCGGGCAATTGCAGTTAGAGTGCAAAGAAGTGTAGACACTGTGGTTAGGTGTTGTCAGGCATGGCTTCGAGAAGGCCGTACGCAAAGAGCAAGGGGCACTGGACGCCGCCGTAGAACAACAGACCGTGAAGATCGCCGCCTAAGATTATTGGCCTTAAGGGACCGTTTCTCCACTACCAGGTCCATTGCAAATGAATGGTTTGCAGAACACGGAAGAGCTATTGGCATGCGAAGTGTTTACCGACGAATGAGAAGTTTTGGCTTGTTTTCATATCGGCCACACTGGGTCCTCCCTTTAACTCGAGAACACCGACGTAATCGCATTGAGTGGTGCAGACAACGGTCACTCTGGGATCAGGAATGGAACAGTATTGTCTTTAGTGACGAGTCTCGATTTTGTTTAGGCATGCACGATGGTCGTGCCAGGGTTAGAAGGCGACGTGGTGAAAGGAGGAATCCACAGTTTTTTGTTGAAAGACATGTTCATCACACTGTTGGAGTTATGGTTTGGGGTGCTATAGCTTATGGTTCCAGACCACCTGATCAGAAGCATGCCTAGGCGCGTGGGAGAATGTGTAGCACATCAGGGTGCATCCACACATTATTAAAGGTCAAAGGGCTTTAAAGCAGTGCAATCATTTTGAAATTTTTATCATTCACTTATTATGCTTCATTAAGTACTTATACAAAATTTTATTAAAATAAAACCATTTAAACTGGGTGTTCGGATTTATATGTCACTTAGTATATTACTCGATACCCCTTGTCCTTTGAATTTTTTAGGGGAATGACTCTGGGGGCCGAGGGTGAAGTACTTTTTGGTTTAAAAGTTGTCCCTTTTGAAAAATCTTTTGACGTGTCTCGGCGTTTTTTCTTATTATTAGTGGTTTTCGATAAATCCGTGGTGGGTTTTCAAATATATATATATATAACAAAATATAGGATTTTGTCATGAGCGCTCGGAGGGGATCCCAAGGAGTGCCGTGATCACCCCCCGCTCTTCCCTCCAGAATCCAATGAAGCATATTGCAATTTGCATATTTAGCATGACTTTGTGTACAATTTTGGAGATTTTTTTGGATTTGCTACCTCTTGAGGAAAATTGCTATCTATCGCTCTTCAAAAAATGTTGAGGGCAGGTACAAAAGTTCTCTGTAGATTCTCGTCACCAAGGAAATGAAGCAGGATGAGTTTTTTAATGTGGGCAATAAATAACTTCGTTATTTCTCATGGTATTTGAAAAAGTTACTTACAAAAATTGTAGCTTTGCTTAGAACATATTTTTATCTGTACAGGGTGATTCATAACTATGTGGTGACCCAAACATAAATCCTTTCAAAATTGAATATTTTATTGCAGATTTGGTTATGCTCTGCTAAACGAAGCAGTTTGATATAACATAATGTAACCCCCATAATTCTTATATTAAAAGAAAGCTTGTGAAAATAGGTTTCAAGGAATATTTGAAAATCTCGAGAAATAGTTTTTACGTTCTCCACCACCCCAAAAAACTGAAAAAATAGACAGGGAAAAATATGGGATAACATTATTTTGAAGCAAAATTCGGTACGCAAGCTTTAACAGTTGCGGAGGTGTGAGCAGTTGTCAAATAAGTGGTGTTTTCTTCCGTAGATTGTCCAAAATCTCACCAACTGGAAAATAAAACCCTATAGTATGCTATATCATATTGGTCTGTTTGAAAAGGCCTAGAAAAATCTGCAATAAAATGTAGGTGATTCAATTTAAACAAAATGTTATGAGTTATGAATCATAGTGTAGACAAAAATATTTTTCAAATCACGAGCGACGACTTCCTCTCTGACAAGAGACCTGGAGGTTATCAGTGCTTGGGGACACAACAATTTTGTACAGTTTAATGCTTCCAAAACACAGTATTGTATCTTGAAGAACAAAAAGCGTCCTAGCGCTCATCCGGTTTCGATGGATGGCCGAGTTATGCCTTAGAGTCATTCATTTCGACTGGTCGGAGTACAGATCATCGAGGATCTGATCTGGTACGAACACATCTGGTCAACAGCGGCAGCTGCTGGGAAAAAGCTAGGCTATTTGTTTAGTGCTAAGAAGTACTTTTCTTCGCATGACATTTTCACTCTATACAAGGCCCACATAAGGCCTAGCCTCGAGTATTACTCACACGTTTGGGGTGCTGCTGCCCCGACTACATTATTTATGCTCGATGCTGTCCAGAGGACTGATCGATGACTCTTCTCTAACAGACAGTCTCGGGACCCTTTCGCACCGGCTGGCAGTCGGTGATCTAGGTCTCTTCTACCGCTACAACAACGGGCTTTGCTCCTCAGAGCGATGTGCCTTCCAGACAGACCCGCCTGACTTTGGCCTCCCATCCTAACCGCGTCTAACTTCGTACATCCAGAACTGGCCGATACGACCGCTTCTTTGTCCCGAGGGTGTCCAGATTGTGGAACAATCTACAAGAGGAAGCTTTTCCCAGATCCACTAACCTTGGGCAGTTCAAAAATTGGATTAACAAACTTTCTTTGGGATCATCATAGCAGCCGCGGTGTCCCGGCATTTAGGCTTGTGTCTGCGCGGCTGCTTCAGTATAAAATAAAAAAAAGCATACTGTTGGCTACAATTTTTGTATTCAAGTATTTAGATACCATGCATAGTACCAGAGTTGTCTACCACCCTGTGTTCAGGTAATCTGGGCCGAAAAATGGACCTCTTGGACCCTAGAGTAGATCTGGCAGGCCTTCTGGATCGACGTACTTGATTGGAAATACCTCAATAAAAAAAATAAAATTTAATCATGTATATTGGTCTTCAATTTCAAACAAATCCGTACACACAATTTTATTTCCGTTATGACCGGATACAGATAATGAAATACAAAAAATGTTTACATTCAAAAATAATACAAAATAACTTGCTCTCATGCAATGTATTGTTCAGATCATGAAAAGAAGTTTCTTCATTGATCAGTATTTTACGTTGCTAGATATACAAACAAGATTTATTGTAAATTAGGGTGTAACAAAATTTAATGAAGCATCTTGGATCTTGACGACGAAAAAAAAGTCACAAATTCATTTCCATGCCTCTTTAGATCAGGATAACTATAATTTCAACAAAAATGTATACACGATTTTTTGGAAACAAAGATGCTACAAACTTTGTGACACCCTGCAAGAAAACATAACACTTGGAAAAAATATTCCAAGTTGTTCTACCCTATAGATTAACTATGTACAGTGTTCGATTTAATAATATTACATAAAGATACACGACGGATATATGAAAAATTATGTAACAGTACTTTGTTTGTAGGACTGCCAATAATGTGTGACCTTTGTGGACATCATTGTATGTTCTATCAGAGCATGTTTTCAGGCAAACGAGTTGCTCACGCTATCAAACTTACATGTTTCAATAAGAGTTAAAATTAGTAGTTTGCAAAAGCAAAATAACTTTTTTAAAAAGCTATACAATTTACACATCTTTTTTCTCTGTCTGGTGTACTACGTAAAGTGATATTACTAAATCTGTTAAACTGTACTATATTTCTTAGTTTGAATTGTTGAAATAACTTTTCTAATGATTTCAAAGAAGTTGTAAACAAAATTGGGTAAACAAGATAAAGAGTGAGTGATCTACTTATATTACAATACATTTATGTGATCTAATATACAGATTTTTATCGTGAACGATATATTACTCCTATAAACACTATATCATCTTATAAAAAAGTATTTAACCGCACTGAAGTGTTTAAAGTATTCTTGTTCAGATTTAAATATTCGTGTCAAACCTGACACTCATTTATAAGCTATTTGTAAGTGAGTTTAATTGTAACATTTATCTCGTTATCAGGAAAAATTGAGATATTCTGATTCCAATTTGAGAATTGTAAGCACATTCAAGAGATCAGCTATAACTTTTATATTTTTTGAAAATCTAATACAGACAATATCACCAATATTTATTCGGAATTTTCAAGATAATGAGATGCTCACACTAAGCGCGAGGACACACGAGCGTTGAACAAACGCGCATTCATCATATTTATTCAAATGACACAGGCACCTATATCCAACAAACCACAAAGCATGCAACTTCGCAACGTTGTGGTAGTCCTATCAATTTAACTGTCAACTCGAGGCCAAACCACCCTTATCGAATTTTACTTACCTATATATAAGATATAAGGTGTTGATCGTGGTCTGTATCCGTTTTTTTTAAACCATCACGAAAAGTGAAGTATCTATGGTGTGGACTATTTGAATATTACAAATAATAGGTACTGTGTGGAGATGCCACGACGCAAATTATTGATGCTCCTCATTCATCGTTTTTAACAGTACTATTTTCCATTTATATTTCTATATAAAGTGGACGTCAAATTCCATGGTGCCAACCTTGTTTTCCTTCCCATTATATTGAACAACTTTTCAATTCAAGTATAGAACTATGGCAGTACTACTACAATTCAGTATTGAATAATATGGTTTCTGTTTATGAGATTCGCCTCAAAACCAAAACCACAATACACATAAGATCTCAAAATGTTAGCAGCAAGAATTTGTTGTGTGATTGGCAGCACTGTGTACTGACAGATTATCCTTGAATTTGTTCATTGATGTAAACACAGCGGACAATCAGAATAACCTTGAGGAAATCCAGCTGAATAAATTTGTGAATGGTTGGTGTAAAACGGGTATTAAGACATTTAGTACGTTGTTTTATTGTTATATTCATGATGAATGCAATGATGTATCAATTGTTTATACTAGGAGCGTATAATAATAACCATGAAATTCCAATAGTCAATTTATGATTGGTATATACTATATATACATATTTACATGAAAGCACATCTGGCCGATGCTCGACAATTTGACGATGGGGCTACTTTGCGACGTTGCCTTTTTTATCAATGGCTTGTAGTTTTAGGAGACTGTGACACAGGATACAACGGTGATTTGATAACTGGTATTTCTAATACCGTGAAAAATCGTGACGTGATTACGAATTCGGAAACTAGGCGATTCACCGCAACGCTGTCAAAGAATCACTCCGCTAATGTTTGCGTATTATTTAGTTTTAGGCGCGATTTCAGTCAAGACATCAGTATACTCATAACTTTCAGAAGTCGTGATCATGTTACGCTTTTAAAATACTGATGTCAAAAAGTAATATCAGATTTCGCAGATATTGAGAAATGATAATATTGCACATCTACACTACTCCAAAAATTAAGGAAGCAAGAAAAGAATCCAAAATTTTCAGTGATTTTTGACAGGTTGTATTTCGGCGGAAAATGGTTGTATCTAAAAAAGCATTTTTAAGCTTCAAGATTCTAGTTTTTAGGTTTTTTTAGCGGAAAGATTTTAGGAGCAATAGTCCTTATGCAATTCTAATAGATAGAGCAGGGAACATTTTTTGCAAAATGTTTGCGTAATAAAATGTTTCATCAAATATTGCAATCAAGTCTTATAGTTTTCGGAAATACCCTTGTGATCACTGATTATCGAGATATCAGTGGTCGATGACAAAAGGATCCTTTTTCGTTCAAAATCAGATACCTCTGCGCCAAATGATCGTATCGAGATTTTGAAGCTGAATAAACGGGCTATCTGATCCACAAAAAATTTTCAAGTGAATTGGCTAAAAGGAAAGCAAACATTTTGTATACAAATTTCCTTGAGCTAACTGTTAGAACTGCGTGAGAACCTCAGTTTTTTCGACTAAAAAACTGAAAACTTCAAAATACATTTTTTCACCGAAATATCAACAACAATTTTTTTCTTGATCCCTTAATTTCTTTTGAGTAGTGTATGACCAGTTGATACAAAATATTCTTAGGAGCTGAGCGTCCCAACATCTTGTACACCGAAAAAATATTGGTCAATTGCAAACGAACTACTATGAATGCACATGAAACTATTGACAGTTTCTATGAAGTGTCAGAATATCGTATTGCGTGCTGTAGGAAGAACATCATTAAACGATCAACTCAAGTCAGTCAAAGACATATAGTAAAACGTGAAAGAACTAACCATATAATTATAAACTCTTAAATTATTTGCGTGCAAACCAGTGACAGTAGTATGGGCAATATGTGTGTAGATTTTTAATATTTTTCCACTTGCATTAGAGTGAACAAAAAGCATCTTGGGCATACTATAGCTCTTCATCAATCTAAACAGGAGTCAGGTTACAGAAAGTAAGGTAAGTTAAATGAGTGTCGATGGAAGCATTTCTGTACATTGCCATTAAATATCTCGAATTTTAGATCTCGCACAGTGTATTTTTGATGTAAAACCGCCACTGGTGCATTTTATACAGGGAGACCCAGAGTTCGTGGTCGGTCGTCAGAATCATAGACTGGGTTTTCTATATGAAGGTCAATATGTAAGGTGGTGATTTTTGGTCCATCCAAAAGTCGTAACTTTAGAGATACAGGGCGGTAAAGTTCGCAAAAATAACTCATTGAGTTTTCTTGAAAAAACGATCTGTGTATTCATTTATTAGCAGATTTGACCTTTTGAATTTTATTAGTCCGACTCACAGTTTTAACCTAAAAATAAAATGTTTATCTGCATTCTGATATTGTCATATCAACGATACTGTTATGATCACGACGAAAAACGGTTTTTATCTTTTGCGAAAACCGTGCATTGAATAAAATAAAATTTGCTTAGAAATAACTGAGCGTTTCAAAAAATAATTTTTCTTTTAAGAGAAATCAGTGACGTACCATCAATGCCTGCCAAAATAGGCACGTGAAATTCCGTACTGGTGGAAAGTAAAAGAAAGTTCTACATTAAAAAATGCCTCTTGATGCACAGTGCATGAATGCCAAATTTCGTTGAAATGGGCCCAAAAACCGACCTAATAAATATTGACATTCAATTAGGAACGTATTAAATAACTTTAATCGTTGATTATTGTATTCTACTTGAAGGTAACCGACCATATACTGTTTTTCGGTGTCCCAAAAGTGAAAGAAGCAGAAAAACTGAAAAATATTACTCTTTTAAAAGTTAAATTTTTTAATCAACGTTGTTATGTTCTATATGGATCTGGATCTGATATATTGACCACATCTTATGGGACATCCTGTATGTAGATGTTTCTATACTTGTGATTCAATATAAGTGATATTGCAGTGCTAAGATGTTTAGCTATCATTTTTCTTTATGTAAGGTATTACAGATGCATTTTTGAAAATCCTACCAAGGACATTAACTGTCTACTAGAAAAGCACCATAGGATTATTATCACATCTCACCTCATGTTACAATATACTTAAAAGAGGAAGAAACTAAGCATGACAGCTTAAGTAAAAAGGGGCAGCACATGCCAACGGCTATTGGAGACATTATTTTCTAGGCAACATGCTTGAAGAGTTTCATGGACTGAGAACAGCGTACCCCCATAAGCAGATATTCAAAATCATTTTTACAGAGTAGAGACATTTTCAGTATGTTCAAAAAATGGATCAAAAGGATCAGCGTCCATAAATGGGTTTTTCAGCACTGAAAATAAACATTTTGAAACAATGAAATATTTGCATCTGAATATTTCACAAGATATGTGTTCTGAGTTTTTCACAATATTTTTATTTCTATCAGTACTTGATTGTTCCTTTAAGGTATAAGATTCGCAATTCTGTCATTTTTGTAAAAAATTCACCCATTTTAAAATATCTCACTTATTTTTGTATATGAACACATGCAACACTTCAAATTTATAATGGAACATTGATGAAGGAATACTGCCCTTTGTAGAGAAAGTGATATTGCTATTTCTCAGGAATAGTGACACTATTATAAAAAAGCATTTTTAATATTTTTTTATGAACAATTTCGGATAACTGAACATAAAGTTAATAATTTGGATTTAGAAAAATTATCAAGTAAATAAGGTTTATTGAACTTTCAGATTCATTGAATAAAAAATCAGTGTGTTTTCAAAAAAATCCCATTTTATTTCTTTTTTTGCAACTTTACAGGAATGTTTCATTTCTACAAAATATATGACAAATAATTCGTGGTTACAGAACAAAGAGGGAAAATTTATTTTAGTATTACTGCCAATGATACACAACTAACAACATTTTAAGGGCTATGAATGTTCCAGAATGTTGAGATTCTACCCTTATTATTTTAACATCGGATAGTGTGGATGACTCTTTTCCGAATTATGTCGTAGGAAGATAGTCACAATGCACTTTGTCACTATTTTTGATTAACACGATCGGTTATTAGCGTACCTCTAGTATGACGTTATTCTTGAGAAACATGTAAGTATACGCTTTGAAAGTCAAGCCGCAACTGCAATATGACATTATTCTTGACAGAACCCCAAAACATTCGATATTAACGAACAACGACACTGGCGTCATCTCTGGCAAAAACATTTAAACAATTGCAAATGTCCTGATTCCTGAATAAAATAGTCAACATTTGGAGTGGATCTGCATTTTTAATTGATTTTTTCGTTTTTTGCATAGTGTCACTATTTTTGAGAAGCAGCGGGATGTTGTTGCACGGATTCTGTTTTGGTTTATATTTTTCCTCATGAAATTGCTTATCCTGGCAATAAAAATCATATATTTTTATTATTATATGAAAACATCGGAAAATTTTAGTGGAAATTTAAAATACATGTGTTTTGAAATGCAAAAACTTCATATATGCGTAAAACTCAAAATTTGAATTATTCTCAGGGGCAAAAACTGAAAACCCTTTCATGAAAGCTGATTATTACCTTGAGTTTCAGGAAGAAAATTGTAGAGACCCATCATTAGACAAATTTCAAGAATATGTGGCAAGCAAGGTATGTTTCTCAATCTATGGTATTCACTGAAAGCTGAAGTATTGTCCTGTAGATAGTCTTGAATCCAGAATGGAGTAGTGATACGACAAATTCACAAATTATCTATAGCTATTTGACACCCATAATTGGCAGTATTTCAAAATACTATATCACTAAATTGCATCTAAATACAATAACAACCTTGATTGTGAGAAAATCAGAGTTAAATGACAAACTTGTTCAACACAAATATTTAAATAAAAACTAATATGATGTATAGAATATATAGAACTTAAAAACTCCACTGTAAGAGACTTTCAGTCCGCATTTGCCTTTGTTTACACTACATATAGTCTTTAAATGTACTTTTTGGTTCCATGGGATTCGCTAAATTAAAGGAGCACACACAGGGATTTCTTTTTTTGTTTCTGCTTCTTCTCGGGTGATTTTTTATTGATTTGTCGAACTAGATCATAAAATATCTGAAAAAATATTAGAAGTTCGTTCGGGGTTCTACAGGGCGATTAGTAATGCATGTGCCAAAAACTCGTGAATATAACATTAATAAAATCTCGCTTACTAATGAGATAGAGAGTCTAATTTGCCAAATCATTTTTCCTTTGTAATATTTGAAAATTAGAAAGCATGGGTTCCTCTCATTATATTGTATTTTTCGATATACTATGTAGATGAGGCTAGTTACAGTTACATTTTTTCATAAAAATTGCGATAGATTGATGATTTTTATGTATCTCATTTATCATCATCATTTTAATTCAGGATTCCGTTTTGACACATTAATTACGGAACATCATGTACTCGTATAGGAGAAATTTATAAAAGTGCTCCGAGTCATCACCGGACGGCCGTTAAGCGACATCCAAGGCGTCGCATTGACGTTAAACATCTTGTAGCTTGAATCAGGAAGTTTTCTATTTTTTTGAAACATTCAAAATTATAGTCTAAGAGTAAGTAAAGGGTTGTCCAATAGGGTGGGAGGAAAGTAAACGTCAATTTGACATAGACGCCATCTTTGTTTTCTGTCACCGACATGTCATTTTGTTAGTTGAATGTTTACCATTGATCGCTATGGAGTCGTATTCGATTGAAGACCGCATTAAAGTTATTCAAGAGCACTACAAAAATGGTGCAAAAATAAAAAACACGTTTCGCGCGCTTCGTGAGCATTTCGGTTGCAACAACCGCCCAAACGAAACAACCATCGGTCGTCTGGTGCGTAAATTCGAGGCAACAGGTTCTGTGGCAAATCTGCCAGGCCTGGCCGGCCAAGGAGCGTTCGCACACCGGAAAATATTGCTGTTGTGAAGGAGAGTGTGAGAGACGATCCGAAACAATCAACAACGCGTCGATCCCAAGAATTGGGCATTTCGAGAACCAGGATTTGAATGTACACGCCTACAAGATCCAATTGACGCAAGAGCTGCGTCGGGCCGACCATTTTTCGCGCCGAACGTTCTCAGATTGGCTACTTGAACACCGCCAAATTGATGACAATTTTTCATCAAAAATCATGTTCACTTTGAATGGGACGGTAAACAAGCAAAACTGCCGCATCTGGGCGAACGAAAATCCCCGTGAGTATCAAGAGCAGCCAATGCATCCTCAAAAAGTGACTGTGTGGTGTGCATTGTAGTCAAAAGGCATCATCGGACCTTACTTTTTCGAAAATGCGGCCGGGGACGCCGTTACCGTCAATTCTGAGCGATATCACGTGATGATAGAGGACTATTTTTTGCCGCAACTTGAAGGAATGGATATGGACGATGTTTATTTCCAACAAGACGGTGCAACATGCCACACAACCAACGTCAATATCCATCGATTGCAGTCCTTCTTCGGTGATCGCGTGATTTCGCGCAGAGGAAATGTGCCATGGCCACCAAGATCGTGCGATTTGACTCCCTTGGACTTCTTTTTATGGGGATATTTGAAAAGCAAAGTCTACGTCAACAAACCAGCCATCCTCCAAGAACTCAAAAACAACCTCATTGCCGAGATAAATGCCATAGAACCGACCATGTTGCAAAATGTCATTGAAAATTTCGACCATCGCGTGGACGTCTGTAAATCCAGTCGTGGTGAACATTTGAGCGATATTATTTTTCATACATAAATGGTATAAATGAACCTTCAAAATAAAGTACCCAACTTGATTTGAATATCAATCTTTCTTGTTTTAATATTCCGTTTTGGATAACCCCATATAAGTGATACTGGGCAGAATCGGTCGAGCCCATGTACAAGGCCAATGCCAAACCAGGAAGGTGAAGTGGGAGAGGGCATAGCGATGCATGCAGCCTCACTGGCTGTCAGTGTTAGCTCGGTGTTCGAGAGTCCGATCACGTGAAGTATGCATGAATATGTTTGAATCTAGTTTCCTTCTATGATAAATGGACTATAGCTTGGGATGAGATGCTTCAAGGCATAAGTCACCACACCAGGAGTATGGACGAAGGTTTATGGCAAACTATTTATTAGGGAAATCCTGCGATACAGCAAATGTTTCCGCTTCAAAATTTAATCGCTATTTCCTTATGCTCATGTCTAACTGTTTACAAAATTTCATTCAAGTAAAATGATTATTACTGGGTGGTCTATTTTCGTCTTCACTGGGTATATTAAGGAAAACAAAAACTATACACCGCCGATGACTACTGGCAACTGATTGTCGAGATCTGCATGGGACCCGGCGATGCAGCAGCGAAATGTGAATGACTCTGAACACTATTATAAATTCGCAATAAAAAAAACTTACATCAACAACATTAATTTTCGCTTTGGCAGAAGTTTCCATAAAGGCACAGTTAAACTGGCGGGAAAGGCTGATGCCCTGTTCTTTACCCACAACCCGTTCTTCTTCTAAATCACACTTGTTTCCTACTAAAACCATTGGTACATCATCTGTATCCTGAAACAGAACACTATTATCAATTCACAAAGTTTACAGGGTAAAAAAACTAAAATTGCACGACCTGGCTAAGTGGGTCATATCTTAGATTGCGCTCAAGACTTATTCCTGAAGAGTATCTATGAATGCATGAGGCTCTGTGTAATGTCAGGGTCCTAGGTCGAACGGATCAGTCTGGAGACTTTTCATTTTTCTCGATAGTCCTATCCTTGAAAACCAGTAGACTCTGTAATACACTACTCCCAAGTAAAATTGTCCAACGAAGTCAAATGTGCCCCCCAGATTTTGGACCAAAAATGGCCATTTTCATGATATTGGAGGGCGGCTCGTAACTCATATCTGGCTTAATTTTGTTTTTGAAGAGAACCTATGGAGGCATGACCCTTATTTTCTCGCTACGCCTGTCACTGGGGAGTATTAGGAACCATAATTTGTGATCATTCCGAAGTAAAATTGTTCGAAAAATTAAAAAATAACCTTCCAATAGCAATCTGATAATTCGTTCGGTAGATATTTCGGTCAAAATTATTTTCTTGGGCTGACAATTCGAATGTCTTACAAAACAAAAAATCGTCAAAATCATTTTTTTTTTTCGTAAAGGAGAAGGACCCACTGCTCTATATAAGTTGAATTTTGCTTTAGAGAATTTGAATTGGTAAATATTTTGGCCCAAAATTTACACTTTTCATCATGTTAGAGGAGGTATATGGATGTTATTAGAGATCAAAGATGCTAGTATGGTGCAAGTGCATTATCAAACCGCAGTATCTGAGAGATCTGCAAAAAACCTATAGTTCAGTATTTTACATAAATCAGCAACGGTTGCACTGAGCTCTTCTATTTTTGCGTTTTGACCATTAATTATTTAGCTTCTTTTTGACGTCAGATAATATCTGAGCCAAACTAGCACATTCGCATCAACTGCTAACCGAACGTGGAATTGTCCTGTTTGTTTCTCCACTGGAATTGCTCAAGGTAACCCGAATACTGTCACAACGTGACACAGGCGCTCACTGTTTACACCGCATTCCAGAACTAGACTACTGTTTACACTTTTTTAAAATGCAAATATAGGCAAATTTTGACCACCACACGTCCACATGTTCACAGATGCAACTTTCGAATAATTAATTAACTTAGAAATAGCGAATATAATCCTAAACAGACTATAACGCACAGCTCCATACCACGTTGCCGTTTGTTGTATGGTATATTTTGGGTCAAACGGGTCAATTTAGAGGCTCAACATCAAAATTCAACTCATATTTAGAGCGATTGGTTGATCCTCTTTTGACGATTTTGTTGTTTCGGAAGGCCATTCGAATTGGCAGCCCAAGAAAATAATACAAATTTAAAAAAAAAAAAAACAATATCACTGAAATATCTACCGAACGAATTATCAGTCTGCCCTTTGAAGGAAATTTTTTATTTCTTTGGACAATTTTACTTCGGAATAGACACACATTAAGCTTTCCAATGACAGGGGTAGCGAAAATCGGATTCCAACGCCTATCCGATCAATTTAAAAGCCCGCGTACAAAATTCTATTCAAGATGTCCTAAATGAAAAATCTCTTATCGATCTTATGCGCTGGCTTATAGCCGTGTGTCTTATAACATTTTTGTATGGGGGAAATCTTCCGAAATTAATAAGAGTATTTGCTGCCCAAAAAATAATCGTCAGATTAATTTTCGGAATGAAGCCACTTGACTCCTGCAGAGAAATTTTTAGATCACGAGCAATTCTCGCATTACACTGTATTTACATTTTGAAATGTGTAACTTACATCAAGAAGTTTAATAGCCTGTTCCCGAATATTAATGCTCATCATAATTATAATATTTTTACTAGAAATCAAAACACATTAAAAAATATCATCCCATTATAACTGCATAAAATTATATAATAAATTACCAGTTGAAATACAGCAAACTAGTAATTATTTTCGATTTTAAAATCAAGTTAAAAGATTATTAGCAACAAATGCATTTTATAACATATAGTATATGGAATGCACAACCTTGAATGAATGGAATTGAACATTCATATGAATTGTTATATTTATATTGTTATACATTTTATTTGTATTATACGAGGGATGTCTTTTAAGTTTTGCATATGGAAATAAAACAACATGGTAGGTAGTTTTAAATGACTTTATTGTTTTTCGAAGTATTCTCCACGAAGATTACGTACACATCTGCATGCGCTCGAACCAATTTTCGAAGCACTTATTCCACTCGTTTGCTGGCAGATCCAAAACGGCATTTTTGAATGCGTCAACTGCTTCTTCTTGTGACTGGAACGTTTGACCACGCAGTCTGTTTTTAATTTTCGGGAAAGTAAAGAAATCGTTAGGACTTAGATTGCGACTATATGGAGGATGGTCCAATAATTCCACGTTTTCTTCCGTAAAAAACTGCCTTGTTTTTCTTCTTTCGGGGTTGATTTTTCGAAGCTCGGTGGTGACTTTTGGCAAACAAATGGTGGTATACCAATCTGCAGTAACAGTTCTTTGCTTATTAGGAGGAATCGTTGCAATATGGCCCGCTTTTGACACAAATGTCGCGACTATCTTTTTCGAAACACTTCGAGAACGGATGACTTTTGTTAGGTTTTCTTCACCTTGGAACACCCAAACAGCCGACTGTCGTTTATTTTCTGTTTCATAATAGTAAATCCACGATTCATCACCACTAACAATGCTGTACACATTTTTTGAGTTTCCGTAATAGAAATGGTCAAGCGTTTTTTGACACCAATTAATGATTTGAATTAATGATGTGGCGCTTCGTTGCCGAAAACAGACAGTAACTCAGCAAGGCATTCTTGTTGCGATAATTGTATCTGAAAGTTGTAAACAATTATGGCGCGAAAATGTTCTCGGTTGAGTTCCATTTTTCTAATGACTTGGTGACACTGTAGTGAGAACACTGCACGTATTGTTGTGAAGCTTTGAGTTTAAGTTTACTAAAGAGTGAGGTTAAGATTCAGTACTGACTGTCGATCCGCGCGGTCTACTATGCTTCTATATGCAAAACTTAAAAGACATCCCTCGTATTATATTTATATTTTTCACCACATGCACTATTCTGTATCTAAGTGGTTAATAATAAATAAATATAGGAAGATATGTTGCTCGATCTCCTTTAAGAAAACAAAAATAATAGTTATGTGCGCTTTGTGTTTCGGAAACAATTCGAATTGTCAGCCCAATAAACCAATAAAAATTTTCGAAAAGAAAAAAACACTTTTGCCTTATACATCTTTGACTTCCTTGGACAATTTTACTTCGGAGTAGTCATATATTGCAGGGCCTACTGGTTTTCAATGACAGGAGTAGCGAGAAAATGGAAAACTTTAAAATGCACATTTTTGGCGATGCGTCTCCAGAACGAAGCGTTCAACCTAGGATCCTGAAATTACACAGAGTCTCATGCCTCCATAGGTACTCTGTAGGAAATAAATTTGAGTCCGATGTAAGATATGACCCGCCAATTTTAGTTTTGACCTTTGTCTCACCGACATAGCGCGTTTAATACACAGTGTATTCAAATTTGATTTATACCGCGTCAAAACAAACTAATGGCTGGCGGGCCATAAATGGCTGAGCATGCAGCGACAAGCGAAAAGAAGCTGAGATCGGGTGCTCATTTTTTATGCTGAGGGAATGAGGTTTGGAAACAAACATATTGCGATTCAAAACGATATGAGGGATTCGCGTATCCGTGTGATTCTGTACAATATGAGTAATGTCACAGCTGATAGCGTGGCATAGTGTTCTCCAAACTAGAATTCATACAGAATAATAACAATTCATCAAAATTTAGATAGTTTATCAAAAGGATTATATTTCGAGAGTACATGCAAGAATTTTTTTATATCGAAGCAGCCGCGCAGGCAGAAGCCTAAATGCTATGATGATCCCAAAGAAATTTTGTTAATACGATTTTTGAACTGCCTAAGGTTAGTAGATCTGGGAAAAGCTTCCTCTTGAAGATTGTTCCACAATCTCGACACTCTCTGGACACAGGAACGGTCGTATCGGCCAGTTATGTACGAAGTTCGACAGGGTTAGGATGGGACGCCAAAGTCAGGCGGGTCTATCTGGCAGGCACATCGCGCGGCGGCATCAAGGAATAGAGCTCTGAGGAGCAAAGCTCGTTGGTATAGCGGTAGAAAAGAGCTAGATTGCCGACGGCCCGCCGGTGCGAAAGGGTCCCGAGACTGTCTGTTAGAGAGGCTAGGTCTTATCTGGGCCTTGTATAGAGTGACGAGGTCCTGCGGAGAATAGTACTTCTTAGCCCTGAACAAATAGCCTAGCTTTTTCCCAGCAGCTGCCGCTGTTGACCAGATGTGTTCGTACCAGATCAGTGCTAGGACGCTTTTTGTTCGTCAGTACAGTACTGTAGTTTTGCAAGCATTAAACTGTACAAGCAGTGATAACCTCCAGGTCTCTTGTTAGAGAGGGAGTTGTCGCTAGTCTTCTTTTTTAAAGCTCAACACTTCCTCTAAATATAAGTCCTAAGCTGTCCCATTACCAAAATACTACTATAAATAATACTGTAACATTTTATGCAACTGATGAGACTAAATAAGAACAAAACATGAATATTGTTTAAATAACGCTAGGGTGAGAAAGGATTACTCTTCTAGTACACATAAAATTTTCAAATTCAAACTTCAGTAACATCAGTATATTTTGAAAGTAGAATGAGTTGAAGTTTTTTATATATATTCAAATATCCAAACCAATTTTCCTCCAAAAGGCTGTCAAAACCTTCTTAGATCATGTAAAATTGGATGCTATATTCAATATTGTAACAGACGTTCAAAAAAAAATAGTGGCATGAAAAATATGTTTTTTCATCTGTAGCGGTCAAAACTTCTCAATTTCTGTGCAACTTGTGTAGTCTCAGGCACGAATTTTTTTGCATGTACTGGCTATATTTTTTTTTTAATTCAAAATTGAAACTCTCTGTAAGGGGGTATTGTAATCCCGAAATTTGTATATAAAATAACCCCGTGCTGGATGGTCGGAATTGTCGGTCGGGCGGCATGCATTGTTTGACTATGTAGTGATTGTATTGAATCAATTCCTTTGTTATACACAGTTTTTCTAAGGAGGACTAACTTGTACCAAATATAATCCCGTGTGATTTGATGGAAGCATTGCATAGGAAGTGGAACGTCAACCTACTTGACGCCATTTTTTTTACCAACACCAGGTTTTCACTAAGTAACCTTTTAAGATACCAATAACAAATGTCAAAGATAAAATATCAGCGTCACATTTAACGCATATTTGAGATTTCCAAAACCGTATTTCCTTTTTACATTACTAATTATCTAATATTGTAGGTTTATTAAATAAAATTATGATAAACGTCCTTTTATCACTGTTGCTTCCTGTTAGTGATATCCTCGGAGCTATACAAGATGGAATGTGAAATGCTCAATCTAGTTACTAGTTTACCTGTTTGGGGAATTCATGAAAATAAAAACAATGAAATATATTTTTATCAGTGAAGGCAGAAACCTAAATACCAACGTACCACGAATGCTATGTGGGAGTTAAAAATATGAGTAAAATATCTTCATGCAGAGTTTCCCACAATCTCAACTCCCTAAGAACAAAGGAGTGAGCATACCGGCCAGCTTTCTGTAGAGTTCAACAGCGATAGAATGAGTAGCAGAGGCCTGGTGGGTTGATCTGGCAAAATATGCATGAAAATGACTTACCTTGACCCGCAAAATTTGCTCCCGTAGATCTTGTAGGTCATTGAACGTTGATTGTGCTGTTATTGAATATACCAAGACGAATCCTTGACCATTTTTCATATACAAATCTCTCATTGCAGTGAATTGTTCCTTAAAAGACATGTAATCATTTTTTATGATCAAAGATGATTTGTACATATACAATTTAGCATGTACATCAACATTTTAGCATTTACAATCGAAAAATATTATCAAGTAGGTAAACTCTGCACTTTCCTCTCGGACATTGTAATCAACATCATGTGGAATGCACAGAGTCCACCTACTTGACACATTTTTACGTCATTTTTTTAATCAGTATTAGCGATAAGTTAGTTATCATTGTTTGAATGAAAATATTATGGTTACAATAACAACATTTCTATACAATATCCAGCTTATCAGTCTTCTGGGAATATTTTTTGTCATACTTTTTATGCACTCAGACTTCAATACTGATATGTACACAAGGCACGTATTTATCTGCAGTAAAATTTAAATATTTTAATGCATATTTTTGTTTTAAAAGCTATGTGTAATTTTAAAAATTGAAACAAAAAATTCAGGGCCATCAAATACATCAGAATGTTTTGATAATATTCGAAATTAGTGCCTCAAATTACCAAAGTCTACTAAGGTTCTTGAGGAAAAATGGAAATCTTGTCCAAAAGTCATAGTATTTTTGGATTTCCTTTGCGATAAATTTCAAATAACCCTAATCTGAACAAAAAAAATATCAGTAAACAAGATGCATAAATTTCTGATTTGATGTTATTTTGGCACTAGGATCAATGGACAGTCCCGAGCCATCAGTTTTCCACCTGAATTCCAGCCCGATGATAATCCGTAATTTTTAGATTTTTTTTTATACAACTCCTAAGAGAAAGCAGCAATCTGTCATATGGGCAATAAGCATAGTATCACTCCAGTGAGTGATCTCTATTAAATACTAAATTCTCTATCAGAAGATAATTAACATTTTGGCCGACTCACTAGCTTATTATTAGACACAGCTTGCTAACATATTAGGGTGTGTTTCCACCTTTTCACTGTATCTAGCACTGAACCTGTGAATTATTTCCTTGATCATGGTAAGAGGTATGTCATGCTGAATCACTTCATTGTCAAGTAGATTAACACTGTATCTTACATGAAGTTGATAAAGTAAAAATTAATGTTTCACAAAACATTAAATCATTTATAAAAATATATGTATTAAAAGTACAACTAATCGCTCACCTATCTTTTGTATGATAAAAATTTGTTGATGTCTTAATAACACAAGAATAGAGATAAATACCAAGTTAAGAGGTGTCAAAAACAATGTTGGTTTCACTACTTACTGTGCCTGCTGTATCTAATATTTCGAGCATACATTGTTGTCCATCAACTTCGACTTGTTTCCTATAGCTATCTTCAATTGTTGGATCATATTTTTCTACAAATATACCTTGCACAAACTGTACTGTTAGTGCCGATTTCCCAACTCCTCCTGAGCCTAATACTACAATTTTGTATTCACGCATTTTGTTATGTACCTGTAAAGAAATGCCATGTAAACAAAAAGATCAATGTCACAGGGTAACAGCAATTTAACTTTTTGGTATGGTCTTTTGCCAAATATGCTAACAAAAAGCACCTATACATACTTTGCTAAGCATCATTATCAAAAAATACACATATTCACATGCAGACAGATACATTTTTAGATGTGATTATCTATATAGCTATTCTAGTTCTATAAGCCTAGAGTTCAATGTATTCTACAGCCAAAACTAGGGCTCTACATGTGTAGTTTATTTTCCCAGTCCAATCAAATCATAAAGTACGTACTTTAGCGCGGGGCACACTATCCAGTTCCTCACTTCCCAGGCTAAATATCACCTCCACAAAATAGATACATTTAACGTCAAAAAATCTTTAGATGCACTTCAATTTAAACTGTCTCGGATGAACAAATACATTCCTTTTACATCTAAAATTTCGTATTGCACTTAACATTAAAGAGAATGTATTTCACATGTCTATATTTGTGTTTTTTATTTGAACACCTCCTTTCAACTTACCGTATATTGTGTTCCGCTAATTTTCGCAAACGGATGTAGACACAAAGGAGTGATTTGTACTTGGCTGAGGGGGAATTTCTATAACATTTCAGGTAATAATTTAACAGTTTATGTGTCTTCTAAGCTCACTTGCCTTGTTACTTTTCTCTAATCTCTAATAGCGTATGCCTAATGCCGCACCCGTCAAGATTCAGTTCATCATTCGATGATTCACAATTCACGAATCCATTTTCGCGTTGGTAAACCTGCTCGTAGCTAACTTCACTTCAGCCATATTGACATATGAAACGTTTCTCTCAAATGGCAACATTGACATATCATTTCTTGATTTGGGGTTGGTGATATCGCGTCAGTGTTGCCAAAATTAATTAGTAACTAAATAATCAGTATTACCAATTGTAATAGCAGGGATAAAATGGTGGATAGGAATATGGCTTTGCATAATTAAAATGTCATTGTTTCTGACAACGTTATTTGTCTATGTCACAAAGTGTAAAATTCAAAAATCATTCCAATACATCCAGTCGCAGCAAGAACCGGACAACTCCCAAAACGAAGTTCAAGGACTCTTATCTCAACAAGTACAACAGGAGTATTGGTTTTGCAGCAAGCTGACCATATGCTAGAATTTAATTCTTTTCAAACCAGTGTCTAAATTCTCTAAAGAAAAAAGGTTTTCTCGTTATGTGCAATCATCAGAAATTATTTCAACAGTTAACAGGACACTCAGGAATATGATTTCTGTTACTGGCCACATAATTGAATTGAATTTTGCGTTTTTTAAATACAAAACCAGTCGTTTACAAATAAACCTACTTTGGTATTGAACCTTATTTTTCTGTGTGAAATGTGACGCCTAAGGCAGATATTTCTTTGAGGTGTCGGCCGCTCTGGTTTTTACGAGTGTTCAACCAGAATTGGAAATACTATAATAGTTTTTTCAGTTTAAAGAATAAAATTTTAAAATGAAAAAGTTTGTGAAGTGAAAGGTTGAAAAAACAACTAATTCAAGTTCTTTACCCAAAATAAATATTTTAATGTCTTTCACTCTCAGCCATTTCATGACTGAATAAGAGCTGATATGATCATACTTTCTTATACCCTATTTCACGAGTATCAATCACGGTCGAATGACAGCTGATTATCTCGTAATATCTCAAAATTGCCCATATCGGCACAGGACACTAAATTCTGATGGATCCGTCAACACCAGGTAGACAGCCGAATTTTGTACTTGCTAACAGCTCTTTTATTTAGAAAAGCTCATTTGCATACGAAAAACAAAACGCCACAAGTTTTACTAGATTTATACACGATACATTGCCAACGTTGCAGACTTACAAAAATTCTGGCATAATTTTAAATATTTCCAATTTGGCCGAATCGCATTTTAGTTTGTTTTGACACCCGATTCATGTAAATTTCGTATACCAGAAGCTTGCTTTTTGTTTTTCAGGTAGAAAACAACATTTACATTTACATTTTTTTATTAAATCTTTCTAACACTCTCCAATCCCTTTTAACATTCTATTATGGATATAAGGAATTGGAAAATGCGCATTACATCCTTCAGATTAAACAAGAAACTTAATTACATTTAGTGAGATGGACTAGCAACAGCCTTAGCCTTCTTCACTTTGTCGACAGCTCCCTTCTTCTTAGCTCCCTTCTTGGGGGTTCCAGGAGTGAATTCACCTTCAGTGAGCCATAATTCAATATGGCAAGGTGAAGACATGTAAGGGTTGATTCTACCGTGGGCACGGTATGTACGTCTTCTTAGACAGGCAGCCCTATTCACCTGGAAAAACAGAATATTAACGTCGCGTGTCCCTTATCCCGAAAAACCCGTCTGGAGTAGTATCCTTAGTTGAAGGTATTCTGAGCGTTAGTATAGTAGTATCTCTTAATGTCCTTTGACACAACTCACTTTTAAAACTCTGCATTATGATGTTAGCTTTACATTCTAGATCATCTATTAACTTTGCAGATACTGTTATAGTCATTTCATCACCAATAACAAAAACAGAAATGGTGAATGAAGTTGTGCCATTTTAGAAACTACTAATAACATGTGAATATCAAAAGTAAAGAACTTTAAAACCGTCATGAAATATATAGAAAATTCTTGAACTCCTGTGGCCTACCACACTATATAGGGTTTTAAAATAGTATTAATGTATAAATTTCATCACCCTAAATTTTGTTTTGCCAACTTTACCTGTTGAAAAATTGATGGGTGGGTATTTTTGGAAAGCAGAGTCTATTCTTTACTTTTGTTTTTATTAACTTCTTCGAAGATTGAATTAAAAATAAATGTATGTTACACAAATTGCAATGAAACAGTGCCACAAAATTTGCTACATAACTACCTGACATGGACTTTTAAAGGTTGCCAATTATGTGAGAAATGACCCAGCAATTATTCAGCTATTTTTCCACAATAAACAGCATTGATTGTGCTGGGGTCATATTACCCATTGCATAATAGGTAAGGTTGTGCTACGCCTAGAGTTAATGCATTTCATATAGAAATATTATTCTTAATCATCATATACTAGCTATATAAAATAAATGTTTTGACTGACCTGGATATGCTCCACAATAAGCCTGTCAACATCCAAGCCACTATAGTCAGCATTGCTCTCTGCATTTCTCAAAAGCTGCAGCAAAAATTCTGCAGACTTCTTTGGCCATCTACCCTGGGTTGTTCCAAATTGCTTTGCTTGGGCACATCTACCAACTCCTCCATTAAATCTTCTGAATGGAATACATTCTTTCATACTTACAACATTCTTCAGATAAGCAACTGCACGTTTTAGTGGCAATTTGCGGATAGCATTTGCAGTCTCACAGGTATTCTAAAAGCAACAGTGATTAGTATATTTTATGATCTAAGTATGGTGACAGTACACTTAACAACCACATATTTAGGAGTTATTGCAGGTTTAATGTGTACACCACTGTAATATATGATTCTGCACACCAAAAATCTTGGATGGCAAATTTTTCATATGGAAATATGTTTTTCCAAAACACCATTTTCCAGCAAAACCTTGACACGAAAAAGGTGACACTGGAGGATTAACCACAGGATATTGATTATCAATCACAGGATGGAATTGATGCGATTTTTTACAGCGCTGAATTGTATTGTTATGTTCATTTGATCTGTATGTTTTAGAAAATACTGTTCAAGTTACTATTTGTTGTTTTTGAATATTTATTGTTTGTTATTTCAGAAAGTATTGTTTTAGTTTATTTATTAGCCCATTTTTGTTAATTTCACACAATTATATTTTAGCTTATCCATTTGTTGTTATTCACTCAATGTTAGCAAATATACCATTTCAATTCTCTTATTTTCATTATCGTATCTCCTGATGTGTATTCTTCAACCTCACTGGTTTTGTATTTGATGCAAGGTATTGCTCCATCCAAGATTTTTTTTGTGTAGAAAATATATTTATGTTAAACCTGCAATAACCCTCAGTAGCATATGGGCTTATAGATGCTCATTCCACCACGATATGGATTATATCAGGGCGATATGAAGATTTATTGAATAGTAAACATGCTTCATAGACATAACCTAAATTATCGTGACTCCTAAACAAAAACTGAATTCTACCACTGAAAATTACGTACCTTGAAGTGGACTCTGAGGTTAGAGCCACGGGCCTTGCATGATTTTGCAGCTATTTCCGGCTCTCTAGCGTAGCGGCCCATTTTTGAGACCTGAAAATTTAATACTGTGAAACTGCCAGGAAAATATTACTTTTTGAAAATATCATTTACTTTTTTTAGAAACTAAACGGTTTCTAATATTGGGCAGTGATTGTTTTAAATGTATAAACTTGATTTTAGTTATAATGTACTCGGATGTTTATGATATTTACGGATTTTGGAAGACTAAAAGCTGATACAAAACTCACCTTTGCAAAATCTTGCAATAGAAAGAAATAAAAGTGAAAATGTCGTTGACAGCTGACACTTATTGGCAATGGCACATGGTAAGCATCTATTCCGGGATAAGCCGTCCCTTCCATTTCTGTCAGAGTTGTCATAGTGCTGCCAGTTGTTTTTTTATATCGAAGCAGTCGCTCAGGCAGAAGCCTAAATCTCAAAGAAATTTTGTTAATCCGATTTTTGAACTGCCTAAGAACTCGAACTGGGAAAAGCTTCCTCTTGTAGATTGTTCCACAATCTCGACACCCGTGTAGTCGGAGCGGTAGCACCCCAAACGTGTGAGCAATACTCGAGGCTAGGCCTTATCTGGGCCTTGTATAGAGTAAGAAGGTCATGCAGAAAAAAGAAGAACTACTTTTTTCTAAACAAATAGCCTAGCTTTCACAACACCGTGGTCTAATTATCCAGGGGACAGGATGCGTGGTCAGAAAGAGATCCAGCAGGCTACTGGCGTGTGACGAGACGCGGGGAAAAAAGTAGGTCTCGTCACCAGCTGGGTCAGCCCTTGAGTAAGAGCGAACGCTTCGACTGCACGACCTGCTGCATCGGTCTCGTTTGAGCCCAACCAAAGCTCATTATGGGCTTTGAAATCACCGAGAAGAACTACCTCTGAAGCGGGATGATTGATGTTCAGGAAGTCGATCTGGACGGCGAGGTATTCGAGTAGGTCATCTCAGTTATGGTCCGAGGGAGAGCGATAAAGGCACCAAATAAGTTTGGGGGATATTTTTGAGTTGTGGCAAAGCAGCCACAGAATGTCCTTCCGGTCTGATTCCAAAAAAACATCTCTGGAGCTATTTATCAGGTTTTCTAACACCCTTGTGTACCGTAGAACTGGTTTTACATGTGTAGAGTTTTTGCGAAGGTTCCAGATCCATTACCTATCCTGGGCTGGAACCCATATGTGGGTCAAAACTGCTCGTTTTCTGTACTACAAACTCCAAATTCAGACCTACGGCATCTTAAAAATTTTGACGGACTCATTTAAATTCAGTGCCTCTCAACACACCTGGCCAAAAAGTCTCGTAATAATTACCTAAAATCTCTAGAAATCTTAACCAATCTGGCTCCGTTGCCGAAACTGTGACGGATCAATTTCCTACTAGTTTGCTTGTCATTGCCAGCCCCATCTACCTTGTCATCTGTCACTTATTGCTGATTTGCTTTTTCTATTTGCTGAAAGTGCAAAAAGCTATAATTTCAAGAAGTGATTGGGAGTTGACCATTATTGAGATTCATTTCGAAAATATTTATTGCATTTTCTATTCAATCATTTAATTTTGTACAGATAAAATGGATATTACAGCTAAAAAGCAAAGACTGATGTGGAGTGTTGTCAATTTCCTCCAAGATGAATTGACGAACGAAAATGTGCTGAGTGATGAACGTAAAGAATCGGTGGAAGTTGCTATTCAGTGCCTTGAAAGCGCATTTGATATTGACAGTGAAGTTAGGAAAAAATACGAAAATGAGAAAGTCGATTTATTGTCACTATTTCCTGCTAATGTAGAGGTTAGCGAAGAGAATAAAAAACTGGCCGAAGAATGTAAAACCAGGGGCAACAATTACATGAAAAGCTCTGAGTATAAGGAGGCTGTCGCAGAATATACAAAGTAAGAGATATGAGCGATACTCTAGTACCTTGGAAATTGCTTATTGATGGCCTAGTGACAATACTGCATATCACATATCAAAATTAAAAAAATTGAGTTTTTGGTATCTGTGGGTCCATCTGTTACTAAGCTATCAAGTAAAACCATCAGCAGCAATGTAAGCTCATAGAACCCTTTTTAGCAAGATTAACTGTAATAACAGGTATCAAACATCATTAATGCTGTATCAGGTAGCATCAATGCTCTGTTCATTTTCCAAGATAACAAAATTTTTTCATTTCTAATCGTTTTGGTCTAAGTATAGTATTTTGCTTGAGTGAAAGTGCACTATCTATCATGTAAGTGATTCATGAATATTGTAAACATCTTTTGAAATCAAAATTTGTGACTAATTATCCATGATAAAAGTAAACATGTAAACCATAGGTTTGATACACTTATTTTTGACAGCTTGACAATGTTTGGTATGTGGTTTTGAAACTAGACCATCGATATACGAATTTGTCCTAAGCATACTTTTCTTGAAAATCAATAGCAAATGCACATTTTTTAACTTTAAAATTAGGGCTGATGGTTAATTGAGAAAAAATGGCATGCACTTCATTTAAAAAAGTAGTGGATGCACTGTATTTGTGAAAGAAAAATTAAAAAAAAATTGCTGCAAGCTGATTTCTCAAAAGTTTATGGTTGATGATTTTGGTGTAGATATAGACTGATGTCCCAATAAGTGCTAGAAACAGCGAAATTTTGAGATAAATGAAGGACTCAAACTGATCTGATAAAATTGATACAACTAAATTGCAGGCAATTTTAAAAAAGGTAGATGCCTCTGTTTTTCCAAGAAAAGCTATCTAGATGATTAAAAAAAAACATTACAGATGTAGGTAAATTTTTCAAAAAATGGTGATGGTAGATGAATCTAAAAAAATGACAGAAGCTGGTTTATTTAGTAAGAAAAAATGCATTTGATTTATGCAGCTTGCTTTAAAAAAAATGGTCTGTAATGAAACTGTTCACCTGCCACAAAGACTCTTTAATTAAATATATTCTTTTAGAGCAATCAAGCTGAACCCAAATAATGCAGTATACTATTGCAATCGGGCAGCTGCATATAGCAGGCTAGAAAAACATTTAGATGCAATAGATGACTGCAGAGAAGCAATTAAACTAGATAAAACCTATGGAAAAGCATATGGTAGGCTAGGAATAGCGTACTGTAACTTAAACAAATTTGAGGAAGCAAGGAAGGCACTAAGGACAGCTTTACAGTATGACCCAAACAATCCAACTTATGAAACTAACTTGAAGCTAGCAGAAGAAAAAATGTTTGGAACAATGGGTACTGGGAACATTGGGCCACAGGATAGAGTGAATGTTATGTCTGAACTGATGAACAACCCAAATATAGTAGATTTGTGCAGTCAGATGCTTAGCAATCCCCAGATGAGGAATTTGTAAGTTGTTTGTAGAAAATTATACTTTATCTTGCATAGTTCCATAGTTATCTAAGATGGGACAACTGTAGCATTGATCAAGACCCAGAAGACAAGAAACAGGAGGGTAAACTCATGTCTGAATCTCATGTTGCTTTCATCATGAACATAAAATGATGCTGATGTGTTGTCAGTATCGAATTGATGATGAATACATGTTTTGCCTCAGGCAGTTCACCCTACTATTTCTAGGCTTCTTGCTCAAGACTAAACATTGATTATGATTATTATGTTTTATTTGTTATGCTTGACAAAAACATTTGTGTATTTGTGATATGGGCAAAAATTCGTTTATTGTTCAAGTTAGATGCATGGGTTCAGAATCAGACGTCAGTTTGATGCTAGGACTTAAGGAGGGTTCTAAGTGACCCCTTTTCTACCTGATATTCGGTCTCAAGGCACTGCTCGTTTTTGGTGGTTATATTGGAGTTCATTTCCATAAATTACGTAGGCGTACCGAGTTTCTTTCGTTTTTAGACAAGAAACTTGCATTTAAAGATATAGAGAATGTGCTCCATATTTTGGGTGGAGGCCTATATACAGGGTGTCCGCAAAGTTGGGGTTTTCCTTTTCAGAAACAACTACCCTTGAAATAACAAAGGTAATGTGTAGTGAAACGAGGGCGACCAAGTAAAAAAAAATAAAGGAAAAAGTACTCACTCTCCAGTTGACGAGAAGGGCTAAGTACGTCTCTGCCCGAAATCATACCGCTCCAACAGAAAATGAAATCAGCTGAAGCGCTACCGAGCATACGCAGAAACCACATTGATTGTCTTACACTTAATGGCACATCTTCTAACAAGGAAGGCAAAATGTTGCGTAAAAAGTCTAGGTATTGCATCCCGTCCAATCGATTTGGGAGAATAAATGGTCCAATGAGCATACCGTTCACCATGCCAGCCCAAACATTCACCGAAAATGTTTGTTGAAAATGTGCCCGACGGACAGCGTGCGGATTTTCTACTGACCAAACATGAGTGTTGCGAAAGTTATTCACCCCATTACGCGTGAACGTAGATTCGTCTGTCACCAATATGCACTTCAAAAAGTCCGGATTATTGTCATGTTGATGCAACAACCACTCACAAAACCGCACTCTTGCTGGAAAATCGTTAGGTTGAAGGGCTTGTACACGTTGCACGTGAAACGGATACAGCCCCTCTTCACGCAGCGTTTGCCACACTTTAGTTTTTGATACTTGCACTTCTCTAACCACGTCTCTAGTGCTTGTTGAGGGATTCTCGTCTACGCGATTAACTCTACACGCGTGACCGTAACCGTCGGTTGAAGGTTGCATACTGACCTGACACACTGACCCCGACCCAGTTCTGTCGTCGGGTTGAGACAGTGACCTTGTACCAGTCGGTGATGTCGCGGCTACAGGACGGTATTCAGATATTTTTGATGTTGCAGAGCCCTTTATCTCGGTTCCCTTAAGACATTGGTGTATATGGTACTAAGAAAAATTGCTTATGTTTTCAAGATCTACACGTCGTGTAAAGGAAAACCCCAACTTTGCGGACACCCTGTATTTGTAATCTGGATGAACACTGATTTTGCAAGGTAAATGGGGCGCGATGGATCCTCATCCATCATCAATTAAACGATCATAACTAAAATTCGGTCATTCCATTTTTTGACTCTCATTTTCGGATTCAGTGCCCACAAATACCTGAGCGTACCAAGTTTCATTAGCTTGTAATCACATTACATGAAAATCCAAATGTTGCCTCATACACATTATTATATAAATAAATATTTTTTAGGATGGTGGGTGTAATTTCCAATGAAAGTGAAGCCATTCAAGGACTTATCCAGGGGTGAGCAGTTTTTCCACACTTAGAGCCGGTCCTGAATGCCTTCTTGGATTTTTGGCGTTTTTTCGATATTGCATTCCTTAATTCTCAGAGTTTTCTAAATTTTCCATTTAAAGAACATTCATTATGGGGAATGGGCTATGGCGAATTTTTACAAAATCCAATGAAAAATGTTATGTTATTATGTTGAACAAAAGTGCCACAAACTCCCAGAGTCTCAAGTTAATTAATTATGAAGTATATCCAAAGAGTAGTTATATTAAGATAAGACAGTTAAATAAGGTCATTCAAATTATAGAGAGATAAGAGATGACTCTAATAATATGGCATCCACAACACAGCTGTCGGCATCTAAACACGCCTGTTCTTATTTAGTAGGAAATAAGTGCGTTGTCAGATAGATCATCATTTTTGGTCGAATTCATTGATCATTACTTGTTACTAAATATATTTTTCATTCAATAAAGTTATAAATCACACTTTCCACTAGAGGAGCCCTTCTCAAAACCTGTAAATTATGAGCAGTCAGTAATTATAATCTTTGTTTGAAAATACAATCACTTGTGGCACAAATAAGATCAACCAAACAAAAGTAACAATAAAATCTTGCTCAATAGCATATCATTCAAATCTGTCTTGAAAAAGTCATCGATGGCATAAGTTTCATAAAATCATATCAGGAGCAGGTAATAATAATGTAGCTTTGTACTATTTAGCATGTCACTGATCGGTAACCAGTGCAACTTGAATTCAAATCCAATAATTACATTTTAGTGTGTGTCTATTCCAAATAGTACGTGTGGTGCCTTTCTGAAATCTGTATTCAATCAGCAATTTTTTTATTCAAGATAATGCAGTTATAGCCCAGTACATTTTTGTTTCACCACAGATGGCCAAAGTTGAGGAAAAAATATCAGAAGGTTATAAATCCCAAAATAGTCCTCATTTGATCATGGTTCCTTAATATCTTTTAACTACATTGCGTTTGTATATGACAAAGCAACAATCTAGAAGTATTTTGTAGAAAAAATGAGCAAAGTATAACCTTATTTGTACATGCAGCTAAAGACCACAGATGAAAAGGTTCGTTTTTTAAAATGAGTCACTCTTGGATAAACACTCCAAAAACTGTTGGAATACCGAATTGCTTGAATTTGATTCTACAAGATTGATTTACCTTCAAACCCAAAATAGTTCTCAGTCTCGTTACAAAAATTTCCTCAGTCACTACAGTTTCCGAGTAAAAATTAAATTTGACTGATACACAACTTTCAAAGCTTTTCTATGCAAATATTTAGCAATATTTCTTCTATTGAGCTTATTTCTTAAATAACTTATATGGTTGTCCCATCTGAGATAACTATATAATTCAACACCAAGAAATCTAGTATTGTGAGACACTGTTGTACCATTAAGACAAATTGAATTTAGAAATTTTGTTCTACAGTAAGTTCGAAAAGACAGCACAATTCTTAGGTTTATTAAGAATTAGCCTATTATTGAAAACGCAGGTTTGTACATCGTCCATATTATATCCCCTCTCATAATATGCATTGTTAATAGTTAATAGTTATGAGCAAAATTGCATGGGCTGCATACTTCATGGTTTTACATACACCAGGTATGATACAGGTGTCAGTCATTTAAAACAATATGGGACCTAATATACTGCCCTGCAGCACTCCTGTTTCAACATTAAACTCATTCGAAATAGCTGTTCCATTATATCCTAATAGTTTCACTTTTGCTTGCTTACACATTGCTATTTAACTTTTAGATACCTACGCGGAATATCACACGACTTATTTTAATAAAAAGGAAGTATTCGAGCTTGAAATTCAAAAGTTTTCTAACCTCAATTGCGTACTCGACCAATCGTCGGTCTGCTTGACATGATCGCGAGTTATCCAGACCTTAAAAGACGATGTGTTCTTTCATTCCGCATGATTTTTTGACGTAACCACCAAAAACCGTGAAAAGAGCTGAACTCCATTCTGCTCAGTATAAGTGTAGCGTTTTTTAAATATTTTATTACAGCTTGGCAACATCGCCTCGGTAGAGAAGGACGGTTCGCACATAAACTTGTTTTTATTTGTAAAACAGTAATAGTCCAAGAGCCAGTATTAAAGTTTTGGTTCGATCGCGTACTGGTATGGAATGTTAAAAACTGGACAAAGCTTACGTATTTTGATGCTGAACAGCAAACTCGGCAAGTAAACATTAAAGAAGAATTTTAAGTACATGTGGTTTCATTGGCCAGACAAACATGGGGGATTATCGACATGAAAATCACAGGATAAGTTAGATATGTTATGACTAACTCTTTGTACCTACCATGCTATTTTGAAATATTAGACATGCCAGTCCGGAAGACATCAACCCTACGTCATTCTCTTATTCCGTTGCGTTAAAAATTTACGTCTTTGAGGCCTTGTAATTAATGAATGGGAGACTCTCGGTTTTGGTACCCATCAACACTTGCTCAGCAAAAAGAAAGGAACATTTTTTGATCGGTTTCACCGAAACTCATTCCCCATAAGAAATCTGTCTCGTCCTTTTCAGTATTTTTAAAATTGCCATTTTTTGTTTTTTAGAAGATGTAACCCCGAAAGCGTCCAAAACCTACTGCAGGCGTAAGTAGTAGTAGTTTTAGTAGTTATGCTTTTTTTGATGCTAATTGAAACATATAAAAACCGGGGCCCGCTAAAAACTGCTGAAAGATGAATATATACTGTGCCATTAGAAGTGTTACACCCAGAAAAAAAAAGATAAAACTTTGACATTGTTGTCACGGCATGCTTTGAATATAGTCAGTTGGAGGCCATCTGGAACCATCTTCTAACGATAGTACACATCCAAACTAAAGAAATAGTATAATAAATCCCATAAGCATGTGTATGTTGCCTATGACAGACTTCTTTTTCATGTGTAAGACCTCTCGAGTTTTTTTGCTGTTTCCATTAGAAGTAGAATATAAGCTATTATCTTATTGTTAGAAATGCCCCGAAAGAGGATAATAGACTTTCTGCTGCCGCTGAATATGAACCAGAGATGGCCGATATCTTTACTATTTGATATCAGTGATTTGAGACCGTGGCGTGATCACGCCTTTCCAATAACGATAAGATTACGGGTTTACTGATACTTTGGGCAAAATTCTGCGATGGAGTCACATGGAGCCAACTACCGAAGCCTATAAGGCTTTATTCAGCATGCGAATACGACTGTTAAACCATCTCTAAAATTATTATATTCGAATCGGTATATCCTCAATTTAAAAACGCGAAGGATACTTGTTGAGAGTCTTTTTTTATCGGAGGTATTCTATTCATTGATCTTTTATTATCCATGCCTTGACTACAGTATCAAAATATCGATACAAAAAATTCAAAATAGTTGTTGCTGATTCATATATGGTTTCAGAAAGTGAAGTACCTAGTTCCCGAAGTCGTGATCATGTTTTTCATAATATTTGGTAAGAGTCGTGATTCAGAAATATCTGCCATCATTTATCGGAACAGCCTTAAAGCTTTAGCAGGACTGTACACTGGTCATTGCAGATTGTGTCACCATATGGACAGGTTGGGTATAGCAGAGCACGCTGAGTGCAGACTGCAAACAGTTGAGCACGATTTACGTAAATGTCCTGCAATTGCTAGAGTCAGGTACAATACACTTGAAGGAGTATTGCTCCAAGTGGGAGACTTGAAAGATATTTCTTCAAATAGGCTCATCGTCTTCCTTACGAGGTCGAAGCTACAGGGTGTAATATAATACGTGTGGTCCAGACTTGGGTAGTATTCGAATACTTGGTATTTTGAATCCTATTCAGAATACATTTGGCTGGTATTCGACTACATTTGTGTGTTTGGTATTCGATATTCGACTGAATACCTTTTTGGCCAGCACTCGGTATTCTTGATCTGAATCCTGTTTTCGAACACTGTTTGGCTATTCTTATGAATATTGCGATATGCTTTATGCAACTTGAGCGTGACAGGTCGCTTAAGGCATTAAGTATTGCCATTCTATTTTATATTAAACTTTAATACCTGTTATAATTTGAATGTGATAGATAAAGTAAATATATAAAAAGGTAAGCTTATTTTTTAATTATGTAGGTACATTGTGTAAGATTTGTATATCTACTCAAGTTTTGTTCTAATAATTATCTATGAAAGTCTAACAAAAATCAAATAATTCTTTTTATTATACAATTAATGTGTCTAACCTCATTGTGACATTGTGTATTAAAATATTATTTTAAGTTATTCATTTTTAGTTTTTTATATAAATTTATAACTTATGTACATAAATAAAAATCAAGCTTAAATTGCGCATCTTTTTTTTAGTTGGAATATTCATATGTAAATGAATCCAGGTATTCAAAACAGCGGTATTCGAATACTTTTTTCTTCGACCCAAGTTTGGTGTTACCAACAAAATACTAACTAGTCCAAGTGTAAGATCGCGATTGTCCCACCCACAAAAATCGTAACCTAACCTAGAAATATTCCTCGAATTAAAAAACACTTCAATTTAATTCATTTTGTTTTACAGTGGTGAATTGTTAGCTCAACAAATGCAAAACGCGGATCCAAGTTTGATAGAGGAGATTAGAGGTATTGCTCATCCACAAAATCCTATACCATCAGCCCCTCCTGAGGAGAAAAAATCCAGTGATTCAAAAGAAATGCCAAACTCTTAAATAGGAATTTTGAATTAAATGTTTAGGGTAGAGGTGAATTTTGTAGTAAAATATATGACACAAAACATATGAGTATGTTGTACATTATGATCTCCTGATTGAAAGTCTCCATGGGCACAAAATTCCATAACAGTGGTGCAAATATGGAGATAGAGCCGTTTTACACACAAGAGAATTACACCGAAAGTTATGGTCATAATTATGCCGAAAATTTGCATGGAAAAAATATTGAAGATTTTCTCTACAACCTGTATGACACAAGCAAACAAAATTTCGGAGTAATTCATATGATACGCCTGCGCATTAGAGTAATATTTTCGAATGGACATAACCTTAACGGATATGACGTCCAATATAATCTGAAAGACAACAGACGTCGTTGATTTAAATTTATTTTTGAAATCGAGATCTTGGTTAATATTATAAAACTTCTCAATGCTTGGACTATCGCATCCAACGCCTGACGCCGCAAATTTCTGTTTTTGTAATTGGGTGACTTCACCTTGTACAGGTTTGGCCATTTTTGGTACTCCTCCAACAACAGTGTAACTTCTTTCCGATTCCACGACATTATGAATGTATGAATAAACAATAACAATAAACGCTTCTTCCTACGACTCGAACAGGACCACACCCACAAATGTTAAGTGAGGTTATGTTGTTGATGACGGAAATAACCCTCTGCGCCGATTCTCGCGCATATTCTATAGAACGGGTTTTATATTTTTACCATGAAAATTTTCACACACAAAAATTTTCGGCATAATTATGATCATAATTTTCGGATTAATGCTCTTGTGTGTAAAACGGCTCATACATACTAGCAATATAGATCAGCTCAGATAACAAAATGAGTTTCGATTTCATGTAATTCCACATTGGAAACCATATAATACCAACTTGTTCCTATTCACTATGAAACTGCTCATCCATTTCTACATATACAATGCAAAGATCGTGTACGCGTTCAGCAAAGCTAGGTTCCAGAAGCCCCTATGTAGCTTTTGACAGAGATAACACGTATTACTGTTTATGCTGGACTTCACGTAAGATGTGAGGTTTGGCAAGTCGAAGCAACGCGTCATCTTTGCTGAAAAATGTACAGGGGTTCTTTAGGTAGACACGAATTTTTTGTCCATGGGGACAGGATGTCATAAATATGCATGATATTACAAATTCCACAGCACCCCCTCTCCCGTATGGTTTATGCGTATTCTTTGGTGATTTTTCTCATCGGGGCCCAGAATTTGACGGTAATCTGTTAAGGACCAAATGCATAGCTGTTCATCCACTTAAAGCACCCATTTGTCTTGACCGTCTTGCCACATGGGAGTGACTGTAAAGTTGTCAAATATCTTCCTCAAAGAAGTGAACCTTGTTCTATCCAGGCCTCCTTATTATCTGTCATAATCGTTGAAAATCAGATATTAGACGGGGGGGTTGGTGTTACAGTGATCTTGGAAATCACGTCAATCGGGATTACAAAATGGAGGAATTAGATCGGTAAAGGCCGCCTCCATCGATATTCGACAAATCTGCCAAGTTACAGAGCAAATGAGGGCACCACAAGTAAATGCTACAAAATGTGACACTGTTGACATTTGCCAACACTAGCACGAGCTCCTCCAGGCCGTATGACATTCTTGCACGGAGCGCAAAACTTGTTCAGAGTACGGAGCAAAAGGAAATTAAAATTTATTAGGACATAAAATATGCACCAGTGCGACAGTGGTTTTACAAAAACGATATAAGGATTCCTTCAAGGGACGACTATACATTCAAACATGTATGTTCTTGAGATTGCCTTAACTTGTGGGTCATCCTGGTGCGATAAATATTATGTAATTTTTATGATGAATCCTTTGTTGACCTTGTTATTATTTTTGATTGCAAGTTTAAAGATAGATATTGAATCAAATGTTTTACCGATTAATTGGTAACTGAAAAAAAAACTATTATTTTTATATATCAATTATACCAAAATCCTTAATCAACCAAATATATTCGTATGACGGAATGCTACTTTAATTCACTCTAAGAATATTGTTTGTAGTATATTGATGTATTTTATAAAGTTTTCAATTTACATTATTTCTATACAAAATTTATAACCTACAAACGCCTTTCTGTGTTATATTTTAAAGGTTTTTATTTTTTATAGATCAATATACTGTATTTTTTTGGTACTTGTTATTAGAGTAGGGATATCAGCAATATTCTTAGACATTTTTGTTAATGGAGTTTTTGAACTGTCAGTGTAACATTACCTTGTAAATATGGTTGTGTTGAATATCAAATAATAAAATAATCATGAATACATATTTGTCATTTTCTCCCTACATATCTCTAATCCTATTTTGAAACGGATTGAAACAAAATAAGCATTTTTTAAGTTATATGGTTTTATTGTCAACAAACAATAAGTATGCCAGATAATGTAATAAAAGCTAGGCCAGATTTGTCATCAGAGAACTCTGATCAGACTGTAATAGAGGCGTATCACCTTGACTGTAGATGATACAAATTCGACGCGCCCCTCGAATCGGTTTCAGTCTGACCATTCCCCTAGAATCTAGGGCCTGAGATTGATAAGGAGAATGCTGTGATGACTTGCATCTGTCTACCTATCTATTGTTTAGCTTTTAGTAGTTTATACGCAGCACTATGTTCTAATATTCGAACTGCTGTATCTGAGGTCAATGATGATTTAAAATGTATCAGTACATATGCAAAGAATCGTAATCTTCAGTTGAACCCTTCAAAATCAAAAGCCATTTTTTTTTCACTCACATAAATTTAAACGGTGTCTTCATTGAGGTAAGTGAATCAGTCAAAAACCACCGTATCATACTTGATGAATGTCTCAAATTCCTACCACATACCATTATACGCCAACTTCACCTAAATAAACAATTACTTGACTATCAAACAAAAAAATTTGCGAATCTGTCATCTTGTCTAAAATTAGTTATTGTGATATAGTTCATGCTCCATTTTTAGACTCCACTATATATATATATATATATATACTTTGAAGTTGAGTCATTAATTTTCAGATAATGATTGTAGAAGGAAGATAAACCAAAATATGTGCGTAAAAATAAAAAAAAAAAAAAAAAAATAAAAAAAATGTTACCTTGTTTTATAAAGCATCCTCCCGACAAGTATTTCAGTGCGGACCTGTATTTGATCGTGCGGTCTTGGAGCACCGGCATTCCCTCCCCTGTGAGGTCTTAAGTCACCTGATTCACGAGCCATTTGTACTACATTAACAAAGCCACGAGGGGTTGGTTGCACTCGATTAAGAATTAGAACCATGTCCACAAGTTCAGCATTTTCGAAAAACAAACACCACTATTGACTCACGCGACTGACACATACAACTGAATAATAATTGTAGTAAAAACATCGTTTCAGATTCTTTCGCTTTTTTGTTTCCGATGCGATGAACCGATAAGGCGGATTATATCCGTTGTTGCCAAACACGAGCACATAATATTATTATTGAGACAGGGCGGTACTCAAACTTCTAAAGGGCTATAACTTTGTTGCTTTAATTTTACCAGAAAAATGTTAAAGGAAAAAAACACTTATTTTGATCAGATCTACTCACCGTTAAAATAAATGACTCAACTTCGAAGTCACCCTGTATATATACAGGGTGTCCGCAAAGTTGGGGTTTTCCTTTACACGACGTGTAGATCTTGAAAACATAAGCAATTTTTCTTAGTACCACATACACCAATGTCTTAAGGGAACCGAGATAAAGGGCTCTGCAACATCAAAAATATCTGAATACCGCCCTGTAGCCGCGACTCGCGACATCCCCGAGTGGTACTAGGACACTAACTCAACCCGACGACAGAACTGGGTCGGGGTCAGTGTGTCAGGTCAGTATGCAACCTTCAACCGACGGTTACGGTCACGCGTGTAGAGGTAAACGAACCCGTATAATCGATTGCGTTTCAAAAAACAACAAGCACTAGAGACGTAGCTAGAGAAGTGCAAGTATCAAAAACTAAAGTGTGGCAAACACTGCGTGAAGAGGGGCTGTATCCGTTTCACGTACAACGTGTACAAGCCCTTCAACCTGACGATTTTCCAGCAAGAGTGCGGTTTTGTGAGTGGTTGTTGCATCAACATGACAATAATCCGGACTTTTTGAAATACATATTGGTGACAGACGAATCTACGTTCACGCGTAATGGGGTGAATAACTTTCGCAACACTCATGTTTGGTCAGTAGAAAATCCGCACGCTGTCCGTCGGGCACATTTTCAACAAACATTTTCGGTGAATGTTTGGGCTGGCATGGTGAACGGTATGCTCATTGGACCATTTATTCTCCCAAATCGATTGGACGGGATGCAATACCTAGACTTTTTACGCAACATTTTGCCTTCCTTGTTAGAAGATGTGCCATTAAGTGTAAGACAATCAATGTGGTTTCTGCACGATGGTCATATTTGTTACCTCTGTTCGTGGTCTGCACCACCGCCGGCGTCTGCTCGGTAGCGCATCAGCTGATTTCATTTTCTGTTGGAGCGGTATGATTTCGGGCAGAGACGTACTTGGCCCTTCTGGTCAACTGGAGAGTGAGTACTTTTTCCTTTATTTTTTTTTACTTGGTCGCCCTCGTTTCACTACACATTACCTTTGTTATTTCAAGGGTAGTTGTTTCTGAAAAGGAAAACCCCAACTTTGCGGACACCCTGTATATATATATATATATATATATATAAATTTCAGTTTTTTGAGCAATGCTAGTAGTTTAGTTGCTTGTAATTAGAATTAGATGGATGGATGTATACTGTTACCCATGAAAACAAAAGTAAAACATCGGTCGAGATAGTTACTCTTCAAAGTAATCTTTTTATTTCTTCGATATTCTCAGCCGTCTCGATGAGCTACTGTAGCAAATATACCAGTGGTATACTGGATGAAATTTGGTGAGCTCTATGCCTGGTACAATGTATTTACATGTAACATTTTAGAATTCTTTACGCGATCCTGGTAGATTTGTGATTTTAAATTGTTTACTTTTTTGTATTGTTTTTTTTTGTTGTTGTACTGTTGTACTTTTTTTAATAAAGACGATTATTATTACTAATTGTTTTACTGTTACAGAATTCCTCAAAACTGTTTTCATTGTGTGAAAGCTGAAAAAAACTATCAAATGATATTGGGGAGATTCGGGGACACATGCTAAGGATAAGTGAAACTTTAAATTTATTAACAATTATTTTTGCGTTTTTTATTGTAAATGCATCTGGTACATTAACATTATAACAGGTAAATGATTTTGTATTTTATTGTAAGTAGTCAATAGGTGTTCCAAGCGGTTATGTGTTGAAACACAGAGGCAGTGCTATACGGTACAAACTCATTTTATTATCTATATTTAACAATTCTTTTTATTTGGCATGTTGAAACGGCAATCTAACACCCTGCAGTCATACTGGATGATGAGCTTGTACGTTTGCGAATTAAACAAAACCAGTCATCGGATAACATCACATTTTTTATCCTTGAGTAAAATTTCTTAGAGTTCCAAAGCTTTATGGGCTCAAGGGGTTCGTGCGGTATTTAAGTCTCAAAATTCAAATCTATACATATTGACATCTTTACGTATTTTTAAGAGCAGTGTTTTTCTAAAGCTATAACGATCATAAAATGGTACTAGAAAAACTTTCTACTGGAATGAATTTCACATAGAAAAAGCTGATAGTTCGAAATGTTAATGATCTATTGATTTTCATCGTCTTCTGTCCTAGTTATTAAAAATAACTTAATTCACCTTAATCGGAATACCTGGCTAAAAGTGACGTATTTTTCTCCCCTTCTGATCTGTGCACGAGGGCCATTTTTAAAGTAAGAACCTATTGCGCATCATGTCTGCGCATCTTGTCAACCTCACTCATTCTTGGCCAGTCTTTCACAACACCGCCACTACGTTTCATGCTTCTGTCGGTGTTGGTTGCATATACTCTAGGCGCTGAAGAAAGAAACTAAACCCAAACAAATACACGCATATTGCTCGTGAGTGAGTGTTTAGGCGCAGGAGACATTACAGGACCGCATCAAGATATTATGGGTAGTCATCAAAAATTTCATACAAGATAATTATTATCTTTTACAGTAAATTTCAGTTAGAGATTCACAAATGAGTTAACTACACTTTTTAGTTATTAGTAAGTAAGCTGCGCGCACTCATTCAGAAGAGGAACTTGAATCTTCTGAATCGTTTAAATGAATTATTAGAGGTTCAATTTGGGTATCGATGACATTGTCCAAATCCCACATTTTGACCTCAACCTTCTCCCGAACGTGGCGGATACAGTTTTTCCATTCCTCTGCCGTAACTCTATTGACTGCGATGTGAAAGAGATTTTTAACATCAGAAAATTTATAAGTATTATTATTCGACGCCACGTATTGCTTTATGTTGGCCCAAATCAGCTCAATAGGGTTCAGCTCACAATGGTAGGGTGGCAGTCTCAAGACAGTTTTATTTTGTTTTTTGGCCATTTCGTCGATCATTTTAAAATCGTATTTGTATTTATGTCTATTGACTATACTTATCAATTCACCCTTGACCATTGTTTCATCAAAATCGATCTGTTTTGAGGCCAGCCATTGTTGTATGTTTGCTTTTTTAGTTGCCATTGTGGGAATTTTTTCTATTTTTCTAGAATGGTACGGGGCATTATCCAGTACAATAACAGCGTTATTCTCCAGCTTTAGTAACATTTTGGAGAACCAATTTTCAAAGGAATTGCCGTCCATCTCCTCATGATAGTCGCCTGTCATTTTTGATTCAAAGGCCCACAGTGCTTCGGGAACAAAGCCGTCTTCACTACCTACGTGACAAATGATCAGCCGTTTGCCTTTTCCTGGAAGTAAATTATTCCTTACACTATGGATTGATTAAATTTGAAGGAATGAGGCAATTGAGTTCATTTAGCTGAATTTAAGAGTCACGGAATGCTGATCAAAAACTGAAAAACGTAGAAAATTGAAGTTTGCAACTTCTCAAAACCCATTCAAAGCAAATTGACTGCACCCAAAAATGATAATAAATTTCAAAATAACGCTTAAAAGAGGGTCGAAGTTTTTTTCCTAATGACTACACTGCGAATGCACCATTTTTGGAGAATATCACACATTATCTGCTATCACAGCATATTATTTGCCCGAATTTATCAAAATTAAATTGCCGGATAGATGAAGGAGCTTACCTGCAGGATTTTTCAATCCAGCCGAAAGACCGTCTAGAAAAGCCTGCCTTGATGATGTTACTGATTTGTCGACCCAAACTTTCGCGTGAGTATGTCCAGCATTCACCCACGTTTCGTCCAAATAGTAAATTTTTCTTTTTTCATCGCGAAACTTCCGAATCTTCCTAAGGTATTCCCTTCTCCACACAACAATTTCTTCTTTCTCTATTAACATACTGTTTCTTCCCCGTTTCAAGAATCGAAAATTAAGTTCCTTCAAAAGTTTTCGGAATGTGGTTCTTTTAAATGATGGAAGATCCTCATCAGCATTAACTAATCTTAATATCTTATCTACTGTAGGTATCTCATTTCGGAAGAAAAAATTATGCACTTTCCTCCTGATGGCAGTTCTGTCAAAGTCATCTACTCCGTCCGTTATCCTTTTTCTTGCAGGATACGGTTTTGGCTCAGAAAGTGAGTGAGTGCTCCTATATTCCTTAATGATCCTATAAACACTGGACCGACATACTCCAGAAATATGTGCTACCTTACATATAACTTCGTCCACGACCAAATCGGGTTTTTCTTGAATTTGGTTTTTGTATATATTTAATATTATTTGTTTTTCATTTGCACTTAAATGTAGCTTCTTAGCCCTTTTTTGGGTGGGGTTGCGCTGATGTCAACCACTTCGTCGGCTGTATCTGTGTCAGACATCGTATCTTAGGCAATATATAAACAAAACGTTCCACTCGCGAAAAACGAGTATACGCTACTGAATGCGTAATGCGTATGCAATGCAATCCTGTGCGTGAATTAACTGTTAGATGCCTGTCGTGTCATCTACAATCACGTTTACAAGTCCAAACCTGTGCAGATTCGTAGAGCGCCGACGACTGCTAGTTGTTGTTCCTACATCAAAAATATATCGATGATGTTTTGTACTGGGAGCTCATGAAAGATCAAGGTAACTTATTTTAACAGTCATCCTTTTTCTAGTCTCAAGATGACACGAAAAAGGGTCTGTGGATTCACTAGAAATACACTGCCGAGGATGATTAGACCTAAAGTGACTGGAGTATATCCGTGGATGCTTTCGAGGGATCTGTTCACGTGCTGATCACTGTTTACGTTTAATGTCTTTCTTCAGCGCCCAGAGTATAGTTATACTGCTTTGTTTGTCGCCCTGTTACTCGGTGCCAGTCGATTGTGAAGTGCGCTGAGTAATTCGGTTTTTAAACGCAAAAAAGTTAATCCTGAGCAACATTTTTGAAGCTTAGGTGTGCTATTCAAAACTGCCGGCGGCGCCCGCTGTGTAGCAGCGTGTCATTTTGCCTCCTGTTGAGGTAAGAACTCAGACGCTGTTGTGTTTGAAATTACATCAGAAAATAAACGGTAGCTTTCGTTTATACCTCACAAAACACGTTTCAATATAGTACTAACAAATTACAGAAAAATTCGAATAAAAAACTCGAGGACCTCTATTCATTGAAAAATGCTTAAATTTCAAAAAATTTAACAGGTCTCCAAAACGTATCATATACGTAATATTTTCCTTTAATATTTTTGTTTACCAAACATGGCAGAGCGGAGGCGTAGTTGTAGCCGCTTGGTCTCTACAAATCAGTCGCCGTGAGCTGCGCAGGTTCGAGTTTCGTCCCAAGAGAAATTTTCTCCTGCTTGTAGATGCTTTGATTGTCCGGAGATGGTAGATGATCTCAGACTATCGAGCGTGGAGTTACCACCCAGCGGAGCTCAAAGGCCTTTTTCCTGTAACCCCCAATGGTATCACAGTAGGCCTGCGTGGTGGCTCAAGTATAAAAAATGTGCGTACATTTTTAACAGAACAAGTTCTCATCATCCATCTGAACATTTTGGAAGGGCGAAAGGTATTTTTTTAACAAACAGTATTAGTTGGAAGACCATTTACCTAGTATACTAGATACATATTTACAAAGTCTACACTGATTACAGAAAAAAATCGAAACGAGTTTGGGATACAAAAACTCATCAGTCAGTATTAGTCCAGAAATCTGAGGGTATTGTACAGCTTTGAAAATGAATGTTTTGTCCCTAAAAACACTATCATGATACGATGTTCCATATTTTGCGCATGTTAAGATACGTTTCCACTATAATATTCTGCATGTTGCAAGATATGTGCCTGCAGCTTGTTTAAATGGAAACGAACCTGAATTGTATGTGTTTTTA